CCTCGAGCGTCATTGCGAAGAGGGGCAGCTGTGTATTTATTTTTGCTTATGCATCTTTCGACATAGCTTTACCTCCCCCAGTATCGCCTCAATCTCGAACCCGACCGACCGCCGAAATCGAGCTTGTCCTCACCTCTATCCCTCTCGCCGAGCCCGAATCCAGTGCTTACTCCCCCACCGCAACCACAACCGCCAGCCCTCCATCTATCCCTCTCTATGACATCGACGTCGCTTGCTTCGTAGCAGAGACTCGATATGCCGGCCAACCATCGCCAGCCGGCAGCTCAAACGCCAGCGTCACCCAACACAAAGTCTACCGCGAGATACACAAACAAGGATGGCTCCAAGATCATCACCGTCCCGAAAGGTCCCCCCTCCGCCGAACCCTCGCAGCCCTCGACTCCAACCTCGTCGGCAAGGGCTCCCAGCGTCCAGACCCTCGACACCAACGGTGCCGACCCGTCAGCGCCTACTGTGAATCGCAAGAAGCAGAAACGTCGAGCAAAGGCTGCCGCTAAAGCTGCCGCCGAGCAAGCTGCCGTTCAACCACCAAATGGACGACGCCCGAGTCCTGCTCTAGGCGCGCCCGCGTCCAAATCTCAGGTTGCCCAAGATGACGAGGATCAGGAGTCCAGCGACGACGAGCCCGAAGACCATCACTCTGCCGACGACCAACCCCATGCCAACGGCTTCTCCACGACCAAATCCAAAAAGTCCAAAAAGAAGAAGAAGAAGAACGGAAAGAACCCGCAGCTGGCCAACAATCAATACGACAGCGTTCCGTTTCCTCACTCTCACTCCCACTCGCCATTGACGCCCCGTGGCCCTGGTATCTCCAAGGATAAGATCTGGAACACCAGCTCGCAAGAGGAACGGGAACGCATCAAGGAGTTTTGGCTAGGTCTCGGCGAGGACGAGCGCAAGTCGCTGGTCAAGGTGGAAAAGGACGCTGTCCTGAAAAAGATGAAGGAGCAGCAAAAGCATACATGCAGCTGTACCGTTTGCGGCAGGAAGCGCACCGCCATTGAAGAGGAACTGGAAGGCCTATACGACGCTTACTATGAGGAGCTCGAGACCTTTGCGAACAACGGTGAAGGACCGCACATTCTGCCCCCTCACCGCGAATTTCCCTTGCGACCTTCACGCATTCCGTCATCCTACACAGGCCAACCACCGTCACGCGGCCGCATAGTGGAACACGTAGGCGACGATGACGACGACGAGGAGCCAGAGGAGGAGTACAGCGACGAGGACGAGGATCTTGAGGAGGAGGAGGAGGAAGAAGAGGAAGACGAAGAAGACGACGAGTACAGCGACGAAGACGAACCCCCCGAAGATACTCACCCTCACGATCGAGACGTTGCCGACTTCTTGACGTTTGGGAACAGCCTGCAAGTCAAGGGTATGCAGCTTCTGGACTCCCTACTCTGCAGATATGGTAACATGGACTTAGGCGGCATACTCACCGTTGCGGATGACCTCCTCAAAAACGACGGCAAGCGTTTCATCGAAATGATGGAGCAGCTCGCCGAGCGCCGCATGGCCCGAGAAGAAGACGCCAAGGAGCACTTTTCTCGCGGCTACGCTCATCCCGCCAACGGCTCTTACTCGAATCATAACCATCCTCCTCCCGAAGACGACTATGACGACGAAGACGAGGAGGAGGATGAGGACTATGATGACAGTCAAGAAGAGGAATACGAGGATGAAGAAGTGAGCTCCTCTCAATACACATATGACCATAAACACTCGAGTACTGAGCATTACTGTTGTCATCATCAGGACACGATGACCGAGGAACAGCGCATGGAAGAGGGTCGTCGCATGTTCCAAATATTCGCCGCTCGAATGTTTGAGCAAAGGGTCCTGACAGCCTACCGAGATATGGTCGCCAAGCAACGCCAGCAACAGCTCATCGAGGAACTCGAGGAGGAAAACCGGCAAAACGCCCAGAAAAAAGCGAAGAAGGCCAAGGAGAACCAGAAGCGCAAGGACAAGGCCGCGCTAAAGAAGCAGCAGCAGGCCGAGGAGAAGGCGCGAAAGGAGGCTGAGAAGGCCGCAGAGGAGGCCGCTCGACTCGAGGAGCAGCGGCGGAAGGTGGAAGAGCAGAGATCGAGAGCAGAAGAGAAACGTCGAAAGAAGGAAGAGCAGAAGCGACTCGAAGAAGAAGAACGCCTTCGCAAAGAGACCGATCGGCAACGACGACTCCAGGAACAGCAAGAGAAGCGCGCGGAGCAGGAACGCAAAGCGAGGGAATCCCGCGAGAAGACCCAGAGGCTTAAGGAAGAAGCACGATTACGCGAAAAGGAAACCCGAGACCAGAAGGACAAGGAGCTCCGTGAGCGTAAAGAGAAGCAGGAACAGGCCAAGCGCGACAAGGAGGCCAAGGCCAAGGCTGAGAAGGACAGCAAGGACCGCATCAAGCAGGAGGAAAAGGCTGCTCAAAAAGCTGCCACGGTTGCTGCTGCTCCTGTTCCCATTCCCACCTCAGGCCGGCGACTATCGCAACACCCAGTACCGATTCCGACACATCCGTCCAACCCAGCATCCTATGCATCTCCCAAGATACCCGTTGCGACACCGGCTCTTCCCAAAGCCCCAACACCAATCCGTCCCAAGCATGCCTCTCAGCCCCTGGAAACCAGCTTGCCCGAACCCCAAGCTTCGCGATCAGGCTCTACTGCCAGCCAAAACCCATCGCCACACCCTGCGACACCCGGCCACATGAGTCCTGGGCCGATCGGTTCAAGGAAGACCAGCGTGGCAACCTCAAGCTCGCTACCCCATCCTAGTTCCATATCACCTTCGAACATGAAAGGCCCGATGCAGCCAGGCCCCTTTGGCATGCCTATGAGCATGCATCCACCCGGCTTTAATCCGCCGCCGGGCCTGGGAAATCGCATGCCCGACCCAAACATCTTTGGTCCGCCTGGTATTGCCGGGTTCGGTAGACCTCCCCCACCTCTAGGTATGATGGCCGGCCCGCCAGGTCTTAATGGGCCAGCTGGGCGTGGCTACATGCCTGGTCCACCTCCTGGCTTCTCACAGCCCATGGGCGACCACATGCAGAACATGGCACCAGGGCCCGGATCACACTCCAGACAGCCTTCAGGCAGCTTCGACCCAGCTTCGCCACCAATTCCAACGCAGCCTATCGGCAGGCCAGCACCAATTGGACGACCAGGTAGCGTGGTACAGGGACATCGAAATGATCCATCAGACGATTTCACAAACCAACAGCATCTTGGTAGCAGCGTCCTGTTAGATGATGCATCGGACCCGATGAGCGCAGCAATCAACGCGGCTAGGCACCGTAACCAGGTGCAGCGATCTGCATTTCCACTCTCATTCGACAATGGATTCACTGGCATCAACAACAGCTTATGGGGACCCCCACCACCAATCTCATACGGTGTAGCCCCCGGAGTGGGAAACTCGACCTGGGGAAGCCCCAGTATGATGCCGCCTTCGCTTGGTCCGATCCGCACGGCTGGAAATCCTCGTTCGGTGACGATTCGACTCATGCTTTGCCGCGCCTGCAAGGAACTGCAATCCCGCAGCCCCGAGGGCTCAGAGTCCTTTGTTGATCTAGCAGCGGTCAAATCCGAAGTTGATCAGCTCAGTAGGGCCGAGCCCATCCTTGAAGCGGATCTGCTGCTCCTCGCCGAAACGGAAGGCAATCTCAACAATGGCGGAGGGACCTTTGAGGTTCAACGGGACGCAAACGGTCCAGGGCAGCACTCGATGCGATGGGTACCCGAGTTCAACGACATGTCGTATCCTACCCATCGGCCCGTCGGTGCACCTGGCGAGATCGGAAGCCCCATTATCGGCAGCGGCGCACCGGCATTTCTGGCTAGAGGACACTAGGATGGTCCGCCTGGCGAAATTTCCAGTCCTGTATCCTCATCTGAGAGCTTAACATCCTCGACTGATGCACTTCACCGTCGCGTCATGTTCCGCGCCATGCAGAACGGCTGCATCAACAGGGCCACTAGAGGTAGTTCTAGCTAGGATTAGGTAAGGAAGGCTAGCAGGTCGCCTTGAGCCTTGAGTTGGCCTTGATTGTGTTTGTTCGTGAGGGTGACTGAGTCAGCGGCCGGGACTCTTCTTTTTCTCAAAGCCCAGTATTCGAACCCCTTCTTTAGGGTTGCCCGGATAGCTAGCGCGTGGAGGGCGATCCCCTTCCAAGCGAGCATCCTCCGCATGGCTTTGTGTGCCTGCGTAGCGGCTAATAGAGACTATCTGCGTTCTTTCAGCATGCCCTCGTTCATGGGCTCATAGTTGATTCACATGACTGTGCCGTTTGTGAATGCCATGAAAACATCTCCAGCTGATAAAAAGGAGTGAGATGAGCCTCGTCCATAGGAAGTGGCTCAGGGATCCATTCAACTGACAAGTGAACCTTTGTCATAAGTAAGCCAAAATTAAGCCAACACTGGATATGACCCAACCCTGAAGACATCCACTCCCCACATCCATCACGATGCGCCCTTTGTCGTAGTGTCCCACCCTACACCCGCAATGAGGGGGTTTCCTGAATTATTTTCTCCTTCTCTCCACTTGGGCACAAGCACAAATTAGCAAATTCAGAATATGAAGGCGTCCTCGACTCGAGGAAATCAGCAACCCCATCATATATGCCGGTTGCCCGGCTAGCTCAATCGGTAGAGCGTGAGACTCTTAATCTCAAGGTTGTGGGTTCGACCCGTAAGCTATTCCCCTCACTTCCTAAATGTTCACCGAAACACTTCACTAACAATGACCAGCCACGTCGGGCTCAATTCCCGTCAGCGATTGACGCAACTTCTCTTTTTGATCATGTTCATTTTTGGCTCTAATTCCATGGCTGTGAATAGTTTGAAAAGAAAACTCCTGTTCCCAGCGTCGTGAAGTTGAGTAGCTTCCCATGTTGTCTAGGTGCCAGCCTAGAGCAAGGTCCCAAATGAAACGTTCCAAGTACTCATCTAGATGGCAAGTGACTCCTCTAGAAGCCTGACTTACATGTGTTCATCCCTTGCCGGCGCTCTAGCCAAAATACTTCCATACTTTGAAAACTCACCACTCGTGGGAACGAAATCCTCGACCCTCAACCCAGCCTTCTTCTGAAAAATGCAAATGACATCTGACCCTCCAAACCGGAAACACGAAACCTCGTCCCCCTTGCTCACCACATCCCCTTTTGCGACAAACAGGTCCACAGACGAAACCATGGCCATCCCAATAGGCAAGAACGCAACCTTGCCGAGGGCCGGGTTCTCAATCACGACCAGCCCCCTCGTCTGAAGGAACTGATACCCCGGGTTCTCTGACGAATCCGCCCCGCCCATCATACGGACGTGCCCGCCGACGGAATCAGCTTCAAGGTGCGCCATGCCCTGGATATTCTTCGCCTCGAGCACGGTACCTGACACGGGCGCGTGTTGGCGGTGGTAGTTTGTGGTGTTGAGGAATGCGTGCATCCAGATTCCGCCGTCAAAGTCTGCGGCGTGCTCGCTGTCTTGGAGGAGCATGCGAATCGGCCAACGGACGTTTTTGATCTCCACGGAGCCGTCGTTGATTCTGGCGACGCTTTGGTTGGTGAGGGAGTTGTCGTAGGTGCAGTCGGCTGGGTAGACTACCACCCTATCATCGTCTGGCGAAGAGATTGGCCGTAGGCCGGGTTTGAGACGGCGGGTGAAGAAGGCGTTGAAGGTGCGGAAGCCGCCTTTTGGGATATCTGCTTCGTGGAAGCGGTAGGGGGGCGAGTTTTTGAAGGATTTGAGTGATGAGGGGGTGATGGAGGCGGGTGTGTCTTGGAACTGGCCGACGAGTTGGGCGTAGACTACAATCCAGGAGGATAGCCAGGTGAGTCCCTTCGAATCTGGACTGATCGAGGTTTGGAGTTTGCGGAGTGGGGGTTGGTCGAGGACGAAGTAGAACATGCAGAGGACGTCGTAAATGTCTTTACCTTCGAAGCTTTCGCGGGGGACCCATTTGAGGAGGTCGTTTGCGAAGTGGAGGAAGGAAGGGGCGTCTTTGATGGATAGTTTGGACATGAAGCCTGGGTTTTTGGAGCGGGCGGAGAGGATTGCGGAGTCTAGACCGCCTGGGCTTACTTGGTCGAGGTAGCCGATGAGCATGACGATGACGGGGTTGAAGCGGAGGTACCCATCGTCGGAGGGTGGTGTTGTATGCGTAATGGTTTGTGCAATGCCTGTGGCTTTGATGTCGAAGTGAGGAACGGGGGAGAGGCCGGTGACTTCCTCAGGTGCGGTAGTTACGCTGAGTGACATGACTTGTGGTGAGAGTTTCTGTGTGACTGACCGTTTCCTCTTAAATGCGACTGGGAAGGTAAAATAACTAGTCGAAAGAAATATCAACATATTTCCTCATCACCAGACAGCAAGAACCACCCTGGGTTGGTTTATATGCGCTTTTGTTTAGTTAGAAGCCAACTCATCTCAACAACGGTCCGCGGCATCAGGGAAGCTACCCGCAATGCGAATGTCTTGCGAGAAACGTGGCGTTCATGATGGTCCCCAAGAGAACTTATCTGAAGTCGTCAGGTCGGGTTCATGCACGGCTCCCCCAATCAAGTGTCCCCGCCCGGGTGCAATGCCGCGCCTGTACGACATAGCCGAGGGACGGTGTTGAGATGGAAAAGATTGGATGTTGCCGTTCTTGACGTGAACCGCGAGCTTCCTGCCGAACATGGACAGTCCTGCGGCCACATACGCACACACACACACATGGCCGAGGCTCAACAGGTTCGTGCTGAGGCGCGGTTCATTCGTACGGGGTTCCGCCACTGCTGTGCCAGCGAGGCAACTTTGGCCGGTCTTTGAATGAGTGATGCATGGCAATAAACCTGTTTTTGTTGTGAGAGACTGCCTCGAAATGCGAAGAGTCAGCGGCGTTGTTAGAGGCTGAAGCTTGTAAGTGTTCTCTTTGGCCAATGCCAGAGCAGTTCCGCCGAGGACACACTAATGGCCATCGATTATGAAATGACTCGGAGACCTTTGAAGCCCGACGCGAGCAAGTAGGAGCTGGGAGCGTTCGATCGGGATGTCTGTCTCAAAGAGACGAGTACGGAATCTTCGATTATGTTGCTGGGTCCCAACAATTTTGTCAATGCCTCACTTGATAGTTGTCTTGTTTCCTTCCCCTAGAGCTGAGGACGTGATCATCGTGCTGGGGAGATGTAAACTAAGCCGCCCGTCAGCGCAGAGAGTTTCCCTCATCCTCGAGACTTGATGATTTCTTTTATACTAATGGTGATGCTCGGTGTTTACTTATTTCTTGTGGAAGCAAGCAGCGTTGCTGTTCCATGCACTTCTCGGAGTTTGCTGAAAATGGCTTAGCGTGGTGCTGGTTGGAAACCTCACTTCCTAAAGCGGAAACTGGCCGATGAGACGAAGTCCTGCGCTACCCTCTCGACATATCTTTTGCGTCCGTGAAAGCTACAACGCAAACCTCGCCGGGTGATTGATAGAAGGCATTGCGATTCCCGAAGCCAAGTTTGAAGCGCTAGATTGCTAGCAAATACGCCAAGCGTAAGCAAAATTTCCAAGGGACGCAATGCTCGATCGAGTCATTTCAGGCCATGAGGGCTTGCACCTTCTTCAAGCAGGATTTGTAAAGCCGTCCGTTGCAAGTGCTGCAGCTTTGTTAGTATCAATTGTAAGAGCTACTATGGTTAAATCGCCCAAAGCTTCACTGGCACCATTGACTAAAGTATGTAGGCCGTTCTCTGTCTCTCTACGACCTGCATTTACACAACTTCCCTCTCGCCTAATTTTTCTTGGCATCTGCTGTTAGTGAATGAGTGAGCCTACCACCAAATTACTAACAGCCGAAAACTCTTCACCTCCCCTTGCCGGAGCCCGCATCCGCGATGGCCTCACAGCCGCCGTCGGGCACCGGACTGATGTCGGCCGACCAAGCCGACCCCGAATCAGGCTCCGGGACACCTCCGGAGCCGAACCCCACCTCAAGAGCTAAGCGACGCCGCGACGCCGAGGCACAGCCGACCCGGCCCAGCCTAACGGGAAGCCAGCTTGATGCCACCACCGACGCCCCTACCTCGGCCGAGGGGCCCGCAGCCTCTACCGCATCTGCTCCGAGCGGATCTGCCACAGGGTCCGTCTTGACAGCCCTTGCAGAAGAAGCTAGACAGTACGAGGCACGGAAAGACGTCTTTCTGACCATTGCACGGTCCGTCGACAGCGTTGTCGCCAGCTTTGACGGTTCTAGAAAGCAGATCGCGAAAGAAGCCACTGCCTATGTCATTCAAACCCTCAAGAGACTGATCAATCACGAGACAAGCCCAATAGCGGCCCGGAGTTGGGCGGCTGTCGTCGCACCGATGGCGGGCAACACCACTGCGGCGACCCGGAGCGGCCAGAGCTGCCAGAGCTCTGCCCGCCCGAAGGCCACACTCCCCGCCGAGGATCAGCCGCAGGCGCAGCCGAAGGAGGACCTCCGCATCTTTGCCCGCGTCCCGGAAGAAAGCTTAGCGGCCGCTCGGAAGATCGCACCGTTCGCCGTACGACAGATCGTCTGTAAGGCCGTTGGCCTGGGGCTAGCGGACCTTCCCCACGTCTACCATATCAGCACAGGTTACTCTCTGAAGCCGCGAAACAAGCAAATACAGGAAAGACTACTTGCAAGTAAGGCAAAGCTGGCGGAATGCCTCGGCGCCCACCAGGTCGAGACGCCTATCAAGTGGTACACTTACGTTGTGCCGCGATGCCCAACAAAACTACACAGCATTGGCGGGGACGTCCTGGACCCAGCCACACTCGTTGAAGATGAGGTCTTCGCACAGACAGGACAGAAGCCTGTCCTTGCTCGACCGTCCCGCCTTGGGCCCAACCCAGTCACGAACGAAATATCTTGGCTCATATCATTCACATCAGAGGTCACGCCCTTCAGGCTCTTCAACCAAAGCGGCAGATCTCTGCCCGTCAAGAAACGAAGGACGCTCATCCGACACGACCCCGGCTGCCAGGGCTACCACTCCAACCGGTTCTGCGGACGACGACCGATCTGCAGCAACTGCGGAAGACCTTCCGATTCACACGAAACGGGACCCTGCATGGCCAGGCCCCAATGTGCCAACTGCTGCGGCCCCTTCCAAGCCAGCCACACAGACTGCCCAGCGAGGCCCTCGGCCGTAAACGGCGTCGTCTCCCTTCCCGGTCGAAAGGAGCGGGCTCGGATCCGGAAGGCCGGCCAGAAAGCATCGGACACTCTGTACAAGGCTACTCGATCCGACAGTAGCCAGGAGGCGGCAGGCGTCCCTACCTCCACCAGCCAGAACCAGCAACCCGGCGCCAAGCGCGCGCGCACGAGAACGCCCTCCGCAAGCTCGATCGTTTGCCTCGGTGACGGAAGCACTGACAGCAGCAGCATGGATGAAGACGAGGCGGACGAAGGCGAAGGCGAAGACTCCCCCGACAACACCTCCATCGACCGTCCCGTGCTACCCATGCCAAGCAGGAGCCAACGGGCAGCACAGAAGCCAAACTACAACGTCGCGAATGCCTACACCCACCTCGAACTCGACTCGGAGACGTAAGCCGAGAGCGGCGACCCCACGGATGCTACGCGTTGCGCAGGGCAACGTCGGAAAGATCTCCCCGGCGCACACGGCTTTCCTGCAGCTCTGCTGGGAGGCTCAGATAGATGTGGTCCTCGTCCAGGAACCCTGGACGGGCTGGAAGGACGGAAACGTGCAACTGAACACGCACCCGGGTTTCGACTCTTTCGTCCCGGTCGACTTCTGGGACAGCGAAGGAACCAGACCAAGAGTATTGACCTACACACGCAAAGGGATAGGGATGACGGTGGAGCAGCAGAGGCCTGTCCACACGAGAGACGTACTGTGGCTGGTGGTCGACAAAACGACGACTATCGTCAACGTGTACAGACAACCCCGCGACCCCCACAGCCGCACAACAGGGATACTGCTAGAACTCAAACCCCCGGAGCGAGCTTTGATCGCGGGTGACTTCAACGCGCATCACTACTCTTGGGAGCCCGGGACGAGGAACGGGAACCGGGGAGATGACATCGCAGGCTGGGCAGACGGCCACAATCTCTCTCTTATCAGCGAAGTTGGGGTGGCAACCCAGGATTGCGGACATGTCCTGGACCTGGCTTTCTCTAATATCCCTTTTGCGCACGCGCAGGTCAGCCCACAGTTACACCCGGGAGCTGACCACGAGGCCATCGTGGCCGTCATACCACTATTCAAACGCCCAGTGTCACAGGGAGAGGGCCACCCGCAGCCACGGCCACTGTCAGTGCCCGACTCGGCGCTGCCTCGGCTGAGAGACCTGATCGAAGGGGGGCTAGCTGCGATGCCCAATCTGGGGGATCAACCTACTCCGGCAGACCTGGACGGGCAGGCAAGTCACATCGTCGAGCTCTTCTCCCGAGCCATTGAGGCGGTCGGCAAGAAGAGAGGAAAACAGGGAAAAGGCGCGGCTTGGTGGACGGAGGAATGCGCAGAGGCCCACAGAACGTACCGTGCTGCCCGCAACCCACAAGCCTGGGAGACGGAGCAGAACGCAAATCCTTCTCCAATGGAAGAGCGGAAGGCATTCCTGAGCATTGTGAGGAAGGCTAAGCGAGCATACTGGGCCGGAAAGATCGATGGAGTCGCTTCAGACCGGGACCTCTATCAGGTCATGGGTTGGCGGAAGGCGAGCCCACTGACCAGAGCACCCCCATTGATTGTGGACAACCAGACGATCGAGGATACTAACGAAAAGGCCCAAGCGCTCCGGAAAGCCCTTCTCGACAGGTTTAGTGCGGAAGATGACGCACCGGGTGACCCGTTTGACGTACCCGTCGTCCCAAGGCGAGCGATTACTTGGCAGGACAATGTTAGCGGAGAAGAAGTGAAGACGGCCACCTTAACAAAGACAACGACCCCTGGTGTGGACGGGATCACCACGCGCCTCCTCCAGGCCTGCTGGGGCGTCATCTCGGAGCCGGTCAGGCAGCTATTCCAGTCCTGTATGCGGGCCGGCCACTTTCCTCTGCCTTTCCGCAGAGCTGAGGTGGTCATGATCCAGAAGGCCGGCAGGGATGCCTCCAAGCCCGGGTCCTGGCGTCCGATCGCGCTCCTCTCGTGCCTGGGCAAGGGACTCGAGAGACTGATAGCCAGAAGGATGGCGTCCCTGGCGATTGTCGAGCGCATCGTCAGTCCGCAACAGATCGGAGCCCTACAGGGCAGGTCAGCCGTCGATCTGACGACCTGCCTCGCCCACGATATCGAAACGGCCCTCCTAAAAGGGCTCACGGCGACACTTCTGACTATGGACGTAAAAGGGGCGTTCGACTCCGTCCTTCGGAACCGGCTCGTCATTAGACTGCGTCAGCAGGGATGGCCACACGGCTTGGTTAGACTCATCTTCAGCTTCTGCTGCATCCGCATCGCCAGAGTCCGACTGGAAGAAAGCACAACGGAATACTTTCCTCTGTCATGCGGGCTGCCGCAGGGGTCGCCTCTGTCTCCCATCGTCTTTCTGCTCTACATCGCGGAAATACTTGAAGACGACCCGAACGCGCGATTCGGGTACGCGGACGACATCGCCACTCTGGCCATCAGCCCCTCCCTGGAGAGCAACGTCGCAATACTCAACCGAAGCGCAGCCGGCATTCTCAGATGGGGCTTGGAGAACAAGGTCTCCTTTGACCCGAGCAAGTGCGAGGTCATCCACTTTACTAGGAAGCACGGCCAGCCAGCGGAGCTGCCAGAGGTCCGGGCGGGGGATTTGGTGGTCAAGGCCTCGACGAAACCTGTACGCTGGCTGGGTGTCTGGTTCGACAAGAGACTGTCCTTCCGGCACCATGTCGACGCAAAAGTAGCTGCAGCAAAGAGGGCAGCTCAACATCTGAGACAGCTTACGAACACAAAGAGGGGACTCCCAGCGGCCGCCGTGCGAAAAGCCGTCGTCTCCTGCGTACTGCCGATCGCGCTCTTCGGCGCCGAAACATGGTACGCAGGTATCACGAAGCCGGCTTCGAGACGCCAAGCGGAGACAGACACGAATCCGCCTCTCCAAGGAAGACCCGTCAACACAGGCCAAAAGGGGCTCGTGCAGAAGATCGACAGCGTCATTACAGCGGCAGCAAGGGCCGTTCTGCCTGTCTGGAGGACAACGCCAACCAGTAGCCTCCTCCGAGACGCCGGCTTACCGTCAGCCAAAGTCGCCTTAGAGGGCGTCCGCTTACGGGCCGCAGTCCGACTACAGAGGATTGATCGCCGACACCCGCTAGTCGCGCGGCTCTCCCAGCAGGGACAGCAACAGACGAGACTACAACGGACGGCTGAACTTCTGCCAAGATGCGGAAGACCAGCGTTCCTTCAATCACAGTACCTGCCAAGCTCACAGGATCAGATAGTAGTTCAATGCAAAGAAGAGGCTGCGAAAGCTTTCGAGCGCTGGCTAAAGACAGTACCGGAAAGCCATATGATCGTCTTCTCGGACGGCTCCAGGGCGACGAACGGAGCCGTGGGGTACGGCTTCGTCATCTACCGAGACTCCAAACGCATAGCACAAGGGTGCGGCCGACTCGGACTAGCAGAAGTGTTCGACGCCGAGGTCGAAGGGGCGCGAACCGGCCTCAGAAGGGCTCTGCTCACCAATCGCGGTCATCCAATCCACATATGTATCGACAACACCAGCGTTATACAAGGCATCCGCGGCAAGGCGCCGGACTCGTCACAAGACGCGTTCCTCGAAATCCAAGAAGCGGCCAGGATATTTGATATACGGACGCACTGGTCCCCGGGACACCAGGGCATCGAAGGAAACGAGGCCGCGGACCGGCTGGCCAAAGAAGGAACGACACTGCCGGCGCGGATGGGTCAAATGGCAACACTAGCGGGCATCAAGCGGCTTGCAAGGGAAAAATTACAAAGCCAGCACAGGAGATGGTGGTATAAAGAGCGAAGGCCGCGGTACGCGGACTTGGGGCTTGAGGCAGCTCTGTCCAGCCCTCCTGAACTGGCCTTGCCGCGGGCTACGTTACATCACCTGCTGGCGGCACGATCGGGTCACGGGGACTTCGAGCAATATCACCGACGTTTCAACCACGACGACGCTCTAATGATGTGCTCTTGTGGAGAGGCGAAAGACGTGGACCACCTGGTCTACTGTCGACTAACGCTGGCGAGGAGGCAACGGTGGCCGACCCTCCACTCTCGCAGTATGCCCGAGCCCATAGGCCCTATGGGATCTCTCGAGGCCTACTTCAAGAGATTAATCACCGACCCACGAGGCTTCGAGGCCTTTCTCCGCGTGACGGACTTCTTCCAGAAGATCTGTCTGCGGTAGCAGCATCCACACCTACGTAGATGTGAGTGCGGACTACAAAGAACCTCCCGATTCCAAGGGACGATTTGGGAAAGAATGAAACTGGGGCACCAGCGGGAACCGGGGACAGACAGAACGCGTAGTGGCCACAAGGCATGATTTGGAGGACGATGTAAAGAGACGACGTACTGTAGAGTAGGTAGCCTTGGCTCACGGCCCTCCACGCCATATACCCTTCGGGAGGTCTGCGGTAAGGGCTCTAGCCCGGCCGCCACGGCGTTAAATACAACAACAACAACAACAACAACGACCTGCATTTACAATGCGTATCTCCACAAGCTTGCCGCTTTCCCAGGACCGCTGTTGGGAAGATGCAGTCTGGTGAGTAGATGTAAGCCCTCTATGTGTTGACTTTCAATGCTCAAGTCTCTTTTCACAGATTTGGCGAATCTATCATTCTCAGACTGGCCGCTTTCACTACGCCATCCAAGAGCAGCATCGCAAATATGGTATGAGTTTTATCTTTTTCTTAGACACGGCCACGATTCAGTATAATAATTCTCGCTGGTAGGGCCTGTTGTTCGAGTTTCTCCCAACGAGCTCTCCTTCGCCACGGTCGAATCATGGAAAGCAATCTACGGCAACCGTGTCGCTGGCGCACCACCAGTGATTAAAAGCGAGTTTTACGATATCTACGGCGCTGGTTTCAAATCTCTATGCATTGGGAGTGAACGTGATCCTCATAAGCACGGTAAAATGCGCAAAATGCTCTCGGCTGCCTTCTCTACGAAGATGTTGCTGGATCAAGAAGACATCATTACCAAAACAGTCGACGCTTTCGTCCATCGCCTAGGAGAAGATGTATTCAAATCGGAGGGCCTTAATATGACCAAGTGGTTTGAGATGATAGCATTTGACTCGTTGGGCGAGATGGCGTTTGGCGAGTCCTTTCATAGTGTTAAAGCTGGTAAGTTCAGCATCTACTAAGACTTCAAGGACAGCGTTCTGGCTAGAAGATAGTTTGACGGCCAATTCGAATACTGATCATGTCGATTGACAGGTAAGCCACATAGCTGGTCAGAGATCATAGTCAGCCATCTGTACTTCATCACCCTAGTCGACAATCTTCGCCGCCTCCCTTTTGTGGCTAGGTTAACCCGTGTTCTGTTCCCATCTACTTTGGCTGTCCAAAACCAGAACTCCCAGTATAGCCGTAAAAAGGTTGAAGAGTACGTATTCAACTAATTCTTCGTCAAATTCTTGATATAGTCTGACGATATGATGGCAGACGTCTATCTAAAAAGTCAAACCGCAACGACTTCTTGTCTACCGTCGTCAAGAGCTATGAAGTAGGGGCTGTTGATGAAGAGGAAATGACAGCACATGTGTCAACGTTGACGTGAGTTTTCGAATCAGACATTGCTGGTACTTACTTGGTGAGCTTCTGACATAACGACTACTTGTAGAATCGCCGGAGGCGAAACTACTGCCACATTTCTAGCCGCGGCGACGTATTACTTGCTACGGAACCCAGTGTGTCTGTTGAAGCTCCAAGCCGAAATCAAAAGCAGATTCTCTTCATTCGAGGAGATCAATGCCACTGCAGCTCGGCAACTCCCCTATTTGCAAGCAGTCATCAACGAGGGCCTAAGGCTGTACGCACCGGGCTCTCAGGGGTTCCCAAGATTGTCGCCAGGCATGAAAGTTGGCGATATATATGTTCCTGCTGGTGTAAGTGACCCTGAGGGACAACAGAGAAGCAAGATATCTGATGAAAGTGTCTACAGGCTGAAATCTTCACGCATGCGTGGACCCTGACGCATAGCGAGCAGTACTTCTCTGACCCGAAAAGCTTCAGGCCCGAGCGCTGGCTGGATGCGGATTCCACCGACGTCCGAGAGGCTAGTCAGCCATTTTCAATGGGCCCCCGAGGTTGCTTGGGACAAAAGTGAGTTATTTTGTCCTCTTACCAATGAGTCTACTATCCTAGCTACTACATGCTGATCAACTCCCAAGCTTCGCATACATGGAGATCAACCTCATCTTAGCCAAGATGCTATGGAAGTACAACTTAGAGCTGGTCAATAAAGAAGTTGACTGGGAACAAGAAAGTCAGCTGCATGTGATGTGGTGGAAACCCGCACTTATGGTCCGGTTTACTGAGAGGAAAGCTTGATAGAAGTTAAGAAGCGCTTTCACAACCAATGCACAAGGGCCTTGGGAGGCTATAAGATTAAGGTACGGGTTTCAGGGAGTACCTAAAACACGATCAACTTTCATATTCCAGACGCTTCAAGCTTCCATTTTACTCCGTGATACTATTGACCTGAACATCTTCGCTAAATTACAATGTTACAATGTTAGCTTAGCAAAGCCGAGATGACGTCAAAAACGTTTGTCTTGGGCTAAGGTACTATAGCAATAGCTCTAGAAGGCCTTGAAATATCATAAACGCTATGAAAGATGTCAAGATGCGGAAGGCTTCCTGTGAATACTCATTCCTAACTACCTACCAACTTGCTATCAAATATCAACCCACGCGCGGCTTGAGCTTCGCCATCAAACGAGGCTTCTCCCACAAGGTATGCATTCTTGACTCTCGGTGCCAGTCCAGGCTCTCATCTGCGATTTCTAAGTCATACTGATAAATCAGTTTGGCCATGACGGTGTGAATTTCCATCCAACCGAGGCTGTCGGGTTACATAGTTAGTACATGCTTCAAAGGCTCAGCCCTCATTCTTGGTGGGCTCACCTTCGTCCCATGCATGATCGCGTTCCATACGAGAAGGGCTGACTAGCATCGAGATCGTCGACTGTATTGTCCACGAGCCACCGTTCGGGTCTAAACTCCCACGGCTCTGAAAAGTTAGAAGACGACATACTCGCCGCAAAGGTGCTGGTAGACACCGTAATCTGAAGACGTATCCATGTCAGTTAAGAGGTTTTCATGAGGTTTAAGGGGATAATAAGCAAAGAAGGGGACGCACTCCACCAGGCAGAAAGTGTCCGTCAACCGTGCAGCCACCCTTAGGCACCACACGAGGGAGGGCGAAAGGAAGTGGAGGATAGATACGCATAGCCTCTTGCGCCACCGCTCTAAGATACTTCAATGGAGTTGCAGTTGCTGCCGTAATATCCTCATAGCTGCTGAAAGCTGACCGCACCTCTTCCTGTAATCGTGCCAAGATGACTGGATTCTTCAGCAGGTAGTAGGTCATGCAAGAAAGGGTAGTGGCCGTCGTCTCGCTTCCAGCGATTCTAGTACAGCCATGAATTAGTTCATGGAAGTATATTGATAGACGAATGACCTACACGAAATCAGAAGAATGTGCTGCAATTTGAGCGTCTGAAATGGCGGCCTCGTTTCGAGCCTCGATCATTTTCGTGAGGAAGTCTTCGCGATCCGAGTTAGATGCGAGGCGACTAATACTAGGTGAGCCTCGAAGTTGCAAATAGACTAAATGATGTATGCCAAAGGCATGCGGGCCCAAACCTTTGAACCAAGTCCATGGTATACTTTTGGTGTGTACGACTGTCTTTGAGAAGCTTGTCAATGAGGCCAGAAAACACTGTCTGAACGATGCTGGCGAGCGCCGGAAATCTGCGAAAGCAGTCGGCGAGAGCCCCCATGCGCAAGCTCTTGGTCACGATTGAGACCCAGAAGTGCTCTTTTCCCGAGTTAACGCCACCAAAATCCTTTCCAAAGGCCAAACTGCCAATGATGTCAAAGGTAGCGAGGTTGAACCACATGACCATATCAGTTCCTTGCGTCCCCTGGTCAACCGTTCCAATCTTCTCAATGAGGCGGTCGACACACTCGGCGACCATCGGTTCTTGTGACTTGAGAGATCGGTCGGAGAATGCGGTGCCCAAATACCTGCGCATTTCTGCGTGCTTATTGGGGTTACGCTCGCTGACGATCGACAAAGCTTCCGCGGCGAAGTTGCCCCCATCGTAGAATTCACTCTTGATGAAGGGCTCGATCCCTTTGCGAACGCCATAGATATCTTGCCATGATGATGACGAACTGAAGCTCAACTCATTTGGTGCCACACGAACGACGGGCCCTGGTACGGCAGAGTAATTAGGGTGAGCACTCCCAAAGTAAAAGGGGTATGCAACTCACCGTACTTCTCGTGCAACTCAAGTTGACGATAGGGCTGGCGACCACTCATGAAGTTCCACGAATACAAAGCCTACATACCGGTACGTGAGAACTTGCACGCCACCAAAACAGGAATTGCTAATACTTGCATTGCTGAACGAAGCCGACAGAGGCCCCGGAAACTTTCGTAAAGGATGGAACCACCATGTTGTAACTTTGTACAGAAGCACGGCGACCAACACCTATATTGGGGGACCTGGATTAGGGACGGAAGTTCACCAATATCGAAGCTACGCGGTCAGCTTACCAGACCAGCTATCTGAGCCTTCATGTTGGGACTTCTTTCCTCGCGCCGTGGCTGGATTCTATGTTCGAGAAAGCCAACTGCGTACCATCCCACATTACCAACGCTCCGCCCAAGGTTCCTATTTGTAGCCCGGGCAATTCCGATTGAGGCAGACGCCGAAGTCTCACTCCGGCCGGGATCCCCACCTCGGACTTTTACTGCTTTAAGCGACAACGAGATACAGTGCTCATCCGGCCGGCGCACGGAGGCAAGGACCAGGGTGGCTGGAACCCATGGAAGTTGCAGAGTCACCTTTTCTTGGATCAACATGCATTGGGCTGCATAAAAGGACATTTCAATAGGGATGGCGAATAGCGAGATAAGAAATAAGTCTTAGAAGCGAATCGCATCGATTCAAGTCACAGCTGCGGCCAATACCTCCATGAATCCCTGAACAACCGTTGCCCGACTGTCTGCAGGTGGACAAGCGTATTGCTGGATCAGCCGTTATGACAGACACGTCTCTTACGAAAATACCACACCACCGTCTACGATCAGACTCTGGCCAGTGATCTGATCTGAGTCTTTCCCGGCCAGAAAGCTGACCAAACCAGCGACGTCTTCAGGAGTCTGCATTCAGCCTAGGTCAGCTGTCATGAAGCGTAGTTGTCACGGGTCAAGACGCACCTGAGGTTTCTTAGAAGCAATGCGAGTTGCAACACCTTGCTCAAAGGCAGCGCCTTTAGGAAGTCCCATTTTGGTCGTAAGGCTAGTGTCAATGGTCCCCCACATGTCGGTACGGACCATGCCCGGGCAGTATGCGTTGACTGTAATGCCATGCTGTGCCATATCCATCGCAGCGGCTTGGATGAGCCCTCGTACAGCCCATTTACTGACTGAGTATGCTGGCGCAAATTGGGACTAATAACTTGTCAATATCCTTGTCGCGAGTTCTGAGGTCTGGGCTACCGGTCTATATCCCGAGATAGAGCAAGCTCCAATCAACTTCCCACCTCGGCCCTGCTTAATCATCTCCTGAGCTGCATATTTGTAACACAAGAAGACTCCTCGTACATTAATCTTTTTCACATTAAAATATGCGAAGTAAGATTCTTGGAATGGAAACTGACAGCTTGTACTTTGTCCCACTCGCTGGCACTGATCTCGAGGATCGGTTTGACGAGGATCACACCGGCGTTTGCGACCATCTCCTACACATTCACCCTGTTCAGCTCTAGTCTTGGTATCGAATTCTTGATCTAACTTACATCAATTCCGCCAAGTATCTCCGATGTCTTTCGGATGAGGTTTGCGACATCCTCTTCGTTGCTTATGTCCGCAGGAAGGACAGCAGTCCGTACGCCTGCACAGCATCAGCCAACGTCGAATAAACTTTGAACTTCAGAAAGGCATGAATTCAAACGGATCTAGAAGTTGACCTTTAAGCTCAAGCTCGTATTGCAACTCTCTCAACTTGACTTCTTGACTAGCAAGATCGTTAATGGCTATCTGGAAACCATCTTGCGCCAGGCGTAGTGCGATGGCGCGACCAATGCCATTAGCGGATCCTGTAACTAAAGCTGTACGAACAGACATGGTGTCAGGTGTTAGGCAATAATGTTTCCAATCATCTTTGAGATTCGCCTTGATGTTCCACTTGCCGTTTATATCCCCACAGTGATACTTTCGGTGTGTACCTGCCCGGGGCGTTTGAAGATGTTGACTCCGTAGTGCCGACTGCCTACTTCACTGCCGGTGGGATGCCATCTGCCGATTACCGAGTGCCGGATTCGCAGCCAGGATCTTGCGAACAGGACAAGACTCTTACCATCAAGTGTTACTAGCCATTGAAAGTTGCGCCCATTAAGAGAGGAGTACCTTACATGTAGATGTTTGGCACGACAACCTTTAATCTTCCTCAACTGCAGTGCATTCGAAATCGTCCACCGCATTGGAATATCACAAGCCACCATGCCCTTTTCAAACTTCCGCGTACCATCTTCCGCCTCAACCGTCAATGTTAGGGTCATCGACTCAACATCGAAGATTGGGGTGAGCATGGCGGGCATGGTATCGCACACCATCAAAGGTCATTCTTGGCTTTCGTGTCCCGCCTACGTTTTTCTCGTTGAGCACCCACCCACCGGCCGCAAAGTCTTGTTCGATCTTGGGGTGCGCAAAGACTTTGAAAATCTCGCACCCCCAATCCAGCACTGGATGAAAGAAAGTAGGACGACATGCAGCGTCGAGAAGGACGTGAGAGAGATCCTCGAAGAGGGTGGTGTTGAAGCAGGCGAGATCGAAAGTATCATCTGGAGTCACTGGCATTGGGATCATATTGGCGACCCGAGCAGATTTCCCCAGAGCACGTCGCTGATAGTCGGCCCTGGCTTCAAGAATATTCTGACGCCGGGATACCCTACGAACCCGGAATCCCCAGTCCTTGAGTCTGATTTCGCGGGCCGGGAACTCCGGGAATTGAACTTCGCCGAATCAACCATCAAAGTTGGCTCGTTCCCTGCCATCGACTACTTCGGGGACGGAAGCTTCTACATCTTGGATGCGCCAGGTCATACCGTTGGTCATGTGAACGCTCTTGCGCGGGTGACAAGTGGCTCGGATAGCTTCATTCTCATGGGCGCAGACACCTGTCACCATAGCGCCGAGATGAGGCCATCCATTTATAACCCGTTGCCCGACTCGCTATTACCACACCCATTTCACCTAAGAAGTGGGATTCCTTGCCCTGGCGCACTATTCAAGCCAATCCTCCGAGATGAAGACACAACCAAACCATTCTATGGCGTTCATCGACCTGGTATGATATTCGGCGACCCGGATGCCGCTGAACAGACCGTAGACCGGATCATCGACGCTGACGGATGTGGAAATACTCTTGTTATAATTGCGCACGACAACCAGTTGAAGGACGTTGTGCAGACTTTCCCGAAATATGCAAATGACTTCTTGAAGAAAGGCTGGATCGAACAAGGCAGATGGTTGTTCTTGAAGGACTTCAAGGAGGCAGTTGATGGAGCTCATAGTGAGAAGTTATAGCATTGCCACAAAAGGGCTACGATGGTCCTACAGACTTTGTACCAGACCGAACAAAACCAACTTTATCAAGTCCAAAACCCAGTGGGCATTTCAGATATTTAGGAAGATTATTAAGAATATAAATGTTCGACAAACAGTGCCTCCGAGAAAAACTTTACTCCCATATATGTTGTTTCTGAAGAACGGCTAGTGCCTACAGATCTTTCATGAGAACGAGTACCTCCGGGTATCACAGTCTGTTATCCGATCTTCTGTCCCAGATTCCCTGGCCCTGGCGGATGACAGCTGCCTTCAGCTCTGGAAGATGTCTCTCATGTATACCACGAGGACTGGTTTGATGCTTTATACACAAGTGCGCCGCGGCCGCCGTTGCCAATGCGTGGCACCCTCCATTAGCCATGAACTTGGCATTGGAGCCTCCAATATGTGTAGTACTGATATGCTTCCCAGCCATCATCAAGTTCGAAATGTTAGACGAATAGAGACATCGGAAAGGAATGTCGTAAGGCTTCTTATCCCGCTCATCCCATTCCCAGGCCTGCAGACGAAAGTCGTACTTTTGGTCGCCTGGGTAATGAAGACAAAACGCGCCTGCATTTTGGACCACAGCGTCGGGGAAGGGTTTGTGATCGCGAATATCAGTCTCTGTTAGAATGTAGTCGCCCTCGTACTTCCTGAACTCTCCCTGAGCTGCGACAAATGCCACCCAATCAAACTCAAGATTCGCATATGTCTCGGGTTCCATTTCTTTTACATTGCGAAAGGTTCCGTATATGGCACATAAGAGATGGTCTCGAATATGCTCACCATTAGTGTACGGATCAAGCCATTGGCCGTACTCCCAAAAATGTGTGAGGGGTCCCTTCATCCGCATGTCGATGGTCGGATCGGGCACGAAATTCGGGGGCACAACGTGAGGTCCTGGCCCATTCTCAAAACCAGGCTTGGTGAGCTGACCCCGAAGATCCGAATAGTCTTTCGCAACCTCGGTGGCCCATGGGACAGACGGGAAGGGCGCCGCGTTGTCGCCCATCCGTGTCCGGAAGAACACTGTGTGTCCGTGATGCATGTCGTCAGATTCTGTGGGTGCGAGGCTTTCGCCATACATCGCTTTGGACTCTTGACCGAAAAGTGTCTCTGCGCCAGTGCAGACACCAAGAACAGCCTTGCCGGAGCAGTCGATGAATACTGGAGCTGAAAGACATATCTCTTTCCCAGTACGGGCGTTGCGGGCCATCACCGATGTTATCTGGGAGCCGACGAGGGCCGCATCATACACAGTGTACTCCATGAACACCGTTGCGTTGGGCTCTGCGCCAAGCAGCCGCTTCGCAATCAAGTCGCCATCTGCGTCGCGCTGTGCGAGCTCTTGTATGACAGAGTTAGTCATGCCGCGTGGGGTGAGCCCGATCTCTACGCTGGCATTGCCACCGAGGTAAGGGCGGTCTTGAATAAGGGCAACGCGATCTCCCAGTCGTGCGGCTGCTAATGTGGCTGTACAGCCAGGTACGCCTCCGCCGACGACAACAACGTCAAACAACCCTGCATCAACAGGTTGATGGGGTATCCCACGCAGTTGTCTTCGCCAGACACGAGCTGCCTCGTCACTCTCGTTTGGCGGTGATGTGTCATCCGTGCCGAAAATGATCGCATCGCAGCGGCCGCAGAAGCCAGTCAGATCGTGCAGCACAAGTCTTGTATCACCCTCTGGGAGTTGTACTATGCCTGCGCGCTGCCAGTGCCAATCTCTGCCGTTCGTGCCAAAGACTGTGTCGAGAGTAGTTCCGTTAATAATGAGAGAAAATTGGCCAGGGTGATGAGCAGGAACCCAGTCTTTGGCTCGAACCCAAACATTATAGCGTCCCTTCTCCGCCGATATAACGGTTGTTGCGTCTGCGACTGGCTTGCCATTACCGTGAGCGAGAAGGTACGGCGAGCCCATCTCCGAGTCGAATTGCGAGTCCAAGGTCCAGCCGCCAAAGTCATGGAACTCTTCCGCTTCCACCAGTATTCCCGAGCCTGGGAGTGACGCCATGTCGAAGAATTGATGCACCTGAATAATTGAAAATAAGCAGAAAAATTAAGGTAAGGAAACCTTTCTTATTAATCGTTACAATATGATAGTTGTCCCCGCGCGTTTTATGGACGCTCGAGAAAATGTTAGTCAAAGAAAATGGCGTTGTGCGGGCAATCCGTACACGCCTCTTCCCCCATACTGGCAGAAGACTGTTAGAGAGTTCTCAGTCTCGGCTCATCAGCCAATCGGCCTCAGTCGCGGATTGTTGAATGTTAAACAAGGTAATTACTTACTGCATGGACGGCAGTGAATGTGGGGTGCGTACCCGTGCACTGCCAGTTAACTGGCACACTGGGCATGCTTGAGCAATCATCACGAAATGCCTTGCGCTTGGCCAATCATGTAATTCAGGAATGTCTTGCATATGGAATCAGGCGCTTCAATTGTAACGGTGGCTCGGTCGTGTCAGTCTCCGCAGACACGGAGGTATGAAGCCGACAAAGAGACTCAGGGAAGTTATGAGGTTCAAAAAATTAAAGATAAGAACTTTGCCGGTCCTATCGACGGAAACGGAATCGGACTTGCTGTCGATCCGTCGGGCGTCGAATAGACGGAAGCGCCGCGCCCGACGTAGTTCCGGCTCCCACATCGGCTCCCACACCTTATGTACCAAGTGAAGTAAGGTGCGGAGAACTGGGTAGACATCACTTCAAGCTTGAAAGTTCCAGCTCCATTGAAGCTGAACGACCCCTACATCTCACAATATTCCATGTCGACTTGAACCTCAACATGAATTCCAGGACCGGGCGAGACCGTGCCAACATCGTTTGCGTTGAATGCCATTCCCGAAAGGTGAGTTGGGTCACCTCATCACAACGATGCTCCCATCTGTACAGGCTTATTCACTGACCCTCACTTGAAAAGGTCAAATGTGACCTGCAAAACAACCCCCGCGATGGGTGCGCAAACTGTCACCGTGCTGGCATCCAGTGTATGTAGGTAAGTCTCGTGCCGGAAACACTCTCGAAGACTGCTAACAGCATCTTCTGCTTTAGTCGCCGGGATGGCGTCCGTAAGAGACGGAAGTTGATAGCTCGGCAAGGTCAACCCATACTGCCGATTTCACCGACTATGCCGGCCCCGCCATCGCCAGTCCGCCCCGGCACTGATGGTATCTGGGACGAAACGCGGATGTTGACCCCAGCACCGTCTTCAGAGTTGAACACGCGGGTCCACCAGCCGGAGGGATTCATTTCTCACAGCTCCGTCATGTCATTTGACTCCGCTTTAGAGCCGGTTGCTATCCATGATGGCCTCCCACCACGGATAATGCGACACCGAGCTATCGTGCTTAAGGCTACTCAAGCCGATGTCCTACCATCGCTCGCGTTGCGCAAAGCTTTGACGGACGCCTTCTTTGAATATGCCGCTCCTTATTTCCCAATCGTTGACGCGGAAGATCTGTCTAATGAGACTTCGTCGATCCTGTTGCAACAAGCGGTGTGTCTTGTCGGCAGCCTTATGCGCCATGATCCAAGTAGTATGAGTCTGGGTTATTCCCTCTACGAAAAGATTCAGACTCTCTTGCACGTTGAGTTTGAACAGGATAATATGGCCCTACTGAAAACTTTATGCCTCATGTCATGCTGGGCTCCAGCTTCTCCCTATTCCGTCACGCTTCACGGGCCGTGGCACTGGACCGGCATTGCAGTGCGGTTGGCAATTCAAATGGGCATTCACACTCAGTCAAATTGGGCGGAGAACGATAACGCTGGATGCTCACGGCGCATCTTTTGGCATCTTGTTGTGCGTTCTAACCTCTCCTCCCTTCCCTGCCAGCCACGATATACCTGCTTCGCTAGTACCTTACGATACAAACCTCTAATCATGTTCTCAGCCTGACTTGACACTTTACTGACGTTTTGCAGAACAGCGAAACACTCATGGTCGCCTGCTGGGGTCGACCTCGGTCCTTGAAGCTAGATGACTGCGATGTACAGCCTCTTTCTGCTTCGGATTTCACAACCCAGGGTCTATCGGTCCTGATCTCTTTGCACTTTACTGGACTTATGAACTCAGTCAGTATGGTGTCAGAGTTGAACACCAAAAAAGGCATGCCATCTGATTTCGAGGTCGAAAGTGTCATCACGTCGCTTTGCACTTGGCAGGGCGGCCTACCGGACGAATTGCGACTCTACGATGCAAACGGCACTAGGAAAGACTTTCACCGTTACACTTCAGAGTTACATATTCACTACTTGACGTCAGTCATAGTTATTCAGATGCCCAGCAAGGATCGCCATTCTCCGTGGCGGACATCTTCCGCATCGATCCTGGCGGCAACTCGCATCGCTGAGTTATATGAAGAGATCCACTGCAGGGAAGAATCCGTACACTTATTGAGCATCAACGGATTCATGGCTCTTGTTGCTGCAATAGTGTTGATATTCCATCGACCGCACTCATCAAAGAAGGAAGAAGAGCGCATGAACGGCATTGAAAGCATCTGCTCGGTACTGCGCGTTATGTCTACGAAGTACGGCGGCGCAAGATCAGTGCTGCAAAGAATTCAGGGCTTACAAAGTAACCACGAGAAAAGAAAACTCTCGGTCAACAGCCTCCAGAACAGCAGTGCCTCATCCTGCGCGCCATGGGTAGCGAAGACCGTAAACGCACGTGTTCATGAACTTTTTCCGTTCTCGCTCAGTCTTGACGAGAACGTGGACTTCTTAGATGAAGCGGGGGCTAGAACAGATCAAATGCCAGGTAATGAACTTGGTGCTCAGAGTCCTATACCCCTCGAACATGCGCCCGATACCATGTTTTCGTTGATGGACATACTAGAGATGGATTTCGATCCATTTGACAACACCAATAGCTTCGTGTAGTAAAACTATCTGATCTTCCACTGAGGATTCCCATAAATTATCTAGTCTATAAGCCCTCGGTTTGAAAGGGTTGTCGTCACTCCTTCCAACGAGGAGCATTGGATGAAAGGACAGCAGCCTTGTGAGACTACAGGATGCACGGAAGTTTTGTTTCTTGCACTTGCCATCCCTTCGCAACCTGCAGTGGGCTCATCACTTTGCCGTACTGCTTTGATATCCCGGAATCCTAGGGCTACGATTTTTAGCAGCCGCATTATAACGGTCAACTTATGCGCGAGAAAGCAAGGCTTCTGTCGGCACCCCTCGGTTCTGGAGATAGTGCCGAGTGCCGATGACTACAAGTCATTTCTGCCGAACTACGTTATTGCCGAGCGTGATGGGAACGCATATGCAGTTCACTACGTCCAGCGAGGTACGGAACGGACCAGCCATGACGCTGCGTCTACGAAGCCCCATGGAAAATCGATCAGAGTCCGTCGGGGTCTCTGTGACTTTCAACCGCCGCTGTAGTTACGAAGATTTGGGGTAGTCTGCCTTGTTCACGTCCTGCTAGTCGCTTTTTCAACTTCGATCCCTTTTTACACATTTGATTACATGGCCCTTGGAGTATAAAAAGCAACAACCCGCCATGAAATACAGGTGTCTGAGTGTCTCAAGGCATATCAACTTGAAAACTAGACTCCGAACCAAAGATCAAACTCCAACTCTACTCTAACCAAAACTATCAAACATGTCGAACCTCATCGTAGTTATTGGCGCGGCCGGTGGCCAGGGAGGAGGTGTCGTCGACGCTTTTCTCAACGAACCAGGCTGGAAAGTCAGAGGCACCACGAGAAACACCTCGAGCGAGAAAGCAAAGGCGCTCGCCGCAAAGGGTGTAGAAGTTGTTTCTGCCAACCTCAATGACGAAGAGAGTCTCGAGAAAGCCTTCCATGGGGCTACGGCGATTTTTGCATTCACTGACTACTACGACACATTCTTCGAACTCGGAGATGACAAGTCCCTGGAGTTGGAGTTCGAACAGGGCAAAAGGATTGCGCGTGCGGCGGCAAAGACTCAGTCTCTCCAAAGACTAGTGTTCAGCGCTGGGCCTCACACGAGCAAGATCACCAATGGGGAGGCAGTCTGCCCTCACCTTGAGGGTAAGGGGCGCATCGTCACGTATGTTACGCAAGAGATGCCAGACCTTTCTGCCAAGACTACATTCGCCGTCTTCACTGTTTTTGCGAATAACGCACTGCTCTACGATATCTTCAAGCCGATTTACGTGGTATGTAAAGCAGCCAGCTCGATACTCAGAGACATACTGACCAACTTGAAGCCGAGCGCAAAGAAATACGTCACCTTGTACCCGGTGCCACCCAACACGCCCTACCCATGTGTTGGAGATCCCGTCATCAACGGAGGTATCTTTGTTCGAAGACTGGTGAAGAACCCGCCGCCTCCAGGATCCTTTGTTCGATGCAACGTCGACAAACGAGGGGCAATTGCGGGGTAGCAACTCACAGCACATGCGCACCACTTCCAGCGCAGCAAAGTTAGAAGAGCACCCGCAAAAACACCAAAGCTCCATCGCGGGGTTATTACGGCGCATCGTCAAACCACCCGGCCTCGTCCCACCCACCCCCACCATCCAAATACAAACCCGCCCCCAAAACGTCACAAGTCATCACCACCACACTTTTGCTTCTCTCTTCTTCTTTTTCCTCAGTCCAGCCTTTATCATCATCCTTGGTCTGATCTGTCTTCCGTCCACTGCCGTCCTTTCCAGCGTCAAAGATACCCGTTCCATATTCAAACCTGAGCGAAACACGTCTGCCCACCATGGCCGGTCCCGTTCCCACCGCGAGCGCCCTCGCCGACATCTACACGGATGATGCCCTTCCTATCCAGACCAAGCGGTGGACCTCGCTTCTCTCGCAGTTCGAGTCCGAGTATGGCCACCCAGCTTCCGTCGTCGCCCGTTCCCCAGGCCGCGTAAACATCATCGGCGAGCACATCGACTACTCCCTCTACTCCGTCCTGCCCATGGCCATCACCGCCGACGCCATCCTCGCCTTCTCCGTCACCGACACTCCCGCCGACTCCGAGACCTTCACCCTCCGCGTCGCAAACGCCCAGTCCGACAAGTACCCCTCTCGCACCTTTGAGGTCCCTATCGGCGCCGACGTTCCCATCGACTCCAAGGTTCACGAGTGGTCCAACTACTTCAAGAGCGGCCTGAGTGGCGCCCTCGAGCTGCTGCGTCGCAAGCATGGCAAGGGCTTCAGACCCAAGGGTATGAAGATTCTCATGGACGGTAACGTTCCTGTCGGCGGCGGTCTGAGCTCCAGTGCTGCCTTTGTCAGTGCTTCAGCATTGGCTGTCATGCTTGCCAACGGCGAGCAGACAGTCGACAAGACTGAGCTCACCGAGCTCGCCATTGTCAGTGAGCGCGCCGTGGGTGTCAACTCTGGCGGGTAAGTACTCCTTTTATGCCCCTTTACTACATCGTCTCGACCTAATAACCCGAACAGTATGGACCAGTCCGCCTCCGTCTTCTCCCAACGCGGCTCAGCCCTCTTCGTCTCCTTCAGCCCCTCTCTGACCGCCCGCCCCGTCTTCTTCCCAACCACCAACCCGGAACTCTCCTTCCTCATCGCCCAGTCCTTCGTCACTTCCAACAAGCAGGTCACTGGTCCCATCCACTACAACCTCCGCGTCGTCGAGTGCAGCATGGCAGGCGCTTTCCTCAACGCAGCCCTCAATCCCGCCGGCACAAAGCCCCCCGCCGACGCCTCTCCGCTAGGTATCTCCCTACACGGCTTCCACAAGGCCTACTTCGCCAACAACAAGCTCCCGCACGCTGAGGGCGCTTCGGCAGAGGAGGCAGCAGAGGCGCAGCTCCGCGTGCTCATCGACGTTACCAAGAAGGCTCTTGCCAGCACCGAAGGCTATACCCGGGAGGAAATCGCCAAGGTTCTGAGCGTCTCCGTCCCCGAGCTTGAGCAGATCTTCATGTCCAAGCTCTCCGTCCGCGCCGACCGCTTCAAGCTCCGACAGCGCGCCCTGCACGTCTTTGAAGAGGCTCTCCGCGTACTCCAGTTCATGAAGGTGCTGGAACAGGAGGCACCCAAAGATACCTCCGACACCACGGACTACAACAAGCGCCTCGGCGACCTGCTCAACGCCACACAAGATTCGTGCCGCGATTTGTACGAGTGCAGCGCCCCCGAGATTGACGAGCTTTGCCGCATCGCACGCGAGAACGGATCGTATGGTAGCAGACTTACTGGTGCTGGCTGGGGCGGATGCACCGTTCACTTGGTGCCTGCTGATAAGGTTGCTGCTGTCAAGGAAGCGTGGGAGAGGGAGTACTACTCCAAGCGCGAGCTTACTGAGGAGCAGAAAGAGGGCGCCGTTGTTGTGAGCCGGCCAGGCAGTGGAAGTGCAGCATATCTCCTCAAAGATGGGGGCTTGTGAATATTGAGAGAGTACTAAAGAGGAGGGTTTTGGAGCTCATTCTGCAGCACATTTGTCGGCATTAATATAGACTTCAGATGATGAGAAGTAATTTACCAACACTGGTTCTTGCCTAATAGTTTTGTTGTCGCTGTTGATCTGGTCGCCCCAGCCTCTGGACTCTTCCGCCACACCCTCGCCGCTTGCAGCGCCACGTTCAATACTACGCTGAATAGGAACCATTTGGCAAAGCTACAACATTGTGGTCTTGATACCTGCGCTTCGGATGAATGTAGGGGACTTGACCTGTTAGTTGAGGACTCCCTCGGGTTCAGCTTGCAGATTCTTGTTGCCGTTCTTAGCCTGCCGCAGCAATAACCACGCAGCTTAGGGCCTCAGTCCGGTTAACTCCCCAGCACTTCTAATGATCTTCATCTCCCTCACACAAGGCAATGCTTCCCCTCATAACCATAAACATGCAAATCAGCATGATAGAACCGACTCGTCCGGTCTTAGCTTTCAAGTTTTTCATCATCCTCAGCACCTTCTTTGTGAAGCCGCCCCCGAACGAAAAATCCGTCATTGGCTCCTGCTGTTTTCTTCTCGGCTATGGTCTAGATGCCAAGTGACAAAGAGGCGCCCGAAGCTGACCGGTTCTCAGATTGGGTTACGGCTGAGAGGTCGCCATTCTAAAATGCTTCTCAGCCTGTGACCGGCCTGATGAAATGATTTGACAAAGATTTTGAAATTGCATCAAGCCATGTAGGGGATGGGCGCACAGCAGATTTTAGTAGAAGGCAGTAAAAGCTCAGACACACGCCAAGTTGGACGATCAGCTCAATCTTTTAATGCTCGTATTGTTAACAAGAGGTACTCGAGTACGTCTAGGTGACTATTTGCCTACATATGCATGATTTTGGGTCGACACAGCCTTCTGTCCGGCGTTCTCTGTGGAAGCCATAGCTCGACAACCTGCTGCAAGGCTTGTAGAGCCTGCTCCGTGTCTGATTCCATTTCTTGTGTGATTTGCTGACAGTGTGGAGGCAACATGGAGGAATGAGGGATTGGAATCATGGAAACCTGTATGCACATGCATTTAGGTCATCGGCCATCGCCTAGTCTTCCTTGCCAGGTGGGAATAGCTGGTGTGTGACTACATATGCGTGGCTTTAGTTTGGACTCTAGCGCCCTTGTTAAGAGTCGCTCGCTTATTTATCTAACCGTTGTCGTTCTCTGAGCCTGCAGAATCTCATTGAGATAGTAGACAATTTTGCCTGAGATCCGGAAAGCATGCATGTGGTCGCCCCCAACAGCTCTAGAAGGATCATTGCTTGTATTGATGGAACCTGGAATAACGAGGATGGGCGAGAAGGTTTGTGCCGCCACGTCTCATCTCTTTCCGACAAATCTCAAAAATTCTTTAGGCCAAGACTACGGGAATAACAGCAATGTGCTTCGCGTCTACGCTTCAATAAAGAGAGGCAGAGTCACCGACAGGCCTGGCAAAGACTATGTTTAGGTAGATCCGTTTAACCCCCCAACCCCCCAACCCCCGGCCCCAAAGGAAAGGCTACGTCAGTCTGCTCATCATCAATACTTCAGATTGTGAAATACTTTCCAGGCATCGGTGTCGATAAAACTCCTTTGGAGGCATGGAATGAGGGTATCACTGGAGCGGGATGTGAGGAGCAAATTTAAGAGGTATTCGCGGTGAGTTATCTACCAAACGTTTTTCTCGAAGCCGACGGCGCTCTAACTATGTGCAGTTTTGTTGTAGGGAGGTCAGATCGAGTAGTGACGAAATTTGGCTGTTTGGATTCAGCCGCGGTGCTTGTACACGTCCATATACTTAAATTCAGTCTCTACTTGAACATTGTTAACTTGACCTCGAAGATGCGGCCAGAGTTGTTGCCGACCTTCTTCACAGACTTACCCTCAAACAAGTCCCTGAAGACAAGGCAAAAGATATGGAATTATGGAGTAGCATTAAGCGCTTGGCTAGGCTGAGTCTCAATGAAGGAGATGTGCGCCGTGGACAGGAATATCGATTTTGGTGAGCTAGCTACCCGATCGTTCCCCTTTGCCTACTACCTACTTAAGGTAGCCCGATTTGACGACACTTCTGTAGTCTTGAGAACACACGAGATCCCCCAAAGATCAAATTTCTGGTGCTATTTGACACAGTCAAAATGGTGCTCACTAAAGACCCATTCAACGAGACCGTCGGAACGGACGTCAGCTTTGTTGAGGATGTCCGGCACGCACTTGCACTCAATGAGGAGCGTAGAGCTTTGCCTTTACTACCCATTGGATTGAGTGAAGACGGGCATGTTAAGGGCTCATATTTGCAAGCCTGGTTCGTTGGAGCCCATGCGGACATGGGCGGAGGGGCCGAACGCGACGGCCTCTCCCTTTACCCTTTGCAGTGGATGTTCATCGAGAGCAAAAGCCGTGGTTTGGTGCCCTATCATGAGCCCCCGAACCGAATCAAGGGCCTAATTGAAAGTCCACTGGACCTGGCCTTTCCAGAATCTTCTCCCCTTCTTGCTCTTCTAGAAGCTCGAGCGCCTGTTGCCGACACAGGCTTCATCGAGCAAAACTTGTGGACGTTCAGGTACTCGAGTAGGGCCGAAATCATCATGTACGATCTTCGGGATTCACACAGGCACGGTCATCTTCAAAAATTTCCGTCACGATTACGGGAAGCCAAAGCAGAAGCACCTCACATTGGGTCAACATCAATTCGGGCGCCTTGGCCGGCTTGAAGCTAGCCAAGCGGCAAATCTTCGATGCCGAGGGCTTCGGCATTCTTCAAGGGTACAATACGAACTGTAAGCGGATATATATCCCCCAACTCGATTTGCTCCTTGCCTCGTCTGTTTCGTACCGATAAAACATTCACGCAGCAACCAATGGAACTGTGGTACACCCGTCGGTGTACTTTCTTTTAGACACTTACCCCACGCTAGGGATGCAGAAGGCCTTCAAGGGTATACAAGGTTATCTGATTGAGTTCCGGAAGTGCTCCAGCCTAATGCCCATGTCCAATGGTAAAAGGGCAAAACTTGACCCATAGTTCAGAAACTTCCTTCCCACCCTCACGAGCTGTCGGATTCTAGTCTGCGGCAACACAGGGGTGGGCAAATCTACACTGTTGAACCGTGTTTTGGGTATTCCAACGGTCAGATACTAATCAATTTGCCTGAGAACTAAGTGGAGGTACTAATATACACTGCATTTATAGACGGAAGTGAACGCGGTGCAGCGGGGCAAGCACGATATAACAAAGGCATTCGGATCAGATCAACATCCGGGTATTATTTTTCATGATTCCGAGGTCTTAAACGGGAAACACCAGGGAAGTCTCGGCATTCAAGAAATTTCTTCAGGCTCGGGTTGGCAATAGCGAGGTCCGTGAGAACCTACATGCTATATGGTAGGTGGAAGACAACCCCGAGAACTCTCTACCAGCTCTCCCTCTCACCTTTTTCTTTTTTTAAAAATACAGGCTTTGAATCCAGACAGACACCAATCGGCCAGTTCAATCGGCCCTAGCAAATGTCTCGAGACAGGCATCGAGTCTACAAATTCCACGGCAACCCTTACCAAGGTGCTCTGCCGCGAAATCGCGCAAGGCTCCTTCGGCCTTCCAGAAACCAATGTCGCCGAGATTGATAAGATCCACAGAGACGTTGTGTGGATGAACCTTGCACCTTTCATAGCCCAGAACGTCAGCCAGTCTGACCTAATTCGTAAAGGCGCCGTGTATCTGACCATGTCTACTGATATTGGTGGTATATCGCTCGACGCTGGGGCAATGCTGCTCGAGGCGCCAGCAGCCGCCCGGATGATCTTTAAATGCGCATGCGACCTCATCCTCATCTTGGAAAATGCTTACCGATACTATGGCAAAACTGTGGGCTGTGGGAAGATTAAGCATGTGGCCAAAGCTTACATCAAGAGTAAAGTCTTGATCTTGAAGGACGACGTTCGAGTCACGCGAACGAGAAGGAGAGCAGTCCATGGAGATATCAACGAATTGATACCGACAACGTCAAAGCGAGGCGAAGGAGAGTTCTAAGCTACATCGCTTGCGGACTATCGAACTGGTATCAAGGATATTGTCTTGAAATACAGGTCGGAAAAAAATTGTGCGCGGCTGTTGGTTCGGACAACGATGCTAGCCAATGGGTTAGCCTAGAAATTCCCGAGGATGAGGATGATCTTAGAGAGTTTGGGAACGATCTATAAGAAATGAGAATGTCCAAGGATAGCTATGGGAGGGGTTTCCGAGAGATGAGGGAGGGTTCGCTACACAGACTTTAGGACAGCTCTGCTCTTCCACAGGGAATGGTCTCTTTGAGTTATCCTCAGTTCCAACTTCACATGCCCACTCGCCCATCTTTCACCTTCGCATGCCCCTGTACGTGCCTTTTGCTGAGCCCTAGTAGATTCGAAACCCCCGCAACGATAATCAGGCACTGACATGGCACACTTTCGGCAAGACAATATGTCGAGATATCTCATTCTCACGGCGTGGACGTTTTGCAATCTCGCCTGTATGAGTCGTAGACGCCATGGTCACAATGATTCCACCGACACGGCCGCTTTCGCCTATCTAAAGGTGACATCGGAGACAAAGCGGACCCTCAGTCGATATCCATCGACCGAAGCTAGCACTGAAGTGTTTAGATGGAGTGCCGATCTGTTCCACTCCAACGGAAAAGCACATAGATTCAGCTTGACTTGTTATTCAATGATTGAAGGCCGTTAGCCCAGCCTACTTAAAGTTTACCAATGGGTCACAATATCTACTCGGCGATATTGGACTGCCGTCAATGTTCGTCGTTGTGGTTGCGGACCGTTTAGACTAGCTCTCTGGCTCGGTAGATCGGCAACGAAGCTTAGCCAAAGCTTGAATCGTACCCCAGCCACTACCCATGTTCCAGAACCCCCTCCTTCCTTTTCGGGCAGGAGACTCTCCTTGACTCCTACGTCTTATCAATTACACGAACGACGGATAATTGAGATTCGGATGTTCGGCTGACAACAGACGGGTCCATGTAGTGGAACAGTCAATAAACCCATCTGGTGGAACCGCAGTCGCGGAGTTCTGTGGCCGATGGCGCGTCGAAGACGTGTATTAAAGCATGGCGCCTGGTCGACAAGCTGTAGATTACCGCTCGTCTCTGGCAACTCTAGTAGGGACTATCGACACCGACGACTTCAGTACGGTACCACCGACCCCTCACGCTCATTATGAAGTCCATTGCCGCTATCGCATCAGCGGCGAGCCTGGTTGGCTCTGCTGTGGCCGCATCCCGTGTACCCCTCCACTTCGACATCACCGAGGTTGACCTGTCGCCTCTGCTGAAACGCAGCGTTGACAACGAGCCTCTGGAAGTGTCGCCTCACGTCCTAGATTTAAAGAGAGTCGTTGGTACCTCCCCGGCTCAGACATGGATTCAATCCATTCGTAACGGGCCTGGTTCGGATGGCACGTACAAGACAGGTCACGTTACAAACATGACCGACTTGAACGGCTATGAGTACATTGCCAGTATTGTCTTCGGCGACGAGACGCTCCAGGTCATCGTCGACTCCGGATCTAGTGACACTTGGGCTGTTCAGAAAGACTTTATCTGCCAGGACTCTGACGGCAACAGGTTGAACGACGTGAGTGACGCGTCAACATAACTCCCAAAGGAGAAGAAATCTTTGTATTAGGCCAAGCTGACTTGCGGGTAGACATCAATGTGCGACTTCGGGCCCACGTACAACGGGACGTTTCAGCATGGCTCTATCCCGGGCGTGCACTTCAACATCACCTACGGTGACGGCGAATTTGCCACAGGCCTCATGGGGTATCAGGACATCACCCTGGCTGGCCTCGAGGTGCCGCATCAAGAGGTCGCCTTGGTGAACAAGACTTACTGGAACGGTGACAACGTTGCCAGCGGCTTGCTCGGCCTCGCCTATGATCTTCTCACCAGCGAGTACGACGATGCCACCGGCAAGTCCATCTATTATGACTCCATCTTCACCACCATGTCGAAGAAGGGTATTGTCAAGCCTGATCTTTTCAGTATGGCCATGGATAGTAAGTCTCAGATTGGCCAGTTGGCATTTGGCGGGTTGCCTCCTGTCGAAACCAAGGGCAAGTTCATCAGCACGCCTATCCGATTGGTGAGTGGTTCAAATCATTAAACGTGCTAGTGCAGAGGAGTTTTGCTTCATGATGGGATCTAACTTGGACTCAGATCGCCCTCTCATCCCGTCGACCCGAGGCGAAGACGGAGTACTCTTTCTACACTATCCTTCCTGACGGATACGTCATTAAGAACGTGACGATGGCTCCTACTACCAATCAGACTCTGGCAGCGAGCAGGTGGAATACCGCAGTCTCTAAGTCCGCCGGATTTCACAACAACACAACCCCGACGATTGTCGACAGTGGCACGACTTTGATGTACGTGCCGACTGGTAAGTACATCCGAGACCCCATCCGTTGAAGCCCGGGGGCCAGCATAGATCACTTGGCTTACCCTTATGTCCAGATATTTCGGATGCCTTCGCAGCTGGAATCCCCCACTCTTTCTACGACTTCTTTTCCGGCGCATATTACGCTCCTTGCGATGCTACGGTGCCGGACTTTGGTGTTGTGATCAACGGGCATACCTTCTACGCCGACAAGGCCGACTTGATCCAGAGTAGCGACCCAATCGACAACGGTGACGGCACCTTTGTCTGTTTGCTTGGTGTCACCGACGGCGGCGAGGGACCCTACATCTTGGGTGACACCATGATGAACAGCCTCGTGACTGTGTTCGACGTCGGCGCCGCAATGATGCGCTTTGCAAGCCGCAAATAAGCTGGCTAGGGCGAATGGGGGCTTTCGATCTTATCAAGTTTCGAAAACTGCGATTCGCAAGTTATGGTAGCTTATATATAGCAGTTGCGCATACTCTAGTTGTGAGGATGAAACATTGTTGTGGAAACAGTCGAGTGAAAGCGTTAGAAAGCACGCAGTTCTAACTTCCCAATAGGTGCCCTATGCAGGACGTGTTTACTCATAGTTGTATTTGTTCCATATTGTTCTGGTCAATTGTGACGAGTTCTGCATGATGCATATATTACTTCAGTTTCGACGACTTTACTACTCACATCTTCCATGTTGGTAGTGTTGAAAGAATCACTTCCAACGACTAGCGCCAACAAAAGTGCACCACCACACAGTGGCTAGCAGTATTTAGCGGGTCTTTGATTACACAGCGAATAGTGTTTCAGCTCTCGAGCTGATCACGCTAGGACTTGGAGTTGATTGTTGTGAAAGCCCGCAGACATTGCGAGAGTCTTATTTACAAGAACCGAATTCGTGAGCTCTTAATCTAAGCACATCCAGGGAAACCGCTTCCAGTTCCCGCACCCTGTCTGTCACAGCAGTTCTGGTAGGTCTATCGGCTCGTTAGTACTTGAGAAAGCTCTCTGCGTTGAAGTGGATTTTTTGACGTACTGTGGTATCAGGGCCGTTGTAGTTGCAGCAAAGGAACCATTGTCCCCAGACAAGCTCGTGGGGAAATTTGGCGCTGTAGGCCACGCAGGCGGGGGATTGGCGCTCAACGACTGAGGGGGCGGCGCTCGTGCCCGCGATGAGGGGAAGAACAACAGCGACGATTGAGAACTTCATTTTGGGTACTGGAAACTTGAGAAGACTAAAAAGAGTGATTGATGTTGGTTCGAATGAGTTGATTGGGTATTCGACAGTGGGAAAAGTTGTCTCGAAGACTGGAAATATGTTCGTCTTATAAAGCACCAGCACATGGCCTGAGTTGTCTTGGCTCAGGGACTCCTCAGGGGTTGCCGTCACTCCGGATGAACACTGTAAAGGTGACAACGCAGGCTATAGTCCACTTGCACGCGCGCGCCATCGAATCATTTCACGCGATTACATCGGCCGATTCGGTTGTTACTTTTTAGGTTTGCCAACTTTCCTATTCCCGCCTGCCAAAGAATGAAATCCCACATAACTTTCCGGATTGCTTCTCACTTTAATTGCTTTGTCATAGGCCAAGATAGTATCGATGTGGTTAAGCGAAGTGTTGATCCTTGCACAGCCTGACAGGTCACGAATTACTAACGATCAGCGTCTAGGTGACACTCTTGGCCCCGGACATCCCACCCGCACGTAGAGTGACCACTGACATGAGGTCGGAAATGTTATCACTTCTATTTCATTCTCATCTGTCCATGCAATTGCGATTCTCATGCTTCAGTTTGCTATAAGATGCAGAGCCTCTGGTCGGCATTGAAGTATGCCGCATGCGTCGGGACGCTGTAGTTCCCACGGATGAGAACCAGTAGAGGTCGCTAAAGCAGCGTTACAAGACGCTCAGTCCGATTGCATCATTGCTAAACTCGATTGCAACTTCATACCTTTGAATATCCTAAGTAAACGTCCACTCGAACGACTCGAACGACAGTCGGAGCAACAATTCACCCGTCCTACCATCTGGGCGGAGTGGAACAACTCGAGTGCTTGATTTGGAAGGCGGAGCGTCCCTCAGCGCCATGTGACAGCATCCGTGGGGAGCCAAGGACCGGCACTGACAAGCGATGGGGCCCTGGGCGGGTATATCACCCCAATTCAGGAAGCATTTGAGACGAGCCATCACAGACAAACAAGGATGGCCTGCTACCCAGGCAATAACAAAGATTCAGATGCATGTGCGTATATGAATGCTTTGAGATTAGGTATAAATTAAGCTTTGAACTGGTTTTTGGGGGCCTAAAGACCCTTTCGATGGAGAATAGAGAAGAGATGAGCAGGGCCAATAAATACTCAGCCTCCTGCGGCCCAATGCACCATCAAGCCTGCTCTAGGCCATGTCAATTATTTAACCAAACTGGATTTACGACATTGCTGAAAGACAACATTAACAAATATACATACTCAATAGGCTGTTTGGACGACCACTTGTCTGTTTCCCCATATCCAGGTCCCGTCTTATTCAAATAAAGTAGAGGAAGCCTGTGACACCAGAAACTCCCTTAAGCGGGGTTGAAGTTGATCTGTCTCCTCCCGCCGTTGGAGCAGCATGACTACAAGTAAGCAATGGCATTGGTGTCGGCAGTGGTGCAGCACTAAATTGCCGGTCAGCTGTCTTCCTTCTGATAAAACAACACTAGCAGAGGACCGACAAATGTTCCGGGGCCATCATGGTAAATCGTGCCATGGGGAGATTCGCAACAGCTCTGCGTGAGGGCATCGTGACGAGCTCCAGGTGCAAAAGTGTCCTGGCAAATACCGGCGTAGAAGCTTCCTTTGCAGGTCGCGATAGATGCGAATGAGCCGACGGCGCATGCGCTGGAATCGGAAAGGTAAGCGTGTATCCACATTGGCAGACATCGGAGTCGGAACTACCTACGCGATGATGACAAATATATGTTGGGATAGCATTATGAAGGCGAATTGATGACTATGGTTAATAAGAAGAAGACTTGGCTATTGAGACAAGGTTCGAATGGTTGGAATATGCTTGTGAATGAGAGTTGGATGCTACATCAGTCGGAGCTGTAACCTTGCGGCTCTTATATATTCCAGCTTGTCTTCTTTTGCCTCCGAGACTTTGCGAGAAAACGGAATTCTGACTCCATTCGCAATCTATATCCCACCGGGTTGAGGAAAAGGAAAAGCTTAAAGAAGTGAGAACATTCGACGTTCACCGCCTTCGCGAAGTCCGAGGAGGTCGGAGAAGTCGGATCGATGGCATAACGTGGTCCGGGAATCTCTACAATTCGACCGAGTGTGTTGGTCAAATCGCCAGAAAGGCGCATTCTAGGACCATGTTCCTGGAGGTCATTGGAGTTTCATAGGAAGTTTGGAACGAGGTCTCCGAGTGTTGTGCGTTAGTCTCAACTAGCATCGGAGGCTGACCGCTAGCATGCTTTCTACCGTGCTGCTGTCACTATGGTCTATTCTAAGCCCTTGTCACAGGCTGAAATGATGGTCTTTTTGATGCAGAAACCGTTCATCACCTCTACAACTCTACAAGAGCATCTCATCTTCGAGTGGGTCCGTGTAAACTCTATATTGTGGCCGGTGGCCGCACTGTTGGTCTCTCTACTACTATCGGACTCGATCAAAATGATTGGATCGCACAGGAGCTGCATCGAGCAAACACGGCGAAATCAGGATTTATTGACTGAAATACGTGTTCTTGACTTTAAACTATGCATAAAAGGCCGATTTCTGCATCTCAGACTTCGGAAGAAAACCACTTGAGGCGGATATGTTGGACCGGGAAAAAAGAGAAAGCCGCACCTTACCCAAACGACATACCCAAGGTGAATAGCCGACGTCAACGATCTATCTTACCTTGATTCAAATCCCACGGCTTTGTAAATTATATCACGTTGTCTTCAATATTGGTCAAGGTGTTTGCACAAAGAAGACAAGAATCATTTCCTGACTGTGGGTATCCGGAGCATTTTGGACTAGGTACCTCAAGTACTCTGAAGATGCCTAGTGTGATGCGAAGCCCAACAAGACATACAAATCACTAATCAAAATCGCATTGAATTTGATGTTCTAGAAAAAGTCTCATAACAGAATTTGACTGACTTGTAAAGCGGAAAGAAAGAAATATCGGATCATGCAGCCCATCGGTTCTGCTCCGAAGGTTTCCACATCGACGGCTGTTGCAATGCCGGCCGCAGGATCCGGCGCGGGGTACGCTCCACCGTGCTGGGCTGCTCCGCCAGCAACGACAATCGTACAACTTCGTTGCTTTTTTCCAGGCTCAAATCACTGTTCGCGATTATCTATATTTTGATTATTGCATCCTCTCAGCATGGAAGACAACGGGGACGAGCTGCCTTCAGTGCAGAAGGCCGCTGTCATTCAAAACCCCGGGCCAAATGCCAGCATCGTGGTCCAGCACAACGTGCCAGTCGGAACTCCCGGACCTCACGAAGTCCTCGTCCGGATCAGTGCCACTGGAGTTTGGTATGTCTTCTCGAACCTTTTCTGCGTAACTGTCCATGGCTGACTGAATTCCTGCGAAAGCGGATCGGAGACTCGAGCCTTCCGAGGCTGGGGCGTTTACGACCCCATCGTTGGCCACGAAGGCATTGGCAAAGTCGTCAAGCTGGGCCTCGGTGTTTCTGAAGAGCTTTTTGGTCAAAAGGTTGGGGTGAAGTGGCTCTACAGCGCTTGTGGTACCTGCTCGGTCTGCATCCGCGGACATCAGAATAATTGCCCGAAGCAGCTCAACACCGGAAAACATCGCCCCGGCACGCTTCAGCAATATGTAGTGGCTGATTCAAGGTATCTCACGAGGATCCCGGATGGTTTGCCAGATGCTGAAGTCGCACCCTTGTTATGTGCCGGTTTGACCATGATGGGCGCGGTATCGAAGTTAGAAGGCGACCTTTCTCCTGGTGATTGGGTCGTCATCCAAGGAGCGGCGGGTGGTCTGGGGCATTTGGGCGTGCAGATAGCCTCGCGACTAAGGGGCTACCGAGTGATCGCAGTCGACTCTAGTGGCCATGATCAGTTTTGTCGAGACAGTGGGGCCGAAGTTTTCATCGACTACACGAGCGAGGACATAGAGAAGAAAGTCATGGAGTTGACGGGAGAGGGAGCCCATGCTGTCCTCGTCGTGCCCGAGTCCGAAGACGCTTACATCACCGCGCCCAAGTTAGTCAGATCCATGGGAACGATTGTGTGCGTCGGTTTGCCTCGGAACGATTTTGATCTTCCGATACCAGTAACTTTATGCGCTATCAAAGGCGAGTCTTTCTTAAGCTCTTGTGTTTGCCAAATCTGACATACCACAGCTCTGAATATCAAAGGCGCCATGGTCGGTACCGAGGATGAGATGTCCGAGCTGTTACGCGAGGCTATCAAAGGTCGCATTCGGGCATCCGTTGAATACTTCCATCTTCATCAGACGGAGGAGATCGTAGGTCAATTGATGAATGGGGATATGTTTGGGAGGGCTGTCATCACTAGCATTTGATAGATGGGAGGTACTGGTGGCCTATGAATTGAATCGGTAGATCTGATGGTTGCCAAATTGCTGTTTCTGTACTAATGGGTCAGAGTCATCAATTTCGAGACGAATTCCCCCGATCCAGGCAAGACGATTCGTCCTCGTTAGCCTGGATGTTAATGAGAATGAAAGTGTCAGGCTGTTTGAGATTGACAAAGCCTGGCAAGTGACGAAATGAAGGCTATTGGGATGAAACTTAAAAGTGATCCCAAGGGATATTTTTTGGACTAAACATCTGCCAACCCAAGTGAGTGTAGTCCTTCGCTCTTTCCTCAGGTCAAAGAGTTCGGCCAGTTCACTGAACCTCGTCATCTCATCTCATCCCATCCCCTCCCTCGCTCTCATCTTCACTCTCATACTCATTCTCATGTCCACCTTCACCAGACCCAAGTTTTATCCCACTCTCACTTCTGGAATATTTCGCTCGAGGAGGCACAACTTCAATCAAGATGAAATCTCCAGCTGCGCCCTACTCGCCCTCAACCCATCCACCCATAATCATGAACAAACTCGAAGTCGGATCCCTCTACATCATGATCTCAATCCCATTCTCCATCTACTTCGGCAAGAAAAAGCATATATACGCGACCGCTCTCCCCGACGACCCGGACTTCCCTTTCTGCACCTACGAACTCATGGTCTCTCAGGGCCTCTCCACCGAAGAATTCCATTGGGATCTCTACTGGCATGCCTCCGACTCGGCCACCGATGAGCCCTCTCTGCCGAATCACAACCATCCAGGCCTCAAACGCGGCGGCATCAACGAGGGAAGCGGCGTCCTTTACCGCCTTCGGCCCCTCGAAACCTGTCCCACAACCTACACCCGCGACCGCCTCGCAATCACCCGCGTCCGCTCCCACGCCCAGCTCGTAGGCCTCATCCGCGTCCTCACGGTCCCTCGCGCTTTCATACCGCACCTGACGCGCTACCTTGACTGGATGACTGCCGAGTCGGCCCGCGTCGCGGAGCGCAGCTACGTCTGGGCTACGATGGCATACTACCGCGCCCGTCGCCACCTCTTCAAGATTAAAGGCGCGCGTGACCACACTTTCAACCAATTTGACATCTCGCGCTTCACGGCGGAGCTTCTCTCGTTTGCGTATGCCGAGGTTCCTGCCGCGCTGTTCTTGGGTGGTATGGGACTACCAAGACCCATTGTTACGTCTTAGTTGGGCGTTGCGATGGGGTTGCTCGAGGAGCAAGATGTTGAAGCTACTAGATGTGAGAGGGATGAGCTCTTGAGGAAGCAGAGGGAGGAGGTTGGGGCTGTTACTGCTTGTTGGTACCAATGAGAGGGCTTGGACACTGGTGACATTGAATCGGGTGCTTTCTCACTTGGATCTCGTTCGTTGGCATGTGTTCAAATAATTCGGGAGCTTGTGAGAGTGTGGCCGGGGGATGGCATGGCAAGTCTTGAACCTCCGTCCATGTCCCGTAGGCTGGATATTTGTGACCACGGGTGGCTAACATCTGGCAAAGTCCGTTAGGCACGGACTGGTCACCGAGCAAATTAAGGGTCAAGAACGGGCTGTTAAGGCGATGAGCAACTACCAGCAGATCGGAGGGAGAAGCTACATCGGCACCTTGGGATACAGCTGAGACGAAGGAGTAAAATCTAAAGACAGGGGTTGGCAGGCTGCGTCGTTGTGAACCGAAACAATAGTTTCATTAAATCGATTGCGTCGTTTGATCGAGGCTCAGAGAGTAGAGCTAGAAATACCACGGGAATCAAGCGCACCACACCCAGTGCAACTCAGGTCTAGTGAGACGTGGCCAAGCTTGAAAGAGTTCTCTTCGGCGATGGGGAAGCGTATGTCACCCGACTGATAGTCGCGCAAGACAACCTTGGCCGCCGTCTAGAGGCTCGACGTCTGGGATGTTAAGTTCCGGGGCCGATGTGGAACCGGCGGCTCCTCAGGTGCCCGAGATGAGGTGATGCGGGCCGGACCGTACGACTGTGGACATGCACCCGCCAGTCCACAAACCTTACCATGGCGAGCAGGACCAGCGAAAGACAAATGTGCTCTCCCTTAAAAAGTGACTTTTAGAGCAGAGCAACGGGCTACCTAGTTGTCCTGCTGTCATGCGGCAGCAACGATGGTCGACGTAGTAAGCCTAGCTGCGCAAGAATGAGCAAGTTTCCAGAACCCCTCACCAAGTCAGTCTCCCCACGCCTAAAAGTCAAGTCACCCCAGCACCGAGGTCGCTGTCCAGGAACGTAAAAGACGAACCACCTCCCCGCCCCCAAATACCGAGCAAGTTTGAGGCATTCACTTTTCTTGTCGCTGTCCTCGTCATCAGCGAAACTGGAATCCTTTGTCGGATAAGAGAGCCTGATCCGTCGCAGTCATGGCGCTGGAGGACATCATGATGGCATCTGCGTCCAAGTATCCGGGTGTGCTGTCCGAAGAGCCGATACCTTCTTGCATACGATACGTTGAACGTTGACATTTTGTCCACCATGGGCCAGAGACCAGCAAGATCCATCCATTGCCCAGACCTGATCGCCGTTCTGTTGTGCCTCGAGGCGTTCGTCGTCTTCGCCGCCCTCGTGCTCTTTGGCGTGGCGTACCCAGATCGCTTACGTTCGCGGCTCTGGAGGAACGGCGGCGAAGAAGGGTGGTGTTCGAACCCGAGAATGCGGATATATTTCTATGCCAACCATGAAGAGCCGCCAGAGATACCCTTGGTATGGAGCCAAAGGTAAGGTCTCGTGTGCTTCCATCACCCCGCTGAGTTTTGGCCGCTGTTAGATCGCCTCGTTCAGGTTGAAAACCTCCAATCTGGCCACCGCGGTCCTAGGAGCGACGGTATTCTTCGCTCGCCTGACGATGGCTGCCCTACGATACGAAGCCCGATGGACGAACCTCACATATGACGCCTCTCTCGCCGTTCTCTGGGCCTGCAGTGCCGCGGCGCAAAACGGGTCTGATCTGACCGATCCTCAACACCTCAGTGAGAGACCGTGGTATCTCATGCGCAGCTGCGACGAAGCATGGTCGCAGAATCGAGGCTGGTGCAGAATCGCAAAATGGGAATATTCTTGGTCCATTCTTGCAGCGTCGTTCTACGTCGCGAGGTTCCTAGGCTGGTTGGGCTGTTTGTTGTACGAGAAGGGCCAAAGAGATGGAAGAACGGCAAGTTGCAAGTCGCCGCTCATGCTGGAGGTCCATGCATCAAATGAAGGGCGTGATACTGCGTCGTACAAAAATGACTCGGAAGAAGAGCATAGATGCGTTCGAAATGGTCGATGATCGATCTGGTGTTGTACAGATCGACGACAGGGTGGCACGGATTGGGTCGAGGTCTACAACTCCACTCAACAAGAGTTCGCCGCATACGAAGGACACGAAGAAGAAGTGTGGTGATATCAAGCTTGCATTGCGACTCTCCGCCTAACGACTATTGACAAAAGGGCTGAGATGAGGGAGTGAAGGAGAAAGTCCCATCGCATCTGCATGCATGCGACCGTTGGAAACCCATATGATCAATCCGTCCAAACACCCCGTAAATCCACCGATAACCCATAGTGATGTATACACCTTGACATTGCTTATTTGTTCTGTAACAAGAGTGTCAGTAACATCATCCCGGTGGCGGATGGTGCGATCGATGTCGGGGAGGAACGTACGGGGCAACCGGCGCAAGTGCAGTCCTTGCCACAGTGGCAGGAGCCGGTAGAAGCACATCCGCAGCCAGACATGTTGATGGTTGGTGGAGTCGGTTCAAGTGACTTGAAAGTGGTTTTGTTTTCTGGAACGTGGACCGAAGTCGCAGCTTATTTGATTGTGGAGTGAAGTGGTGATGGAGATGAGAGAAATCCAAAAGCTGTCGGTGGCAAGTATTTGGTGGTTTAAGTAATGGCCCCGATTATCTAATGGCGACCTCGAATATCACTGATGGAATGGGAAGAGCCGGGCGAGAGGGTAGGCAGGAGCCAGAGCACTCCTCTCGTCTGGCTCCTTTCTCCTGGATCCTACCGCCCAGGCAGACCACATGTTCTTCACCCGAGCACGGAAGTCGCCAGTCAGCCGCCCCAAGTTCCAGCCAGCGACGCTAGCTTTGACGCCGGCAGGAGAAGGAAGGTCCTCCGTCACCCCGCCTCCTGCCTTTCTGTATCTCTTGCCTGCCCAACAATAATCAGGCAAGAACTACAGAACCAACGACCCTCCAGTTTAGCGGCTCGGAGGAAAGTGGCGAATGACGTGGAGTCTGCGCAGAGTAGGAGCTAAAGATCGCTTTGCCACAAGGCAAGAACCAGTCGACAATCACCTGGCAGTCCTCCTTCCCGGATCGAGACTACCCAAAGAAACCCCACTTTCCCACCGAGACGACTGACGAACGGACCCGGGCGCTCAGACCGGGGTGGGCCCGTCTGCTGGCTGCCAGTTTGGGAAGGAATTTCCCACGCCGCCAATCATGTGCTTTGGGCTCTCGCTTATATAAGAAAAATACCTGGGAACCTTCTGCGGGGGAGGGGAAGGACGGGCTTGACGGCCATCTCTGAGACTTTCATTGCCCTCGATGGCGTGCCGAAGATCAGGGTCTTCCCTTGAGTTCGATAACCTTATGATTTGCAGATTAACCGACGATTGGCGAGATCACCTTGCTTGCCTGAGTCTGTGTTTCACTAGTGCGGTGCAAGTATCTACCTGAAGACATCAGACCAGAGATTTCCCGAGGAAAAGAGCCTTGTCCTTCCACGCATTCGGGGAAATGATACTACCACGGCTACCTCCTTCGAACCTGTTTAGCTACTGCCGTCGGACGTGGCTTACAACTACTCATGTATGCTCGCTATTCCACTCGGACCGACATGCAGCGAACTGAGAGTTGGCAAAGTAAAGGGACCGTTCACGGCGCCGTGCATCATGCATGTGCGTCATCAGACGGGTTGGCGCGTGGGTCCGGCGCGCGCTTTTCACCAAACCTCGCCAACTGCTGACATGCTGCAACGTTGCCAGTGGCTCGCGCCGATGAAGTCCGCTTTGGCAGTTCTTTCACTGGTTGCACGTGTGACCCAAATAACGCTCACCCGTGGCCTCTAAGCTCTAGCAGATCTCAGCTTATCAGAACCCAACAGCTTGGTGCTGGTCTGGTGTCGGGTCCGAGATCATCGTATTTCCGGTACTCGATGTAGCTGATCGCTGGCAAGTGCCGAGGTTTCGCGCCGGCATTCGTGTCTGGCACGACCAAGGCTCATCTTAGCATGAAGCGTGAGATTTTGTAGATGGCGAACCGTTAAATGCTCAAGTGTGGATATGTTCTAATCGTAATATCAAACACCAGTCAAATCAGGAAGAACAAAATTATGGCTACTCCCGGCTAGACGAGACTTGCTGTAAGAAGCACGACTGCTCTTAACACTGCGACAAGTAGATGGGACTTTTACAGATTGGGAGAGAACTCCACTGGAAACAGAGAACCTAAGGGGAATTGTTAGCTGACGACTTCGTGTATCCCCTCGTAAATTCATCTTCCTCTTGATTAGTGACGACTACTAGATCCTTTACTAAAGGCTATTGAATGACCTCTTGCCACATCCATCATGGCTGAGAGGAGCCCGTCGGCCTAAAACCATCATTCTCGCTATACAGGACGCTAAAGTCTCTCGTACAGACAATCCCACGCCCATGCTCCTTTTGCAATATGATCTCCTCGCTGTTCGAATCAGAAGGCAAACCCCCAGCATACACAGCTTCGGCGGAGCATCGGCCTTCCATAGCAACCGGCGAGCGCACGGTATCGGCTCTAGTATCCGTACCAGTGCCACCATCTACATATCTTCCAGTAACGCGGAAATCGTCCTTAGTATGCATTTCGAACTCGTCATGTAGACTGCGATCCAGCGGGATTCTGCTGGTCCTCTTGTTACCGCTCGAGTACGCATGGCTACGCGAGGCACCAGCGCCGTGGGGAGTCTGTCCGCTTCGGCCGTAGCGCTCGTTGCTTGGGTAGTAGCCAACAGAGCTGTTGATCTTCAAGAGGCGGCCGAAAAGGGGCTTGAGGTAGGAGGCACAGGCTGCGATGATGCCAACGTTAAGTTGGAGGCTGGTTGCACGAGGCGTTTAGTATCATTTGATACATCTCAGTGTAGTGATGGAATAGTGTGGAGAAGATACGCACTTTTGCCAGAAATGAACCCAGTAGTCGAAAATGGCGTCTGGGTTTCCGCCCGTGGTCAACATGAACACAGCCTTGAGAACGCCCATAATGATTGCACTGCATTTAAAAAAGAAACGTTAGTGAAAAGTATAACTGCAATGGATTCTCGTGATTGTATGGGACATCAGGTCGACTCACAAGTAACCGAGATTGAGGATGCCTATCACGTAAAGTCGGACGCGAAATCTCATCTTCAAGTGCCAGATGATGGGAATCGGTAGCGCTCCCAAGCAAATATCAGTAAAGATATTACAGGCTGATAGATATTGCCATTAGATCTCGTAGCAAAGTGCGACTGGGGTTGACTCACAAATGTTCCAGTACGTCAAGTTGATGAACAGGTTGAAGTCATGGCACCTTGGATCAAAGGGGTTCATCCACTGAAACTCCCACCAGCCCGAGTATGGCGTGCAGTAGACAAACAACCAAGCGATTGCTTGAATGGAATAAGCTACGACAAATCCTGCAAGTTGTTAGTTCGCTCCTCGAGATTTCACCTTGTTGAAAGTGATTCGCCAGTATACGTACCGATCACGGCGTAGAGAGACCATTGATACCACTGCAGGTCCCTTTTCAGTCGGAGTAAACTTATCGCCATCGATATCCTCAACAGCCCCATAGCAACGCCGTCTGAGATAACCGTCTTCCAGAAGGATATCTGTTCGAACTCGATTCTGTCACTCGTCGGTATTGTCGAGCCATGGCGGCCGAGTCCGTATGGTATCTGAAGGACCAGACAGATCCACGAGACAAGGGCAAGAATCTGGATTATCCTGAAGTTAGCGATCTTTCGCTTAGTATTCAAGAAGTAAGAGTTTAACTCAGGAAACATAGACTTACGGCGGCAGCCACTATGAGGGCATCTTCGGTTCCAAAAGCCCTAAGAATCACCACACGAGCATAGATGCGCAGTGAAACGAATGCCAGAGCGAGGAAGTGGAAAACTCCAACGACGCCAACAATCCGCCCTGCGTTGCTGGCATTGACGTTATCTGGAAGGGAACCCATCCATCGTGATTGCATGATTGTAGTTGTAAGGTAGAAAGCAAAGGACAAAGGTCGTGGCGATGTTGTTGATAACAGCGACTGAAGGACTAGACGACTTAGCCCAATCCATGAGCCGTCCTCAACTGACTGGATGTCTCTTGGTGGTGCAATTAGAATCAAAGATGCATGTCCCCATTCATTCTGGCTACAGCGACTTGGAAGCCGGCGCAGTCTTCACCTCGGCTTGGCCCCACGACTTGCCCGTGTTAGCTTCGAACACCTTTCTTCGACGTTCCCGGTTTTAGGCTCAAGGGGCAGAAGAAGAAACTTGACTTGCACCTTGCACATTGCATTTTGCCACACTTAACGAGATCCTCACTGGTACTTGTTAGCCGGTGGTAAGTATATCTCGATTTGCGGTAACACTGAATAGGTACCGCACATGCCACGCTTGGTAGACGTCGTATTTTTGGCGAAGCCATCTCTCGATTCGTAAGTTCCTTCCTCTGAGGGATCCACAACCATGTTGGTGACGGGAATTCAACGCGCGCAATGCTGAGAAATCTGCATTGGTGTGGCACAAGGGACAGCGGGGTGAAGATAGCAGGATTTCCGGGCAGCAGGTCGCGACATGGACATCATTTTGCCAAGGGCCAAGATCAAGGGGTAACGGTGAGAGTATCGAACACTCATAAGTCAGAATCCGACAACCCTCGTTGCCCAGCACAGTCTTTAGGTTCTTCTAGTGGGAGCAGACGATGCGGCCCAGCCCGATCTTACCACGGGCCGCGCGCAGGGCGGAGAACGGACCCATATGTCAAGAGGGTACGGTGGGACATCAGGTTGTTGACCACCGTAAAGCGTATTTTCCCAAGTGATGGCGGCAGAGGAAGAGCTAGGCAATACTCACATCTTGAATTACCCATCCGCATCCTTTTTTGGACAAAGATGCGGTAATTCGGGAGTGTGCCGACAACGCCATAACCGGCCCTCGTTCTTCATCTGTCAATTATCGACTAGGAATCATGCAAAACCACGCAGAATTTTACTACATGAGTTGGCTCGATTAATCGAGGCCATCGGCCCGGGTGGGACTGTGGATGGCATTTGTGCCGCGCCCCTGCATTCGAACCCCGGCCACTATCCACCCGGCCTGTTGGTGAAAGATTGAATTTGCTCGGACGGCCGGGCTCGGAGCGCCGTTCACTAAAACGGAGCATTCTGTCCTTCTATCCTGGTCCAAACCCCCTCGAGGTTCAGTATTAACACACCACCTTCGTTCTCTCGCTGTTGGACTTGTTGGTTCGAGAAACCGACTGACATCCAACAAAGTTCCACGATTTGGTTCACCTGTCTAGGATCCATCAGTCACATTGCAATCTCCGGCATGCAGCGGCCGTTGGTCCAATGCGGGGTGAAAACTCCATGTCGGCGAGAACGGCGGGCGGCCAAGACGATTGATTCCACCAACCGAGATATGCTCGCTTGTTTGGGAAAGTCATGTACGTAGTCTATGCAGACGCAGTCTTCAGCCATCAGAAGTTGGATGTTGTAGTATGCTATATGCATTATGATTGCTCGATTTAAAGACTCCTAAGATTCTACAGACTTGCCGTAAATGTACGTTTCAGCGCCGGTCACTTCACCACACCTGAAGCATTGCCGCATTCCAGAAAATCACGTGTTAGTGTACACTCTGTGAACCATTCGCGCTTTCTCGGTCGATATGCGTTTTAGCGATTTGCGTGCGAGTGCAAGCCTCGTCGTCACATTGGTGGCGCAGGACGTAGCTGGGTTGAGCTGCTGCAACCACACTATCTCTCGGGATGTTGTCATTGTCGGCGGTGGTGCCGCTGGTTCTCATGCCGCCGTGTGGTTGAGGGACCACGACCAGAGTGTGATTGTCGTGGAGAAGGCCAGCCAACTTGTAAGTTACATCCCCTTCCATCCACCATGTCTTGTTCAGATGTCGCCCCTCAGAGCCGTTTAGCAACCATGAGGCATCGTAACTAATTGGTTTTTGAAGGGTGGTCACACTGATTTCTACTACGATGCCGCCTCGAACAAGTCAATCAACGTTGGTGTACAAGCGTGGATGGAGTACAAGGATACCTTTGACTTCCCGAAGCGCATGAACGTCTCAACGAGCGGGTCGATGCAGTTCACCACACTCGACTACAAGTACGTCGACTTCAAGACGGGCTCACTAGTAACGGGCTGGACCACGCCCTCTTCAGACGCCATGTACCCGGCGCTACAGAGGTACCTTGATGTCCTCGAGAAATACGAGGATATTATCCTCCCGGGCTTCGAGAACTTCCCCGAGGCTGACACCATTCCGGATGACCTGGTCATGCCATTCCGCGACTTTGTCGAGAAGTACGACATTGCCGCCGCCGTACCCCAGATCTGGGATTCCACAGCCCAGGGTCTCGGTGACACCATGGATGTGCCGACCTTGTTCGTCATGCAGGCCTCCGGAGTCCCCATGGTGCGAGCTCTGCTGGGAACCGCCGCCGCCGCAGTCCCGGCCTCCGGTCGCCTATACGAGCTGTACGAGAGCGTTGCCAAATTCCTCGGCGACGATGTCCTCTACTCCAGCACCGTCGTTTCTACAGCCCAACGTACCGACGAGAGTGTCTCCGTGAAGGTCGCCGGCGCCGATGGCACCCTAACCTGCATCGACGCAAAGCGCCTGCTCATCGCCTTCGAGCCGACCCCCGAGAGCCTCGCGCCCTTCAGTCCGGACGAGACGGAGACAGACGTCTTTGACAAGATCAAGTTCACCACCGTCTATGCCGGCATCCTCCGCCACCCTTCGCTGCAGACCAGTACCGCCTACTCTAACAGGTCGCCGGCCCCTGGTTCGACCAACTACACCGTGTTCCCTACTCCATCCCAGGTGGGCCGCATCGACTACATCGGTGGCACAAAGGACCTATTCCAGTTCACGGCCGTCGGCACAGATGAGGATACCTCGGAGAGCATCAAGGCTGTCATCGCCGACTCCATTGACAACTTGATCGAGGCCGGGACCGTCCCTGCTTCGAACGGCACACTCAACTTTGTCGCTTTTGCGAACCACGGCAAGATGCATCCTCGCGTTACTGGCGAAGAGCTTCGTGCTGGATTCATCCAAAGGCAGACGGCTCTTCAAGGTCGCCGCTCCACCTGGTACACGGGAGCAGCCTTCTCTGCGGGCTTCTCGACTGTGGTCTGGGAGTATAACAATGTCATATTGCCCGAGTTGATCGAGGGTTTGTAAATGAGTTATCCAAGGTTTCAAGATTTACATAATGATTAATCAAGTTCTCCAAATAAGATGGCTAAGACCAAAAACATAGAGTGAAGACGATGAGCACGTTCCGAGACTTGAATCAAAAAGAGTGCGTCTGATATAAGTCATCTGTCACGAGTTATGGCACACAGCAATGGGCATATGAAGTGGGTTAAAGTGGCTTGAAGTAACCCATCTGGAATGAGCACATGAGAGCAGTCTATATACTAAGTGAATGTGATATCCACGTGAGAAAGCACGTGGCAAGGTGCCTGACAAGTGCTGATAACATTTCTGTTTCGTGACACCATCTCAGGCCATTGTGTTGTGGATCATAAGATCACCGTAATCTTAAGGGCATCCGCCCAAGGGACCAGAAGACCAGTCGCATTCGTAGCCCTGGCGCGTTTCGAGGCCAGCTCCTGTTTCGGTGCGCGCTTCTTGCTGAACGGGAGCCGCGATGGCCATTGACGCTATCGTGGATCAAGAGTCAGGAATCAAGCAACTTTCGGGGAGGAGTTTCAACTGACTTACCCAAGAGCGCAATTACTTGGATAAACTTCATGGTTGAGATGGCAGTGAAGGGGGTTTCGCTGATATAGGGTGCTTTGTTTGTTTTGAGGGATAAGGAAAATAGAGAAGTTGGCAAACAGAAGGCGCAAGTCGCGTTTAAATACGTGTAATTCTCGCAGAATATTATCTACCACTCCTCACTTCCTGTCCCATTACTGTCCGCTCTACGGTGTTTCCGCGCGGATGCTCCATTCGGCGCCGTGCCTGGATCAGCCCCGCCGAGTTCCTTGATGGAGCAAGGAAGTTCGAAGAACAATATCCGGTTTGTACAATAACACCATTGGAGACGGCGCCGGACCGGGTCTGCGAGCGATGATCTGAGAGCGTTTAGTCTGATGATGCGCGCATTGACTGGAGTTTTTGACGTAATCTAATCAATCTATTCAAACGATCACATAGCTAAGAAGGAGGTAGAAAGTAGAAACGCGTGTGGGTCAGACCTATTTACATTTGGTAAATGTGCATAGCCACAAGTGCACAATACTTTTGCTATCAAGATTCATAAAGCTGGTTAGAGGTAAGTATTTGGATCCAATGCTTCGGGATATGAAGCCAGCGAGAACAAGTAGTTTCGATTGTCTTATTCCCAAGCTTGCCCTCGCTTGAGCCGAAGGGACCACTTCAGTACCCCGCCCCCGCCGTTTCTGTTTCTGCCGAGCATCGCCATAACGGCTCCTGGACGGAGTAGTACCGTGTGCTCGCTAGGGGCAGTAACCCAATCGCGGTTCCCCTCATTCTCGAACTACCTGCCACCGGCACGACGCAATGAGCGTTGTGCACCGGACGCCCACCGGAAAAAGCCCCACCGGGCTTGGCATGCACACAGGCCCGAAGTGTGGTGATGCTGTCCAAGAGAATCAACGTTGATAGCTGCCTGTATGAATCAGCTGCCACCTGTGTGCCTAAGACTCTTCCCGTAGCTACCTCAGGTATCATTGGCAAATTGCCGTGTTAGTACTCTGAGGTGTTGTGATTTTACCCGAGAACATGGAACCAGGACCTTTGGGAAAGAGTAGCGGCGTATAAAGTCCCTCTCGATCCCTCGATTACGGCTTATTCGAGATATTATTCACGTCAGGATTTTCTGAAGTCTTATCTCAAGTAGAGTTAGCACGCTAGAGTTACAAACACCATGACTCAAAATGATTTGTTCCTTCTATGGGGCTTGATATCGCCGATTCTGGGCTCAGTTCTGGGCTCTCCGGAGCCTTTGACCAATTCTATCATCCAAAATAAGGATCTTTCTGGTTCTTCCTACGTTTGGCTGAACGACAACACCGGCACTCCACGACATATGGCTTCGGGCGTTCTATTAGGTATCCCCAGCAACCCGGATCAGATTCCCGACCACTGGCTATCTGATATCAAATTCTGGAATATGAGATCTGGTGGTTCCCAGCTGGCTGAACCCCGTCGCGGATGGACCCGAGGGCTGAACGAGTTCATGGTAAGTTGCAAGTAAGCGTACTACCTAGTAATAGGTAGTCACTTGTACCCCGATCTTTGCTGATGATTGGGACAGGGACGTTACGAGTATCTCAAGTCTGCTTACCAGGTGACACGACGCCATGGAGGAAACTTCCAGGTCATGATCCACGACATGTGGGGGACTGGACTGATTCGTACCCGAGTTTCGCCGACACGCCGATGCCAGGCGACGGCGGAAGCTACCAGGACTTTGACAACTTCCTTGACACTTTCTTTACGTTGCTGAAACAGGATGGCATGGTCGACAACATTTGGTGGGACCTTTGGAATGAAAGCGACAATGTTGACTTCCTTGATCGCGGAATTGATAGATGGCTGGAGTACTGGGGCCACGCCTACCACAAGGTTATGTATGTTGGGGAGCTCTGAGCTTTGCTCAACATCTAAAACCAAAATTCTCTCAGCTAATCATTCCACAGGAGGGACTTTCCTGACGCTAAAGTCATCGGGCCTTCGTACGGTCATCTGCCAAACTTTTCGCAAGGTGTCGAACACTATTTCTCGCGATGGGCTGAGTTCATCAAATTAAACAACTCCGTTCCAGATTAGATCAGTCTTCATTTTCTCTACGGCAACGGGGACTTGACTACCTCACTCAATAGTTATCGCCAGTATCTGAACGTTGCTGGTGTCGATTTTCAAGGCACTTGGAACGTCCAGGAGTATGGCCACCCCGACCAGCAGGTCCCATCCGGTCTCATATGGAACATTGGTCAGCTAGAGCGACACAACGTGTCCGGTCTCCGTGCCAATTGGCTGGGCGGTCAGGAACTCAACGATTATCTGGCATACCTCCTCGGGAAGGACAAGACCGGTGCCAACTATGACATGTACGACACTAGTTACCGTCCTGCTCGGGAGTACCCGGTGTACGTCTATTACGCCCAGAGCATGACGGGGTATCGTGTGCGAACTGAAATGTCAGAAGACACGCTTGTGGATACGTACGCTACCGTGGACCCCGACCAGCGAGTTGTACGTATCCTAGCTGGATGTCGTCCAACCACTGGCGTGTGGTTTGTCAAGATCGGAGGATTAAGCGCCCTCGGACTTCCTGAGTCTGGATCACTGCCTGTCAAGGCTATCCGGTTCAACACGGCTCCAGGACGATTTGATCGCGTCACTGGACCCGAAGATCTTGGTTGCACAAACTACGGCTATGGAGATGGCGTTGTCACAGTCGCCGTGTTTCAAAGTGATCCGGATGTCGGCTTCGCTTTTGAATTCTCATATTGATACCTCTTTGAAACGAGACAGCCTAACATCACTGGTCAAGGCGGCTCAGGGTGGGAAGATTTGGTTCATAGTTAAAATTAAATGCAAAGTCGTGTGTATGCCTGCTATTCGAGTATGACTTCCTATTCTCTGAACTAAAATCTATCAAGGCTTCTTCCTCCTCTTTTCAAGTCTTGTTCTCTTCTATGGGCTGTTCTCCATTCGGAAACTTTCCTTGTAACTTGGGGATCGTTCGGGATCCAAGTCATTGATGTTGCTGGTGCTACTCGAGCGCTTCTCGCCTTCAATACCTGCAGAGTAGTGACCTGGCGCGCTGGACCCATTGGGAATATGAAACCTGCGGTCGAAGCGGCTGAGTGCATAGGTGAACACCACGATCAACTCAATGGCATAGTTAAAGACGTAGTAGCAGGCCTTGTGGTGATACCATGCGGGATTGGAAGCGAGACGGGGTGTGGTGTAGCTCACGCCGATGCGGAAGCCAGCACCTAGGGATAAAAGGGTGGCGGTGAAGAGGACGAGGATGATCTTCGTCCTGAGCGAACCCTTGCCAAAGGGGTCTGGGAGGGATTTGCTAGGAATAAGTACGGTCGCGATAACAATCGGAATCGGCAAGAAGGCTAGCGCAGCGAGAGAAGTTCCGGAGAACAACTGGATGATGCGCGCCGTGTTCAACGTCGATGGGTTGCGAGTGTAAAAAGAAATGATGGTGATCGTAATGGTCATGATGAGACAAATGATGACGTAGGCGTACAGAGCCTTGAAGGCGAGGGAGGGAAGGCGACCCCATCCAAAGGTGGGGTGTATCGACCTGACCAAACGCTGTGCGAAAATGAGGTTGACGATGAAGAGGATGATGACACCGGCGGCCGCGAAAATATTGGCGGCGATCGTTAAGCTGGCGTTGTCGTGCCGAGTAGACCAGACAATGCGTAGGACCAGCGCCATGTTACGGGCCATGCAGAAACCGGCAAGGAGCACTGAAGGCAGAAATTTGTGTCCGCGGGCCTTGTTCCGGCGGAAGATAGTGAGATTGAAGGCAAATCCGCTGAGGAAGAAGACCATCAAGACGGCGCAGATTGGCACGTCAACTTTTACAGTTGGGGTCAAGCCCAGAAGAGCTGTGACTGGTGCATAGGGGGGTCCCTTTGGCGTCTATGCATTGTCAGCGGTGCCAATATAGCGGTGATACAAAGTGGCTTACCTGTTGGCCACTTGCGGCCGGTGTTGAAGTTGACATGGCTTGGCAGATCGAGTTGCAGAAGAATTGAGTTTGGTTCTTGGCAGGGGTCGTTAAGCTGATTTAGAGTTCGTTCGATGTCGTGAATGTGTGTAAGGCAGGAGTCGGGGGTTGTAAGTGATGAGGAGAGACTCCAGTTAAACCAGAGGATTCATGCGATATATCTCTAAGCTCTTGTAGATGATTTCAGACTCAAGAATGAAGACACAGTCGAAAGAAATGCACCCCACCGTCTTGATTGCTGTTCTGCTAGCCTCTATATGAGCCGACAGCTCTGAGGTCTCCTACCGTCCTGCAACCGGCCATCGGAGGTTGGTAGAAGGGCCGTGCCGACATTGACGTGGTTGCTGGCATGCGTCTAATGAGCTTGTCGGCAAACGTGCCTCCGTAGCGCCGCCCATTTAACACTTTAATTGGGAGAAATGTGGATTTTGGTACTAAATAAGCGCCATATCTGGTCAGCCCGGGCCTCGTTGCCGTCCGTTGTCCGATGTCATGTGCAAAGACATTCCATACTACGTTCAGTACGTCAAGGGTCTAAGACCAATTAACGTGAGCCACTCGGTCTCCGACCTGTCCAGGCCATTGGTATTCGATAGATATAAAACCTTTCCATGCGTTCATCACAACCAACCGAAGCTAGGGTGTTGTCGCACACCCCAGCCACTTGCCTACTTCGGGGAGCGTAGGCGCCGTCTTACTCGGACAGCCTTCACAGAATGCGCCGCGATCTACGTTGCTGGAGCTTTATTTTTTTTTTTTTTTTTTAGCAAACCGAGATGGTATTGAAACCCCTGACAAAGAAAAACTTCGCTTGGTAATGAGCATCAGATTCAAAGGAGATGATGACATGAAAAGGGCGATTGAATCAACGTTTATTCGTCTTTGGCTTTGTATGCAATCTATCTAAGCTAGATGCGCTCCAGATAAGCTAGACGATGCATCGTGAACTCTAAATGACATCCCTCGCTTAGTGGCAGCAAGTAACCACGCACTGGAAGTCAGCCTGTAAGGTAGAAGTCGAGTCAGCTCAAGTTCCAATAACACCAATACTTCTCTGCTCAAGATGGGGATCGCTTACTCCCGAGGGGCCGCGGGTGATGTCGCCGGGGGCGCTCTTGTAGGTGGGGTCAATGGCCTGGCAGACCTTGATCTTGGCAGCAGCGTCGATGTTAAGGCAGAAGTTGCAGTTGGGGTCGCTGTAGGTGCAGAAGCCCTCGGACTTTGATGACTTGTTAGCAATCCGGACTAGTGGAGCTCGCCTCGTAGCCAGCGGTGTGGCTATGAAGCTAGTGTTCCGTGCTTACCTTGCAGCTGAAGCCCTGAGGAACAGCGGCAACAGCCGTAATAAGGGAGGAGGCGAAAACAGCGGTGAGAGTGGTGGCGCGCATTTTGAACGTGTTAGTTGCGGAGACAAATGAGTGTTTGGGCAAATGGATTGTATTGAAAGAGAGACTAAGTGAGAATGATGCTTTGATGATGAGAGCACGACTAAAGCACATGGGAACAGCTCAGAATTTATAACATCATGAGACGTACGTAAGCTTGTGGCCGCAACAGCATCTGAGCCTGTCTTGAGACGACATAAAGAATGCTCTCCATGGTTCGGACTGAGTTGAGTGCTGAACTCTAATAGACTAAAGTCCAAATTCAGTATTGGTTACGAACAGCTAGAATTGTTCTAGTGATGAATAAAGATCTGGAGTTGTAGATCATCATGGGTAAGTTGACTCGCACATGCTTCGACTTGTTTAGGTTACCTTGTTAAAGTTCTGCGATCCTGATAGAGTAGTGGGGGAAGAACGAGTCGTGCTGCTCACGGTGGCACAGCTGGTCGCCCTCAACATGCTCGCTGCCCCGCAGAGCATTATAGGAGCACCGTTGAGCATCGAAACCACATAGATACTACCTAGTCAGACCAAAGTTGCCACCGGGCATCCTAGCCATCGAAAGAGATTCTCCAATATCGTCAGTGCTTCTAAATCGCGCATTCCGCGGTCAACGATTAGTGAAAATACCTCAGTCCGTCCTCATGAAAATGCGACGTATGAGACAGATAATGCCTTCGATGGATGATCCTCGCTGAGAGGAGTGAGAAGGGAAAGTGACCCAGGACCCAATATCATTCGAAGATAATACCTTCCAGACCGAAGCAAATTCGACGAGAAATATGGTGCTCAGTATTTCCGTGCTGTTAGGCCGATATGGCTGCGTCGTTCACTTGAAGTCGATGTAAGTAGTTTTGGGCCAAGACACACGAATCAATTATACGGCACGGACGGAACATCAGCATTTGGAGCAATAATACGTATTAGTGTCGAGGAAAAGGTAGCGATTTTGATACCGAATACTCAGTCCGCTGGCTTTGGATGATTTTCTGCCCAGCCAGCCTGGACAGGCATATGAAAGGCATATGAAGTCGGCCCAGAAGATACCCCAAGATCAATGCATGTGTTGTTGCAACAGTAATTTCCACTGGCTGGAGCTCGCTAGCCTCCAGATCCAGACTACAGTAACAAGCATAAGGGTAGCAGCCCCGGGTCAACTTCAGAGATCTCTGCTCTCACAGAGCCTCTGGGGCAAATGGCCCAGTATCACTGTGACTCTGTCAAGTGAAAGTCAATCAGCAGCACTTTGCGAGGAAGGCCCTTGAAGTCTCGGGGATCCCCGGCTTGACATCGGGGTAGACGAAGCCTCAAGTGGGTAATTTTGAACTATCAAGGTTCGCTCTAGATAGCCAAATCCTCTTGCCAGAATTCCGCTACAATCTTTTCTGAGCACCTCAGTTGACATAGTTATCTGCATTATCCCAACTCATGTGATCTTTGCAACTTGGTAAGTCGAAGAGTAATTCAACTGCGCCCGCCTCCTCGCATAATGACGTCTCAGTCAGGAGGTTGTTGAGTCATTGAATCGGTTCAGACGAACCTGAAGTCTGGGACAGCAAGGGTGAATACTAGGACCTGACACGGCCCCCTCATGTTCGGGCCCCTTATCGGACTCTGATAGCAAGAGCGTTCAGTATCAAGATGGCCTTTCGGTAACTGAATGAACCGGTTAATGGTCAGATCCTCGATGCAACTCTCCACAATGCATGCAAGTCTCCGAGCCCAGGGTAACCGCGAAATTGATTCGAGAGCTAAAGCGCCGCCATCATCTTTAATACCCAACGTCCTTCTCAATAAGAAAGGCAACGATATTGCACGCAAACACAAGAAAGAATCAAGAGAAGGAAATAAGGGAAGGAGTGTCGAGACTTCAACGATTATTTTCGTGACACTTTGCGGAACAGCCTTCTCAAAACGAGCGATTTGCGCGTCCAGACGTCCGCTATTGAAGAGTTATCTTCACAATCAACAACAAATCCCAAACTGGGTTAAACCTCGCGAGCGAGTCGAGTCGCTGAAATTCGTGCCTGATGCAAATGCCCAGGCCATGAGCACGCCAACTGCCCCTGCCCTTGAAGTGGACACAATTATTGAAATCACATAAATCCGCACGCCCTCCTGAGGGCCGAACACTTTACTGACGTTCAAAAAGTAGGACTCTTCTGGTCCTGCATTATCTAACTGATGTGGGAAGAACTACATACACACACTACTGTAACAAATGGGGGGATATCTCTTCTAAAACAGGCCAGCCATCGCGACGAGAGCAAATCCAAACAAACCAGTGCCAACAGTCGCGCCGGTCAACAGCTTTCCAGAGGCAGCGTTGGCACCAGTGGAGGCAGTAGCGCTTGCAGAAGAGCCGGACTGGGTGGCCGTAGGAGCAACCGTCGGACGGATCGTGGTTCCTGTCGTGGTGGAGTTTCTCAGCGGGGCGCCCGAGGACACGGGGAAACCAGAGGAAGGCGTCGCTGTCGCGTCGGAGCTCCCCGAGGCGGATTCGGAGCTTGTGTTACCTGAAGATGTGTCGTTCTGACCGGCGTTGGTGCTGTCATCAGTGGCGGCACCAATCTTGATGCTGGAATAGTCACCGGTCATGTCGCCGTAGGTGTAGGAGCCACCGGGGTTTGCGTTGGTGATGGAGACTTTTTGGACGGTCATGGTGAAGGGGGCCTTGGTGTAGTCGGTCTCACCGCCGGCCCAGGTGATAGTGCCGGCGTTGTTGTCTGGGTCACCACCGGCCCAGATGCCGAGTCTCAGGCGGGCCGGGGTCTGGGGGAAGTTCTTGCCACCGAGGGCATCGGCGTAGTTGAGAGTGCGGACGAGGTTGCTGTTGATGTACCAGGTGACAGCCTCCTTGGTCCAGTCGATGGTGTAGTTGTGGTACTCGGTCTGAGTCGCAGCGATGGTGTGGAATGCGCCACGGTCGTAGCTGGTGGTGTTGCCCTTGCCAAAGTAGTTGGTCTGAACCTCGGCATCCTTGCCGCCGAGCCACTCCCAGTCGACCTCGTCCAAATCGTCGGACTCGATAACAACACTGCTGACGATACCGGTTCCGGGGGCGGCCTTCATGAGAACCTCGGCGCGACCGAAGAAGAAGTACCACGATGTCTCAATGGTGGGGGCATCGCCCTTCTTGTTCAGGGTGAACTCGGCGCCATCAGTGCCGTAGGTGATGTTGCCGGCGGTGACGGTCCAGGCATCGTTGTCGGCGCCCTTGGTGAAGTCGATCTCGTAGGTACTTTTTGACAGACCTTTGTTGGCGGGGCAAGTTTCTAAGTCACCTCGCGTCAGCAAAACAATTCATCCACCACAGCCTAGAGTGTCGTGATGTGGAGGACGTGTCGGGAATATCCTCAAATGCTCACGGATCCAAAGTTAAACTTACTCTTAGTAGGGTCGCAATCGGTAAAAGTTTGAGCGAAAGTTGTAGAAGCGAGAAGCGCAACGAGCGACGCTTGACGAACGAAAGACAACGCCATTGTGAGTTATTTTACGGCGAAGGAAGAACCCTCTAAAATTCAATTCAACGATAGTATATTGGAAGGAAAAGAATATCTAAGAGAGAAGAGATAGAACGAGAGAAATGGCTGAGGCTTTCAGTGAAGAACCATGGAAATCGAACCCGCCCCCTTATTTCGATGGCGGGTCAGCGTCTCCATTAAAGAAGGGCAGAATCAACAGGATACATTGATACCTGGTGTTTGAGCTTTACTAGGAGAACCCATCACGCGACTTCCAGCTGGACAAGCTGGAGCCTGGAGCCAACCACCTCACTTGCACCCCATCTCCAAGGAGGCTGACGCACGTTTGAGCTTCTGGCAACGGCAAACACCTGCCAGTCGGCCTCCCGGTAGTGGAGTTGCCTTGGTGGGGTTCATTAGTGGGTGAAATCTATTGAGGGGGACGCGTGTGCATGGGTGGCTGTACCATTTCTTCTTCCCTGACATCTGCAGCTGGTCGCTCGGGGCAGCGCCCACCATCCGATGTGCCGTGCCGGGAGGCCGTTCATGCTATTAAAAGCCGTGCGGCTTGTCAAGTTTGGCTAAAGCACCAATGGGACGTCCCGGCCTGGGTTCTCCGTTCTCTGTTCGATGGTGGGCTAAAATGGTGAGACGGAATGACCAACGGTAGAGTCTCAAACCTCAGTGGCTGAAGTCGAAACTTTCCCACACAGTACACTTCCAACCCGTGCGTTTTAAGGGGGCTGAGACTGGAGACGAGGGTGTTTTGCTGAATAACCCAAAGACTTTCCCCAATCATGATGCTGGTGACAGCACAACCTTTGAACTGGAGGCCCCTTGATCCAAACATCATCCTTGATGTCCCGCGGAGAATAACAACCACTGTGGCAACCCGTGCCAACCTAAACATTCAAATTCAGAACTGTGATTGCTGCGGCCCTCTCAGGCTGTGCCTTTCAGACGAAACATGCTTTAAGCTCACTGGATCCCATCTACATTACAACCACAGACTCGAGACCGAGTCTTTGCGCTGGTACCTGCATCCGGATCCGCGCGCCCAGTCTTCCAACCAAGTCCGACGTCGCCTGCGAATTCGTGTTCCCGTTGGGCAGGGCTGCGTACGGACAGGGGATTATGCGGCCCTTGGCACTATCGCGGCGCTAAGTCGGCCAAGCAAATGACACCTGCAGGGTCATTTCGGAGCCCGATCGCCCACAGTCCGTGAACGGTGAGCGTCGTATCCCGCCGGGAAACCACCGGGGAGTTTAGAAGCTCGGCAGATCTACGTTCGGGGGAGGCAAAAGCACTGCCCTGAATGACGTTGAAATCAAGGGGTTGGCGCAACGTATATCATGATCGCATTCGGTGCGCGCGGATGGCTTTGTGATGTTCTCGCGCCTATCGCCGAGGGCACGGCGAAGCGGCTGCGGCCGACGGGATGATTATTCGCGAAATATCGGGGGCCCTCAAATACCGTTGAGAGAGATAGCAACGTCGGGACAGACGTCAATTGTTCGACTCCGCGGGCCGGAGCTTTTGGGATGACGCCACGCAAATTAGAACAGGTCTTGGATTCGTAATCGTCAACAAACCCGCATCCGTAGGGTACGTGTTAATGTGAGTGTGTCTACAGTAGCCGGGGTCCCAACAGAGCAAGGTCGAAACGGCGAACATCACCTGGAATCCAGTCGACCACGTCAGTCTTGAAATCGGCTCAATTCTCCTGCAACAAGAAAGGTCGCGCAAAGACAGTCGAGTGAGTTCATCCCCCTAATTGGAATGTAACAGCACCAACCATAGGCTGTCTGCAAGTACAAAGGGTCCCAAAAGACTAACACATATGCGAGGTAGCTCACTGAGGCCAGGGAAATCTCTCGCGGGGCCCCCAAGGCTCCGAACACAAGCCAAGTTTCCAGCCCTTGTTCTTACCCACGCATGGTTTTCCCTCCAAGTTTAGGTCATCTGGCTCTTCCCTTTCGACCGTTGCGGACTGTAGGTAGTTGATGCAATCTCAGCACAGGATCAGCGAGGCGAGCGATGCGCTTAAATAGGCCATCAATGTCGATGATATCAAGCTGACTCTCTCTGACGAATTCAGATTATGGATACACTGATCTATGACTATGTATCAATGCACCTCTTAGAGACTTAGACGAGGCGCAACTTAGGTGCTCAGACCTTTCATCAAGGGAGCCAAGAGCCCCCATCTCGCAGCTAAGCATTTGAACAATGTTGGAGAAGATTAGAATGCATTTCAGGTCTCATTCCGATATCAACTGCATTTACTTCTTTGGTCTTCGTTGATTAAGACTTGTCTGAGGTCTAATGTCTCTGTTATACGCACCCTGTTGATGCGGATTGTCATTTGGTCTCGACCTCTCGACTTAGTTTATTTCAGTGTCCGAGAGTCAATTCTATCAGATCTAATCTAGGCCGAACCAGGATGGATGATTATGCATGTGATGATGTACAGGCAGCGCTGGGTACTTTTGATTTCCTGTCTAGCAATACCGTGATCACTAAGCCATGAATTACTAGACACTGGCCGACCAAAACTCGACTGAAGGGAACGATGATAGTCGACTTGGTATAACTTCGCAAAACTAGTTCAAACAAAGATGCATCAACGAAACCCATGACCCTAGTAGTTGTGCACTCATGCTTTCGTCAACTGGCCCGTACTTCTAGCGGGGTTTGAGACCGCCTCGATTGACGAAAACAAGAGCCTCTAGTTCAACTTGTACTCATGGTGGTCATACGGGTAGGACGTTCTTATTCAGTAGGGTAATATTCTCAATCAGTTGGAGAAATCGTTTTGCCTCTCGTAAGATTTGGATGAGACCATGCCTTGTCGTCGTTCCTGGTGTGGGCTGCATCAACAAGCGGATTCAAGACAATATCCCTTTCTGATCTTGGACTAGTCAGTTACGAACCCGGACCCCACCCTGAGTGTGAGGACATCATGTACGTTTTGTGATATTTCTTATTAGATGAAACCTCAACTGACCTACTTATAAACTTATTGTGACGGAATCAATCCATTTGTTCTTCTTCTCGTCATCCTTCGACTTTCTTCATGCAATCCGCATCAAAATTCCTGTCTTGGGAACAATCAGCAGACCATTACTGCGATCTTTGGGCGCAGTCCGCGCCAGATTTTCTCTGAGTGGTACAAGCGCTGCATTACTTGTTCCATTGCTATCAGGCCAACGAACCTTCCACAAGACATCTGCAGAAAACAATTCACTTCCGCCTAGAACACGACCAATACGGAGAAAAGTCCCCCTCGCTAGCCAACAGCCTATATCAGGAACGGCTCAGCATCTGCTGTAAGTCGTTCAGTCTCGAATCCGCCATCCGCTCGACTTCCCCTTTGTCAGTCTGCTCACAGGTCTCAATACTTGAGGTCATCTCTCGACACGAGAAGCAATTCGACGGCCAAAGCTCTCTGTGGCCGATGACCTTCGGCCTCGCTTGTTGTGCAGTCGAAATGATGCATCTATCAACACCACGTTTCGACCAGGACAGGCTGGGGATCATCTTCCGAGCATCCCCACGACAAGCCGATGTATGATCGTAGCCGGGACCCTCACAAATAAGATGGCACCGGCATTACGTCAGGTCTATGATCAAATGCCGGAGCCCCGCTGGGTTACTAGTATGGGAAGTTGCGCCAACGGTGGCGGCTATTATCACTATAGCTATAGTGTGGTTCGCGGGTGCGACCGTGTAGTGCCTGTAGATATATACGTTCCGGGGTGCCAGCCGACGAGCGAGGCGTTGATATATGGGATTCTACAGCTACAGCGAAAGATACGACGGACTAAGTCTGCGCGGATGTGGTACCGGAAGTAACAGAACTCTCCATCTTGGCGGGCCCCGATGCCGTAAATACATGCATGGTCTCCAAATTTCATGAGTTTTCCGGATGTCAGTCCCCTGTTCAATACATTGAAGAGGCCACTCAATCTAAACCTTCCATGGGTCAGGCAGGATATGAGCAACGAGAGAGCAGATTTTTGAGCCCCATCCCTGAGAGTACCAGAAGTCCACCTCCATAACCCTAACCGATGCTGCATAGTGAACTAGTAGAACACAGGAAACAGGTTCTCCAGCAGACAACAGATGGATAAAGTCAAGCAGGAAGAAGAAGGGCCAGTACCATACGAGACCACGGTTCTTGAGCGGCATGACCATTGAGCGGGAAGTCATGTCCAGAATCTCCAACGCCGCAAGACAAACTTTGGAAACGATCACTGCCACTTGCAAGTCCGTGTCTCCTCTACATCACTTTTCGAGTTGGTGGAGGCGAGATGTGAGCTCCAGCTTCTCGCTCAGGGGAGACAACGATTCGATTCGATTCCGGTATCGAATACGTAATATGTGAGTGCCCCTTTGCCAAGGCCTTGGCCGACATCGGATAGTAACACAAATCTTAATTCCCTGAAGTGAAATCCTTTAGAGCTATTCAAATGGTTTGGTAATCGAAGCAGTCAGACGACCAACTTTGTAATGGGGTGAAGGAATGCGAAACATCAGAGTCGCTAACAAGTCCAGGCGACTGGGCTATGCGGTAAATCTCCATTGAAAACTCCAAGAGGGTGTGTGCGAAGTAACAGTCTGCGTCTTCAGTGTTGCCTTGGCCAGAATAAGGTACCCGAGTCACTGAGGCTGCAGTCAGATGTCGTTGCGCGGCGACAACTTACAAGTTCTTTCCAGCCGGGGAAAGATGTCTACGATGTAGGGCTGCAAATGCGAGGATGTAATGGCGGAGGTTATCCTACAGATGGACATTAGGAGGCAATCCGCGAGGAGTCTCGATGAGATCCCTAGCTAACTCACGCAAAAGAATGAAAGTTCCGGGATAGTGACCTGCTAGACCTCCCGAAGAGAAAAGTCGTCTGCAACAGTCAAGGCCGCGGATGTGGTGAAATGGTGTATCAACCGAAGGTCCTGTAGATTCTGCTCATGGCAAGTACTACGATCCCTTGCTTGATATGTAGCGTTCTGATCCTCGTCAAGCAGGTCAATCTCACCGGAGAGACTCTGTATCCGGTTTCGAGTCCTAGTGAACTTGGCCTGTTGAGTAAAAGGTTCTTCTCGGGTTCTTGGGCTATCACTTGGCCCCCTTCCGAGGCTTGCAAACCAATAGGTACAAAAATCAAGCTGCAATGGATCTTGTGCTTTACGCAGTTCGGACAAGGCCGTTTTCTTCACACTGTAAAGCTCGGTCAACTGTCGAATACTCTTGGGCATGTCCATTGTAGCTAAGCGTACTTTCACATGTCTCCAATCGAGACTTTGAATGTCCGATGCGGTTATTGACCATGTTATGCAAGATGAGAGGACAGCAGGTTGTCACCTAAGCTTTAATATTGTTTGTTCCATGGGTGATGAAGAGTGAAAGCTTCTTACCCAAGGTGTGGTTGATCCAGATGACCTTTGGCGTTCTCATTCGGATTCGGCGGGCCCGGGCACGCCGGGATATAGGCTCTCTATTCCCTGTTAGGGACCTTCATCGGCCCCATATTATGCGAACGTGAAAGACAACCCGCCGTTACCTAGGGTGCCTCTAGTAGGCCCAAATAGCTAGATAGTTCGATAGTAGGCGTTGGTATCAGGACTAAGGATGAAGATGGCACTTAGAATGGCGTGATTCCATCTTTGCGAAGCCGCTAGTTCGTGTCAAAGTTGTATATTCTCGAAATCATGCTGAAAGTACTTACAGCGCGAATGCACTCGCCCCCAAGACGTCCTCTCGACGGCTAGATGGCCTGACGGTCCTCCTCGTAGGGGCATCAAGTGGTATTGGTTTGGAAGCCACCAAGCAAATTGCAACTAAGGGCGTTTCAACACTGGTTGTGGCCGCCCGAGATGATCTGAAGGCCCAGAAGACCAAAGAAGCTAACCAGCATCACCTGGTATCTCTTCCACAACAGCCGACTGTCGCCCAAACATCATCCCTCTGGTCGTCGAGATGACATCCCCGAAGTCAATCTACGAATTCATTGCCAAGCTAGAGAAGGCCGTTGATCACCTCGACCACGCTATTCTGAGCGCAGGCATACTGCTCGGTAGTTATGAGACCGCGTCCACCGGATTCGAGATCAGTGCAAGTCAACGCGATCTTACCAGCGCTTACTTCACTTCTGTTACTGCCAATCTTACTTGCCTCTCCGCTTGTCAGCAAACCGTCAGTACCGGAGCGACCTCACCTCACCATCGTCAGCTCAGGAGCAGCGTGGCTCACTAGACGATCCGATATCAAACCCTTCTTCGCCTCAACGAAGCCACTGACGGAGACTTCAAAGCGAGAAAACTTTCCGCGGGGAATGATGGGTGGACAGTATCACTACTCCCAGTCGAAGCTCATGACCGAATACGCAAGACGCCATCTAGCAAGGATCTCCTCCATCACTGATGGCGATGGAAAGCCCATTATCCTGGTGATTTTCGTGTGCCTGGGTGCAGTCAACAGCAGCTTGTCGCGGCACTCAGCGGGGAGTGGATTCTTGGGTGTTATGGCAAAAATGGTCAACAGCACCGTTGCGCGCACCGTAGAACAGGGCGCGAATATTTACATGACGAGTTTGGAACTCGGACAAGAAGCGCGGGGAAAGATGTGGACATAAGATTATCTCTCTCAAGATCATATGGAATACGCCCTCGGCATAGATGAAGCGAGGTTCGGCGAAAATGTCCGTAAGGAAACAAAGGAGTTTGCGCTGCGTATGGACAAGGATCATGGCAGTGGTGTTGTCGGCCGAACCTTGGGTGAATCTTCGTGATGAGAATGGCCTCCTAGCGTAGCAATATTAGCAACCCGCATTCCAAAGCGATTGAAATTGTTTTAGACGCTCGAACTTCTGCGTATTAATGTACTGCATAATCCAGTGATATGGAGGATGCAGGATTGGTTTTAGGACTCGCGCCGTCAAATCTGAGAGATATGGAGATCTCTACACAGCCACACCAGCTACGGAACCTCAAGGTACGTATCTCGTCAAGCCACATATGGTCGAGAACCTCAACTCCCGAGGGCCCCACCCTGCGCCTCGGCTCACCATAGACTTCCACTCGCGGTTGGACGGACATTTGGGGCGGTTGATGTCACACCCGTTCAAGCTTGACCAGCGACCAGTGAATAATCAGGCTGGTCACAACCACCTCTCGATATCCCACATTCTACTATCGTTTTTCTATTCTTTCGCAAGACCCGATTATACACTTTCGCTACGAACCTTACCATGCGCTAGAAGCACATATTTTTCCACCTTTGCGAACCTTGTTGCGCCGTGGGCTTTGAGCTCCCGCACACGATATACCTCCACCCTCTGCACCTCCACCCTCGAACCTCAACGAACTGACGACCTTTACCTGACCTTCTCCGTGTCAGCCATCTAACATGACCGACACGAATCCCTCAATCTCGGCCGGGCCTCAAGATGGCGAGCGCCGCTGCTTCATCTGCCTCATGGACGAGAACGAGTCCGGCGCCTCCGAGTCCGCCTGGGTAGACCCGTGCCCCTGCACCCTCGAAGGCCACCAAGACTGCATGATCCAGTGGGTCACGGAGCTGGAGCGAGAGGGAAAAGAGATCCTCTGCCCGGTGTGCAAGGCCAAGATCAACATTGACGAGCCCTACGACCCGGCGCTCGCGCTCAGCAACCAGATCTACAAGTCCTTCAGCAGGGTATCGCCGGGCCTGATCCTCGGCGGGATCGGCGCGGGCACATGGGTCAGCTTGGCCATGTACGGCAACATTGCGGTGCGGGTGTTTGCGGGCCCCGAGGCGACATATCGCTTCTTCTTCAATGACAGGAACCCCAGAGGCGTGCCCATGGTCAATTGGATCCACGTCGCGATCCTTCCGACTATCGCGCCCGCCCTGGTCCTGGGTTCGTCGGTCCCTATTCTGGGCAATGTCTTCTTCATGCCCGCCGCGGCGCTGGTAAGCACCCTTGTGTCCCACTTGCTCCTACATCAACTGACTGACATGATCTAGTACGGCGTATTCCACATGGCCAAAGACGACCACTTTTTCTCCTGGCCCCCGTCCCCTCAACTTGCGGCAGCGTGCTTCCCGTATATCAGAGCTGTATACAACAACCTCTGGCACGAGTTCGTCTGCCCATACGAGAAGAAGTGGGAGCGCAGAATTGCTGGACTGCCCGAGCCCGCGCCCCAGGCAAACAACAGACCGAACGATAACCGCCGCCGCCGTGATAGGAACAACGACGGCGCCAACCAAGCCGCTAGAAACGTCGGCTTGGTGGGAGGTCTCATCGATGCGGCCATCGACATGCTGGATATCCCCGACGTGGAGATGGAGGTCGAGCTGGAAGAGGTGGAAGTCGGACAGGATCAAGATATCGTCAATCTCGAAATTCTTGTTGAGGAGATCGAGGAGGCCCACGCAGCAGAGCAGGACGTCCCCATTATACTCCCTGCTCAGGCGCCCCAGCCGGGCAACGAACCCCAGCAGGCAGCGGTAGCAGCACCTCAACAACCAGCAGCCCAGCCGGCGCCTGCAGCACCCCGCCAGCGCGGTATCCAGGCCAGCCTCAAGGACGTTACAAACGCCATCGTGAGCACGCTCTTGCTCCCAGTCTTCTCAGCCGCCATGGGCGAGGCCATCCGGTTGGCGCTACCTAAGCACTGGACATCTCCCGCAGACACCTTTGGCCGATTCAAGATCCGGACGGGGCTGCTTCAGGAGCAATGGGGTCGGAACCTCGTCGGTGGCTGCATGTACGTTGTCATCCGCGACGTGTTCCGGCTCTACACTAAATACCGTCTTGCAAAGAACAAGCCACTGCGCAAGATTCGCAACGTGGACAGGCGGAGGAACCAGACCTCTTCTACCTCTCCCGCTGCTTAGGTAGCGGACGGACATCAAGACAAGTAATCAAATAAATTTAACAGCGACATTACACACCAGCATACCAAAGGGCGTTGGCGGATAGGATAGGAGTGTATACCTCTTTTTACATTTGTTTTCTGTAGGACTAGATATGTCTTTCACATGGCGGGCAGCGAGACGTTTCTCATCTCCACGGCCTCTGTCAAACAGTAATGAATAAGTCATATTATTGGTCCACAATCGTGTAGTCAACAGTGAATTGAGTGTAGCTCCCGTGTGCATTTAAGTGCATATTTGCATGATTGCATGAAGCCAAGAGAAAATGATCCTTTCCCATTCAGCGGGGTAACCGGTACGTTCCTCCAAGGCTCCAACGCCGTCGCCGCCGCTTGACGCCCACCCGCCCACCACCCCTCCCCCACCTTCACCGCGGCTACGCTGGAACCTTCCAGCCAAACAGCTGTGCTTTCGTACCGACCGGGCGAAAAGAACGTGGGGAGTGACCCGGGCAGCCAAGCAGCCGCAAAGCCCAACACGCCGCCGTAACAAAGGAGACGATCCCCAAAAAAACCAACAACACACATCCAAGCTCTCCATCACCTTCCACCACCTCTTGATACCCCGTCCTTGTGTCGAATCCTCACGCCCTTCCTCCTCCATCCGATATATACACATTCACAGGCCTCACACATCGTCAAAATGGTAAACACCACACCTGCCCCCTTCCCCATGCCTACAAGCGGCTCAAGGAGAAAAGCAATCATGAGCTAACATTTACCCCTCCTCGCCCCTCCAGGCGACAGTAACCTCCAAACAGCGCCTCGCCGTCGCAATCTGCGAATTCCTCTCCACCTCCGTCAACGACGGCACCCTCCCCGCCGACGACAAGGACTCCATCGACGTCGCAATCCAGTGCATCGCAGACTCCTTCAAAGTCGACCCCACCGACAAGAAGATCCTCGCAGAGGCCGTCGGCGCCCAGAACCTCTACCAAGTCTATTCCGTCTACGAGAAGCTCAAGAATGCCTCCACCCCCGCTGCGGCAGCAGGTGCCTCCGCCGGCGCAGCAGCAGCAGGCGCAGCCGACGCCGCCGCTTCCGCCTCCAAGACGGTAACCGAAGAAGATAAGAAGGAGGCAGACGCCCTGAAGTCAAAGGGCAACGCCGCAATGGCCTCAAAGGACTACCCCTCCGCCATCGCCCTCTACACCCAAGCCCTGGCCCTGAACCCGGGCAACGCCGTCTTCCTCTCCAACCGCGCGGCCGCCCACTCCGCCGCCAAAGATCACGAATCCGCCAAAGCAGACGCTGAGGCCGCCGTCGCCGTCGACCCGGCCTACACGAAAGCCTGGTCCCGCCTCGGCCTCGCCCGCTTCGCCCTCGGCGACGCAAAGGGCGCAATGGAGGCCTACGGAAAGGGCATCGAGTTTGAAGGCTCCGGCGGCAGCGAGGCCATGAAGAAGGGTTTCGAGACGGCCAAGCGCCGCGTCGAAGAGATGTCGGTCGAGGAGCGCGATCTGCCCCGCCAGTCGCCCGGTGTCGGCGGCGGCATGGGCGGTGGTGCAGGTGGTATGCCCGACCTGAGCAGTTTGGCGAGCATGCTCGGAGGAGGTGGTGCCGGCGGTGCAGGCGGTGCTGGAGGCATGCCCGATTTCAGCCAGATCATGAACAACCCCATGTTCGCGAGCATGGCCCAGAACCTGATGAGCAACCCCGAGATGATGGGCAACCTCATGAGCAACCCTCGCCTGCGCGAGATGGCCGACCGCTTCGGTAGCGGTGGCGGCATGCCCGACCTGAACTCTCTCATGTCTGACCCCAACATTGCTGACATGTAAGTGCTCCATTTCTGCCAGTAAAACAGATCAATCCTAACTCTCCATAGGGCACGCAACATGATGGGCGGTGGAGGTGCGCCGGGCGGTGCACCGGGAGGCGCCCCTGGCGGAGGCGCCGGCGCTGGCCGTGGAGGCTCGGCGTAAAGTCTTGTTTAAGGAGATCAAATTCGTTTTTTACAGAACGTTACCGTTGAAGAAGCCGGGAAACAGTCAATTACCGCTGGGACTCACTTTAGAATTATCCCAACAACATACACAAAATACACGTGCATGAATAGAAGACCACACGATGGCCCAATGAGTCGAAATCGCTTGCTGAAAGTCAAGTGATGTGCCTGCGAACCAGTGAAGGACTATTGAGGTAACTAGGCATGGTGATCAAGCTACCGACCTGTCTTTTCCATACACCCAGTCTAATCTAAACTGTAAGAATCCGCCAGTCTGTTCTAAGCTTTTCCCGCCAATTCTAATGAGACTGATCCGTCGCCAATTTTGGGTTGCTTTTGATGCGAAACACAATACTCTCATGATACAAGATGTAATACCCTCTGTCTCTTTTTACACATGCCAGCTTGCGCTGGCTCCGTTCTCTAAATAATACTGTAGAAAGAAAGTTGCACCAACCAAGCAATTTGGTGGGTCAAAATTAGTCCATGTCGTCCCGTGACATTGGATCGGCGCCAACTCGAACAAAGGAAATCTGATAATGTGCGGCGCAGGATTAAGGGACAAGCTGCGAAAGCCAACTTAATTTAATGATGGGTGCCATGAGTATGAGAATGTGAACCCGCAGCACCAGGTGTATCCGGGGTTTTCGCGTGGCCATGGCGGCCACGTCCACGGCCTCCGCCTCGGTTACATCGTCTTCGCTGGCCACGATTGTTGTTAGACTGCTGAGAATCTCGAGCGAGCGAGCATGCCGGTGAGTTTGGCTGGGTAACCTCCTTAAGAGGGGGCGATGACGTGGTCGGTTCGGTCGAAACTGGGCGATGAGATCCCTCGGGTGTATTCTCCTTGTGACGAGGAATAGGGGTGTTAGTCATGGCGACAGGCGGTCGCTTGTTGCTGATCAAGCCCTTGGACACAACAACGGTCATAGGAGAAGCACGAGTCTGCTGGCCCGGTGTGACGGCCTTCAGCTTCAAGACAGGTGCAGATACGTGGCGTACCTCCTGCAGCTACTTAGTTCCTCATTCTGCGGTTGGTGGTCGTGAAGAACTTACAGCAATGGATCCATTAGCATCATCGCCACTTTGGTCCTTCGCATCAGTATCGCCACCGGCTTGCTCATTCGAATCGCTCATGGCATTGTAACGGCGAGCAGTTGAGTGAGGGGTCCTGAATAGGGGAACCTCAAGTTTGATAACAGTTTTCACCGAGTCGTTATCTGAATCTTGTACCCTACTGGCGTGTGGGGCACCTGACGTCACAAAGCGGTCAGATATGATCCATCGAAAGCAATCATGGATCAATAGATCATGGAGGGAGTTCCTACCAGACAGAGGGCTCAATTGAGCGTGGCTGCCGGCAGGAACAGTCGTGGCGCCGGCGGTGGATCGCGGGGAGGAATCGTCATCAGAAGTCGCGCTCGCCCAATTCAGAACTCGCTTGGGAGTCTGGCGAAGGGGCGAGGTATGTGGCTTCGCGGGTCTCGTAACGGGTTGGCAACTGGGAGATAGTAAAGAGACTTTGGTGACGGATGTTGACTTAGGCGTGAATTCGGGTGCAACAGGGTTCAATCGAGAGCCCTACACAATTAGTGGTTAGAATCTGCCAAAGACGAATCTTCAGCTGACTCTACCTCTTTCTTGTGATTACCGGGAGTCTGAACAGCCTCTTTTCCCTTACTCGCCTGAGTCGGTGTCATCTGGGTGCCCTCGGACGCGGAAGCATCTGTGGTGTCCGAGGTGCCATCGAGCGTAGAATCGTCAGTGTCACTGGCAGTCGACTTCTTGCTGCTGGCCAAATCGTCATCCTTGGGCTTCAGGAAGGTTTGCTTAGACCACAAGTCGGCATATCTTCCCTTAGCAGTGACGAGGTCGGCGTGATTACCCTGCTCGACAACTTCACCATCCTCGATGACAACAATGCGATCAGCATTCATGATGGTTGAAAGGCGATGCCTGCCTCTAGTTAGTACATGAACCCGAAAGCTCAGTGGCGCACTGGCAAGGATGAAAACGCTGCAGGCTGGAAGTAAATGGAATACATACGCGACAATGAACGTGGTTCGTCCCTTGCAGAGCTGCATGAATGACTGCTGGATCTTCTGCTCTGTGTCGGTGTCTACTGAACTTGTTGCCTCGTCTAGAAGCACAATCTCAGGCTGCTTGAGAATTGCTCGGGCGATAGCAACACGCTGGAGTTCGCCGCCGGAAAGTTTGCTGATTTTGATCAGTGACTCGTCTTTGTGCAGAAACTGGGGTTACTTACATTCCCCTCTCACCAACTCGCGTGTTGTATCCGTCGGTGAAAGTCATGATCTTATCATGGATGCAAGCGGCTTTGCAGGCTTCAAAGACCTCGTCGTCAGAGGCAGTGATTCTCGCATACCGAATGTTGCTGATGATCGTGTCGTCGAAGAGTACAGGATTCTGCGGTACCAAGCCAATGCGGTCACGGAGGCTGTGCAAGTCAACATCACGCACGTCCTGGCCGTCAATTAAGATGGATCCCTCGCTGGCGTCGTAGAAACGGTTAAGTAGCTTCAACATGGTGGACTTGCCGGCACCAGTAGCGCCAACAAAAGCCACCGTCTGGCCACCAGGAACAGAAAGAGAGATTCCGTTGATGATCTTCTTCTTAGAGTCGTAGGTGAAGCTCACATCATTGAAATCGACGTTGCCACCAACAAGCTTTAGGGGGCGGGCTCCCTTCTTGTTCACGATTGTTGGCTCCTTCTTCATGATGTCCAACAATCGCTCAGCATCGATCAAATCGCTTCCAATCTTCTTTCCGAGGCTCGCCATGAACCGCAGGGGAGACGTGAGTTGGGCCCAGTACATCAGGAGCATTGTCAGGTCACCAGGGGTGGCCTTGCTGTTCTTGATCCTGTACACAGCCAAAATCGCGCCAGCCAAAAGACCGCAGAGGAGAACCAGAGACTGAAACGCTTGCGCAGTAAACCACCCGAGACGTACACGCTTAGTCCAGTTGATGCGGGTGTGAATTGCGTTAGAGTAGCGCACGTCTTCGTATGTCGTTTGATTGAAGGATGCAACCGTGTGCCAACCCGTGATTCCAGTCTGGCGTACGTAGTGCTCGGCATACTGGGCGTTCACGTGGGCCCGTCGGCGTTCCTTCATCACAGCAATCATCTTCGTAGCAATGAACAAGAAGAGTGTGCTAGTCGCCAGGGTGATGAGGCCTTCGTAAGGCCCCAGAATAACTGAGAGATACACGATGGCAACGACGAGGTCGATCAGCATAGGCAGAGCTTGGAAGCAGATAGATTCCAGAAGGTCGGAAACACTCGACCCACCATACATGGCCAAGCTGATGTCGGATGTGCTCTTTGAATCGTGGAAGTCGGCTGAGAGGTTCAAGATGTGTCGATAGGCTGCTGTGCTCAGAGCCCCATCAGCGTACACCTCGAGAGGGAGGTAGAGCCATTCTCGCAGAAACTCGATACCGGCGTCTGACGCAGCAATTCTGAGCAGGCCGTAGATGGCAACTCCGTACCATGCACTGCTGAAATTTTTGTCTTTGAGCTCATCGACAATGATACCGAATTGACGCGGGATCAAGAGGTTGAGAGCGTTGCCGGCGAGCAAACAGAGGCCAACAAGGACAAGGCGTAGCTGAAGGGATTTCTGCCCGACAGGCCAGATATAAGGGAACAAAATCTAGAGTAGTGTTAAGAAATTTACTGATACCAGGGGGTTGAAAAGTAACGAAAGATTCAAGAACTTACGCCGAAGCCCTTAATGTACGTCAGCCAGTTGCCCTCTTCCTGAAGGCGCTTCTCCATCTCCTCCTGTGCCTTTCGCTGGCGTTCGGCCCAGTACGACTCTGGTGGATCACTTGTCGTCCCGTAAGTGGACGTGGAGCTCTGGCTTCCGTTTCCTGAGCTACTCAAGCGCGACTTTGGGTCATCTTGGCCAAGAAGAGACTGCCGTTCTTCGTCCGTGGCCTCTTCCTGGCTAGCTCGGATACGCTGGACAACGTAGACGGAAACGATGGTGAGAAGCAGATAGTAGCGGAGACCAGCGAAGACAAGGTGGGCGATGCGGCAGTGTTCAAAAGTGCTGGACCGTCTGATGATGAGATCTGGCACTCCAATCATGGGCTCGAGAACCAAGGAGATGAGCCACGAACCCCAGTATGGTGTCCATACCGGATGTTCTGTGTCAGAGAGAAAGGCCAATTGGGTACCAAAGACAAGAATGCAGGAAAGCAAGCCAATAACCTCATGCTCCTGGCCAATCCATTCTTTAAGGAGGATGGACTGAATGGCGATGACGGTAATCTGGGCGACGTAGGTCAGGACGAAGGCAACGAGGAGGTTAAGGATCCATGATCGAGGGATGAACTCTTTGCCTGGGTTGTTGGCTGCCCGCAGAGTCTGAAGAGTGCACACAGCAACAGCAGAAGCAATTGCAAAATAGGTGAAGGCCAATGCCGGATAGAGGTAGTGAAGAGAATCGAGAAGCTCTTCGAGAGACGCCATTGCGGCAGACGGTGTTGACGACGTGTGGAGCAACCGTAGATCCGCAGGACGACCGAATAGCTAGAGAGAGCTTGAGGGAATGGACGGATTAGGTAGTTGATGGATTTACCAAAAGACGAGAGGCGGCTAGCTGGTATTTCCGACAAATGAGAGTTGAAGAGATTGCGAGATGCTGGGGGGAAGACAAGTGACGGGTGTATGATGAGAGGGATACTGGGGAGCTTTGGCCAGGGATGAATGGAGCTGTGGGTGATCTGATGTCTACGGAGTACGGATAGACCCAGAGAGCGTGCCTTGACAGGGATGGTGCAAGACGGGGAAGACGGGAAGGGCTGCCTGCCAGACGGAGCTCTGTTTCGTTTCCTTCCCCAAATTTTAGTTTCCCATCCAGCAAAGAGCTTGCAGGTTGCAGGAAGAAGCGAGCTCTGGAAACAAGGGTGACGATGGAAGAGGGATGCGTCTGCGTCGTGCGTCGAGTGGACCTGAGCGGGCAGAAGTGCGTTTCGATGGCTGGTTCCAGGACCAGGCGAAGATTAAGGTTAGGTTGGCGATGGAGAGGTAGGATGGATGATGCAAGCCGGCAGGAAACTGAATGATGCAAGTCGAAGCAAGATCTAGATTGCCTTTTTTTTTTGTCTCTAGAAAGACAGTCCAAAGATAATGGTGGGAGTAAGAAAGCTTGAAGAAGCAGGTGCCGGATGTCGATATTAAAGAGTGACCACCGCGTTCCGGGGACGTGTTTGCAGCAGGTGCTTGGGATGGGGCAGGTACCCAATCCTGGTCGATGGGAAAGGGGGAAAAGACTGTAGGAGTACCTATCCGGACAGGAGGGTATAGAGGAGAAGGGGGGTGGCCCAAGGTAAGGTCCCTTGCCTTATGGTAAGGAAAGTGCAAGTGCAAATGATTGAGCCTTCTTCTCCTTGTTCTTTCCAGTTCCAGTTCCAGTTCCAGTTCCAGTTCCAGGTTCTCTCTGTAATGTTGAGAGCCCAGAATGTAGATGCGTGCCGGGTGCGTATCGATGCAAGGCAGCTGAGCACTGTCGTCTAAGCGGAGGGAACGTGAACCAACTGCTCCAGCTGGAGCGAGGACGTCTCAGAACGAGGGAGGAACGGGCTGGGACCTGCAGGGTTACCAGATCGTCTCCTTCCCTTTTTCGCTATCCCGTTTTGATGAGGAAGGACTCCAGGAGGTAGGTATAAAGGTACTTTCGCAGAAGAGGGAAACAACCCTGACAACAATGTCCCTTCCTCGACAACTTCGGTCTGTTGGTGAGGAAGGTAACGTGTGGTCAAGGAATCTTGCAGAAAGGGCAGGACCTGAAAAACGTATCTGTGGAAAGGGCAAGCACAGAGCTGTTGTACGTCAGCCAGTCGGCTCTTTCCTCTCCCTGAAACTGTGCAGGCAAGTGCAGACAAGGCAGGTACTTCGAAAATTCTGTCCCGAAACGCAATAGTCTGAGATGGTCGCGCAGGCGTGGGGGGGGATTGGCGAGGGAAACCCAACGGACAAGTGGTGATGCGAATCACCAAGCAACACAGTCAGGCCTCTCCCGTCGTTTATTTGCTGCTCGCCCTGCGTTGGTGCTCAGTAACGTAACCGTTGCTGCTGGCTGCTGAGGTGCTGTTGCTGACGCTGCTAGTGCCGTTGTTGCTTGCTGAGAGTGCCTGCAAGATGCTTGTGCGGCGGCCGGAGCCGAAAGTCGAGCAGTGTCTTTCGTGTAACACCAAACACCACGCTCCTACGACACTCCTACGACACTCCTACCCAGACGGATGACAGGGGCAGGGACAGCGCGTCTCCAATTCTGCAAGAACTCCTCCTTGAGTCTCTCTCCCTCGTCTCAATTCTCCTCGTTCTTGTCGTCAGCTTCGCCTTGCCTCAAACTTAAGGCAATCGTGCTGCGATACCGGACGGTCTTGGTCCCCAGCTTTCTCTGGTCGTCCCTCTCCCACTGTGTCGTTTGACAAGCCACCAACAACGAAGAGCGACCTTGGACAGCTGTACAGCCGTGCTCGAGTACACTGCGATATGGGATTGTGACCCTTCGAGATCTAGTCAAATGCCCAAGGTGGCAGGGCTTACGCTAGCTGAAGACGAAGCACAGAAGTGATGTAGAATCAATCAGAGAAGGTCTCGATGGCAAAAGTTCGTGTTACCCAAGCGCGGTGCTATGCTTCTCAGACCCCGGCCACCGTGTGTCCGTGGCAGGCGAGATACCCGGCAATCAATCACCCGCTGTCGATGTCGCTGTATTCTCTCGGTTGATGTTTGTTTCACTGGCTGATGATGGGTTCGTCGCCGTTGCCGTTTGGCCTGATACTGTCAAATGTCTGACAAAAAGGTGAACAGGTAACGAAGGGAAGCAGATGCTCTACCTCGCGTGCGACCAGCTCGACGGTAGATATTTGGATCAACAGCTGAGGTCTCTGTCTTGACTCAGATGCCCATCAAGGTTCCAGATGTTGCAAACACCTGGAATGAGACGCAAGAAAGGGGTGGATACACCCAGCTCCAGATGCCCAGGCCAACGAACCGGCCGGTTTGCTTGTCCAACCTACGCACCCTGTCACGCTTGCCCGTCTGTTTCTCAACGCCGGCCGGGTGATGCCCCAAGCAACAATGAGACCGGTGTGGTGCGCTGGGAACGGCTTCACTCGTACAAGCCAACGTCGCAATATGGCGCGAGCGTATTCGCGGATGCGTGGGGATTTGGAAGCAGACGGGCCCAAACCTGGCATCAATTCTTGCGGGCGGGAGTTGCGGACCTTTAAACCATGTCGACAGCTCCGCCGGCTTCTTCTGCATACGGAGCGCTCTGCTTGCCTCGGCCCATGATGCCTGGAGGGCCTTCCAGCATGCACACTCGTCACTTGTTGCACAAACCGCGTTCCTAATCCATCATCTACACTCACCAGACGGGATGCCTGAATTCATAAACTGGAGGCGGCGGCGAACCTCGAAAATCCATTCCCAGCAAGAGGGCTTTGTATGATCGTATCTGACAGGCAATAGCGTCGTCGTATAATATTCATCGCCAAGAGGTGCAGTCTATCCGTAAAGGACACGAGCAGAATCGCCATCGGATTACGGCTGCTTTTCCACCAGGTATTCAGCGGACGTCGCCCTTGCCGACGGCATTCCCAACCGAACGAATGGATACAGCATTTATCGCCATGCCCATTGGCCTTCACGACAGAGTCACGAGAGTACAATTTGCTTCTTCTGTGCAATGTAGCATCTCGTTTTGGCTCACAGGGCTGCGGCTCGGCTGACGCTGATTGAGTGGGTGTGGTACTCCGTAGTTACCAGGGGTACGCCTACGTTGGGACGGGATGGATGCGTCGCTCTGTGTTCAGCAAGCCGTAAGTAACAGAGACCTCGCGAATTCATGTGCAACGCAACGGAGAACCCCAATCGACCATTGGTATGGGAATCCCGATGCTGGATTACCAATATCCCCAGGTTACCTACCCCCCAGACCTGCAGCCTGCATATGCAGCCATGCACAAGGGCGAGCGTACAGATAAGTCCCCAGCACAAAGACATGCCCCCGTGAGCAGCTCCGGCTATCAGGAATCCTGTCTCGGCGACATGGCAACACTTCCCAGGGGCACATTTTCCAGATGCATCAGCAACTTTGATCACGTCCCGCAGGCGCCTCATCTCTGCCTGCCTGCTCTTCTGCAATTGTCATCACCTCAAGTCATCTGCTGATTTCTACCCAGAAAATGCGAGCCAAACAGCTACCGGCTTTCGATATTGAGGATATCCAGAGGCCTGAAAGAGTCATAGCGTCTCAGCTCGTTGCAGACAACCACCAATCAAGACTGTAGCCATTGCTCAATATCGAAAGCCACGGCCCAGGGGGGGGGGGCAGAGCGGCTCGGATCCCCGGTGTTCAGCACACGACCAACGGATGAGGTACTGCTCCCCCTGTTGATATGCAAGGCACTGCCTGTCACTCTCCATCGACGGAATACCTCAAGGTCCTCAACTGATCAGAACTGAGGAATGCACCTCGAATCGCCAGCCAGCCAGTGACACCTTGCTTAGGTCTGTTTGACTGGCTAAAGGCCGCTGGCACCGCATAAGGGCTCAAGTGAACTTCGAGAAATGATCTAGGTATGGCATACTACTTCGCATTTCTCGCCATCAGCCAATCGTCTCCATGATCCACGGTACGTACCATGTTGTTGGTGCTTACCATTCCGTAGTGCTTTGGAGTTTGAGCCTGGCGTCCGGATAGCTTCCGCCATCCCGCTGACAGCACGTCCCGGCCCCCAAAAATCAACCTTTTACTCGAATCACCGTCCGCGTTGCAAAACGTTGTGGCTGGCACTGGCATCCTTTCGGGCGATTTTCTAGGCCATGCACTTTGTGGTCGTCGGGCGGCACCTAGACCTGGCCTGGCCATTCATCTGTTGACCGTCTATCCCAGTATTGGATTTAGCTGTCTCACCGCTCGTGATCTCTTGCTGGTATGAAAAGCAATATCTCACATTACCCCTGGCAGGATTGCAAGGGCATCCTGCTGCACCTTGCTGACTAGCGCCCCATCTCCAGCGACATGTTGGGGTTTGATGAGCCCAATTTGGATTCTCCCAGACCGAGCAATCAATCTTCTGGGTTACTTTCGCTAGCCACTGAGACCTGGTTGCCGAGGCAGAAATTCAACGTCTGTTGACGGTTGCAAGCTAATAACACCCTTCCAGACGGACACACATGGAGCCGTGCTTTATCAGAAGATGGAGCTTTCCCATGTAAATTCATTTCGGCCGCAGCAGCAGACTTCCTTTCCACATTTCCCATCGAATATCCGTACCGACAGTCGCTTTCAGGAACTGCCAACGCAGCCGACCCGCAGCTTCCCAAACACCGGTCCTCGGCTCAGTTCTTCAATGCCTGGCCGACAACCCCGGTCCTCTCAAGCGTCAGTGGGCCTTGCAAAGATTGTCGAAAAAGCAGGCCGAAAGTCGATAGGGCAAAAAGAATGTCAATCGCTGACGGGAATTGAGCCCGACGTGGCTGGAATTCGTTAGTTGCGAAGCTCATGTCTGGATGAGAAATTGTAAGCACTTACGGGTCGAACCCACAACCTTGAGATTAAGAGTCTCACGCTCTACCGATTGAGCTAGCCGGGCGAACGGCTTTATGGCTGATGGAGGAGGGGAGGCTCGGGACTGGTCATGTTGCGAGGTGGTGGATTCGTCGTCCCCGACCCATCTTCACGATGATGGTCTATGGGGAACCACTGATCAGTGATGGCGTAAGAAACGATGTCCGGGAACCTGTGCGCAGGATCCATCCGGAGTTAGGTCACTTCCTTTTCCTAGGGCTGAGGGTGTGGGCTAGGTGACCTAGGTGAGCCAGGTGTTTGAGACACCACATGCCAACGTCGTACACAGGGGTATGGTGGCTGGGATATCTGATGACTGACGTGGGAAGATTCAGCCTGGATCGTGTGATTATGAGCTTGGAAATCTGACAGCTGGCTCCTTGGGAAGCTCGTGCTCGCTTCGGGTACGTCGCCAGCGCAGTCTTTTGCTACTTTAAGCTTTGCGGCGCTTCGCTTTTGCAAGCCACGATTTGGATCATTGGAAGAAGTTTGTCTTGGCTGCTTGGGGTAGGTTCGTGATAGCGTGGCAAGAGCAGTCAAGCTATGGCTGGTAAGATTAAAGACCAAGTTAACGGCATCACCATCGAAGTGATATGAGCAGAAGGTGGGATGAGTACAGTATCACGACTACGCAAACCAAGATGGCATCACGCTTTGCAAATAAGTAAGGTGTCCAGGTAACTTCTTCTTGATGAATGGCTAGAAAAGCCTTCTATCGGTAGTGAAAAGTCCCGGTTTTCCTTGAAAACGAAAACAAACGTGGGGTAAGTTGGGTACTAGCATCCATTTCGTTGCCCTTCACGTGTCCAACGCGACATGCCGAAAACTGAAAGAGTCGTAAACGGCTGCAGACGTCGAGGGTCATGTGAAGCCATGAGTCCAAGCAGATCCTTCCTCCTCTGGTTTCCATCTCGAAGGCATTTTGTTGGAAGGAACACGGAAGATGTGAGAAAGACGTAACATGTCGACGGTTATGAGAAGTCGTCATAGCGATACCGTGTTCAGAGGTATAGAGGTATGATCTCTCTCCATCAGTCGTTGCCGTAACGTCCGTTGTGATATCATCAATCTCAATCCCGAAGTTCCACCCATCCTTCCGAAACGAAATCCCATAACCATCTGAAAAGTTGAAAAGATTACAAACGCAGACCGGAAGAAAATAAACGTGAAAAGTGGACGGCGGATGTGAGAGCCGTATCAGCGATGCCGTGGCCTGCGGATAAAGAAGAGGTATAGCCGTCTCCATCAGTAGTCTTCGTGACTTCCGTTGGAATATGACCAATCTCGATAAACATCCAGCCTCCAGAAAACCACTGTCGAGACCATCCGAGATGTCCTATCGCAGACCAAAAGAAACCGAACTCGCAGAACCTGTCACTCGAAGTAGACCACAGCGATGGTTTCGTGTCGTCGTATGAGATAAACAACCACCCAAAGAAGGCACAAGAATCCTGCCACCGAGAAAGACCGAGATTCGTGGATCGAGGCTGCCGTATCAGAGCGGGCGAGGAAGGCCGATATCGGGAGTGTTGCCCATGAATGGACGGTACAGTGCATGATGTGCGAAGACACGTCTGTTGTGCTCCTCCTCTGTGATCGGTCCGAAGACAGGGCGAGAGCCGGGAGAGGGCGAGCGGCGCGGGTAGGGGATGGGAGGTCCGGCTCCGGAGTTGCGGGCGCGGTTGAGCTCTTCCTCAGTGAGAGGGACGGGCGAGGGGAGGCGAGTGCCGGGGGGGAGCTGGCGGAGACGGCCGGCAGGGTCCTGTTCATACAGATATCAGCATCGCGTATCAACGTAGAGTCGGGCAGATGCCAGGGTAAGATAGAGCGAGGCAAGAAGGGATCAAGGAAAGGGTTATATATACGTACAATCCACGAGGGATCGGTGCCAAGGCCATGGCGGCGCCGAGTCGCCTCAGCGCTCATCTCCTCCGCGGAGAATCCTCCGGGGCGGGAGACAGTCCAGCGGCGAGGACTTTCCTAGGGTCCCCGGCCAGCCAGACTGTCTCCGGCAGTGGTGTCGGAGTCAGGACCAATGACCGAAGCCCGACGAACCGCCTCTGCGCGCCGGAAGGCAGCGCGACGACCCGTCGCTGCCCCGGGGATATCCACCGGCATAGTGGTGGTAGTGCCGTCTTTGGAGGAGAAGGAAAAGGAGGAGGGGGCGGCCATCTTTATAGTTCTCTAAAACAGGTAGAATAAGTGGTCAGTATTCCTCTTCATCGGTTCGTTCGCTCGTATTCGTTCACGAATGTGATATAGGTGTGAAGCTGTTGAAAGAGATAAAAGGAGCAGGAGAGGTACTATGTGGGGAAAGAGACAGAGGAGATGAAGGGAGGTGATATAGATAAAAGAGGTAATAGAGGTAACAAGTATAAGCAGAGGCAACAGACGTAAGCCGAGTTAATGGGTGTGAGTGGAGGCAAAATAAATGAGCAGATGGAATGAATTAAGTGATAGGAGTAAAAGAGGTGAGAAAGAGAGGTGAATGTAGAGGCTAGAGAAGGATGTAAAATAATGAAAGAAGAGAGGTCTGATCTTGGTGTTATCATGACTGGGAAACAGAAAACTCACTGGTAGAGAAGCGATGGTGTTGGTATTGTGGTTGTTGCCGTTGAAAGGTCGAAGGACTGAAAAGCTGGCTTGTGTAGAGCAGAAGTGAGTTGTGTGAGGTCGAAGAAAGGAAGAAAAGAAAAGACAAGTTGAGGAGCTCCATGAGTGGAAAAGATATTCCAGCCGTGGGGCTCTTGTGAAGGCATCATTAGGGCTTCATCAAGAGAAGACCACCTTGCCCTACTGCGGCTTGAAAGGGGCAGGGCTAGGGTGAAGATGCGGCTGAGGAGGAGGTGGGTGGTTATCGAGAGCATCGTCATGGCGATGTGAAGGTCATTGTGCTGCTCAGGCGGGCGGGAGCTTGGCGACATGGGTAACGGTTGGTTGAAAGAACTTCCATGCCCTTCACTGGTGTAAGAGATACAGATCAGAAATGGCAATTTTGGAGGACTTGGTGGTGGTGGTGGTGATGTGATGGGAATGGCTTCGATTGCAGAGGCAGTCTGCCTCGGTCCCTAACGATGATATCTGGTATCTTCAAAAAAGAACCAACAGTTGTATCCATACCCGGCATCATAGAATGTTCTTGGTCTTCTGCTCCTCCTCCAACCGCTTATGCTCCTCAAACTTCTGCTCATGTTCAGCAACAGCAGCCTTCCCAACCTCCTCGTGATGCTTGAGGATGAACTTCTCGGGCTGGTCCTTAATCATCTGACCCATGCCGTCCCTGAACTCCCCCTTCTCATTTGGTCTAACCCCGTACGTCAAGTCTCCGTCAATGATGATCTTCTTAAACGCCTTGTTCAGCAAGCCGCGGTACATGCTGTCCTTAGCATCGGTGCCGGGGACTAAGCTTTGGCAAACTTCCTTGATTTTTGCTCGAACCCTGTCTTCGCCGAGGCTTAGTATGAGATCCATGCATTGACGCGACATCATCGGTTGAAAGTTTCCCCAAATAGCAAAGGCTTCTTGATGGACGTCCCAGTGGTATAGATGGGAGCGTCCTGCGTATCGCCCATCTTCTCGACAGCGGGGGAGGAATTCGTCGAAATATTGGCGGAAGGCGGGCCGCTTCAGTAAGCGCTGCTTGTTCTTACTCCTGAACTTCTTTCTTGCGGGCCCTTCCGCAGCTTCGGTGTCTCTCTCGTCCTTGGCCCCTGGCTCCATGATTATTTCCGGATTCGTTGCATCGGGGTTGTTATGCCGACCGTAGTCGGTCTCGATGCAAAAGAGGCGACAGGATGCGATATACTCGTACATCTCAACTCGAGTCGCAAAGGCCTCCGAGAATCTTGCCACGTCGAGGCCCAAGAATTTAAGCACCTCGGCAGGGTCCCTCGAGATATGCACCTTGGGCCACCTCTTGCTGTATCTCTCGTATCTTTCAATGTCGTTATTTCGGAGTGACATGGAGTAGTCGTCCACGGTCAGTCCGCGTGGCTGGATGATTGTCTGCATGATGCTCCAGAGATCGCCGTGAGCGTGCTTGAACAAGATCCATTGCAATTGTTGGAGTGAACTACAGATGGTTAAGTCGACTTGGATATACCGCTTTGGCTCATTAGCATCCATCCCTGTATTTGTCAATGGCCACGGGATGGCATAGTTGTCGCCGATGGGGTTGTAGATTGCGCGCTTGGCACCGAGGGCGGCAAAGATGGCCTTGCGGGCCTCGTCTTTGGACATGTTCGAATGGCTCGGTGTTCTCTCTTGTCCCTCGCCACAGTCATTGGCCATCTCGAACCACTCTTCACCACCTTCCCGTTCTTCCTGCCGTCTGGAAGTTGACTCCGGTGCTGTCTTCCCACAGCACTTCCCGACGAAAGGTGCTCTCTCCCAGGTGACCAGAATATCTATATCGCCATAGTCTTGCTTCTCGGGACCTTCAATAGGGCTGGCTACACATAGGTACAGTTCTCGGAGTGCAGCAAAACAGTCGGCCTTGGCTCGTTCGTACACTGTGGCGGGCATTCGTGGTGTGTTCAGGGGATCATCCCCAGATGCGAAGGCAGAGCCTCCCATTGCGAGATTGGTAGGCCAAGTGCACAGTGAGAGGTTGATCTGTCTGCACCGATTAGTTCTTACATACGCATGGTTAAAACTGCGATACGATACCTGGGCCAACGTCACTGTTTGCAAGGCGAGCTTTGGTCACTGAGCGCGAGAAGTGATACAAGAAAAGAACCACAACGAGATCGCTCGATAGTTGAAGTAACCAAAACGGTACTCGGTATGAAATCTTGGGGGCGTAGGTCAATAAAAATTGAGGATGTCAATGCCTCAGACAGCGACTCGAGCGATGGGAGATGATGGTGCTTGGACTAGGGTGACTCAATCGGCAGCGCCTGACTCAACAGCTAGGGCGCAAATGCAGATGGTCTCCAAACAGACCGATGCGAAGTCAAGAAGGAGGCTTTGTCTGTCACTGGGCTGTTGCGACTTTTGAAGTTAGATGAGGTGAGATGGGGAAACAACAAGCTACAAATTTGTTCTCCCATTTCAGTACTCCGGGAGCTTGGAAGGAGGTGGAAGAGTCTCCCCTCACTGTGTGAATTGACGATTATGGGGTCTTACCACGGTGCCCACGGTACGTACCCCTAATAAGTTCACTCTTTCCGGCCAGTCTGCTCTCAAAGAACATGTCTAGAGATAAGGGAAAGCATTTGGCACTACAATTTGACGTTGAATGAAGCTCGAAAGGTGTTCCTTTAGCTCCATTACCGCTTCAGAGAGGATTCCTTTGTCTCTCGTCCAAGGATCTCGAGGGAAGGACAGTGCACTTCGGGCCATCTATTAGCAAAGCAGTCTTCCTTTCGTCCATTGACATGAGGGCTATCTGACCTCACCATGAACTAGATATATAGTTAATTGGTAATTATTCCCTCGGAAAAATGCTAGTTCTGCCTGCCAGTGTTGCGTCTCCTGACTCCAATATTGGGCAATTTTCAACATCTTCAGCTCGTGAGTCCATCTCAGCACTCCGCAAGTAGCAGGAACCCAGCAGGCGATAAGAGGCTTATTAAAGGTATACTCCTTCCTTTAAACCGGCAGCCATTCATCATCAGGGAGCTCGATATTCATCGCGAGTTATTAGGTCATTGACTTGAACTTTCTGGTCTAGGTTGCATCATGGCAGTTCCGGGGAGTGTCCGGAGCCTACCGGAGATCACTTCGGCAACAAGTGGGGCCAACCCGGAAGGCTACGGTGCCATCTCTGACCACTTTTGACGGGCAGTTGACTTTACACCTCTCTCGCCTCGTGCCTTTGGCAAGAAGGGGATCAAAAGGATTCACTAAGCCACGCGCACGTCTATTCGTTTGACCTAGTTCCTTTTGTAGGGCTTTTGATCTTGCCTTCTTCGCTTGTTGCCTTTCAACACGCCACTGTAAGGAAGGTACACACCCTTCATTCTTCAACATCTACCTTCTTCTCTTTTCTCGTACACAAACAACGCCTCAAAGTAGGAAGTCTTACGAAACAACCAGTTCCGACACAATCTTCCGTCTGCTTCCTCTGCTTACCAACATCTACTAAGGACTCGAATCTCTATCGCTGGTCCGCGCCATTATTGGCATCTCTCTACATACCTCACTTACCTTTTTCACATTAAGATACAGCTGAGCCGCTCGAATCATCGCTCAAAATGGAGAAAGTCATCGATTACCGCATTACCTCGCGCCCCATGGTTGGGAATGCCAACAAGGAAGCTGCAGACGCCGGCAGAAAAAACGTCCACGACATGTAAGTTGGCTCCATCCTGAGCCTGTCCGTGTTCTGACATATACGGGATAGCTGCGAGGATGAGTTCGTCCATCTCTACTGTGGCGACACTATCTTTGTTGTCTATCGTGAGATTATCACTACAGGATCCATGTACTTCGATGCCTGTCTCTTCGGCTTCTTCAAGGAGTCTACCACTCAAGAGATCGTCCTCGACGACATTGAGCCCAAGGCTCTCGAGTTATACCTTCAACTTACTCACGGCTGGTACTTTGAGATAAAGTCTTTCGGTACTAAGGTCGTCCCCTTCTCTCTGTTCGATGACCTCATAAACGCCAACGATCCCGTGGCCTTCAAGAGGGCCCACCTGGAGATCCCTAAGATTAAGCTCAAGATGATGGCCCAGATGTGCATTCTTTGCGATCGTTTCATTCACCGCTCACTTCTCTGTATCGTCAGGCACATGTTCCTGACCTTGCTGGCACGTACCAAAAAGAACTGGACCACTCTTAAGTACGAGGATTCTGACTGGAACACGGTTCACCATGTCGACTTCATGCTCGACTACATGGCTGCCTTCGATATCTTCTCCACCGGCCACGACGATGAGCACCTCATCAGGGACGCCATCTCGGAGAGCTTCTACTGGTTCACCAGACACACCCCGTCTCTCATCAAGCACTTCTGGGACATCATGAGCCCGACGTTCATCTCCGAGTGGGACGTCTCTCGCCACATTGTCTGGGATTCTGAGAGCGAGATCATCGTCGGCCGCGAACACGTCAGATTCGACCACGCCAAGAAGCTGTTCATCACTGATCAGCTCATCTTCGAGAACTCGACCAAGCGCCAGAAGAACATCAGAAATGACCGTGTCGACCACATGTGCTCGATCGAAGACCGTATCAAGCTTTTCCCTTTCGTTGAGGACCAGGAGCTCAACGCCAGCCGCATCGCTCGTCTCCGCGCCCTCGTCGAGAAAGTCCAGCGCAAGGGCTCCACTCCGTACCGTACCTTCATTCCTGGCGCCACGGTTCACCTGGTTACTAGCCAGAATAACCCCGGTCAGCGCACTACTTCCAAGAAGCAGGCCAAGAACAAGGCTTACCATGCGGGAGGTGGCAATTATGGAGGAGGCCGTGACCGCGACAACGTCGTCGAGAGTCAACGCAACCAGAAGGTTGGTCCCCGTCAGACTGAGCTTCCCCAAGCCCAGCGTGGGGATGGCATCCCTGATGCCAGTCCGAAGAACACTCACAATCATCTCGGCAGTAGTGGCCTAGCTCATCGTCAAGCTCTTGGCGGCGGTCATCGTGGCAAGAATCGCGGTCAAGGTCACGTTCAAGGCCATGATTCTCAAGGCCAACTTGAAGTTCAGGTCCAGGGCCAGGCTCAAGGCAAGGCTCAAGTTCGTGGCGGCGGTCAAGACCATACTCAGGTTCTTGTTCCAGATCAAGCCTACGGTCAGGTCCACGGTCACGCTCAAGGCCAGGCTCAGGACCATGCTCGGGATCAAGCTCAAGGCCATTCTCAAGACCGTGCTCAGGGCCAGGCCCAGGGTCGCGCTGAAGGTGGTGGCGGAAGTGGTGGCAAGGGTCGTGGCCGCAAGGGACATCGCGCCCGCAGGACTCAGGACAACTCTTGAAAAGTGGCCTATTCTCAAGAAGTTGCTCGCCGCTCACGAGTGTATCGCCAGCTTCCGTTCTCATCAAGCTTTCCTAAGGTATGGTAAAGGCTCTCAAAGTGAGCACTACCCCGAGGTATAGGGGACAATTTTGTGGTTTTAAGGTTTCAAGGTTTCAACTATTCTGTAAGGTTCGGGACAAACAAAAGTTTTGTGTTTTCTTTGGAATGGGCTCGAGGCTCCAGCTCTCATGATGACTTGGTATGAGCAACGACTTTCTTTTATCCAGGCTGTCCCAGGAGAATCCGAGGCGTGGACCGTTCGAGGTGATGGCCTGGGTACTGTACGATAGGAAAGGAAAATAGTATTAGTACAACATCACATTATAATCATTGATACTTCCTCGCCATGTGACACTATTGATGGTGGCGGTCAGTTAAGACAAAGGGAGTAGCCGAGCAAGCGTTTCCCATGTGGCATTTGATTACGAGGGACTTGCTCTGACTTCTGCAGATCACCTCATCAATTCTCCGCCCGCCTCTGCTGTCCAATCTTGCGGAGACGGCCTCTAATGTTAATGGATAGGGCTGAATCAATTGAGAAGCAGATATCTTAAATGGGGTACTATTAGGGGCCTCAGGGGGGCTTAAATCTCAATTACCATGCGCTGCATTGTCAAAGCCAGCTTCCCTCGGCACTACCGGCGCGCACTTGGCTCGCGGCTGTGCTTGTCTGCTGTTGACGAGAGCGAAGATCCCAGATCCATGACACTCCGTTGACTGAACGCACTCCACAAATCGGGCGAACCGCCAGCCTAAGATTTGACAACGCGAGAATAGAGTTCACCATATAAATGAACACACGATGGGCTGAACCGGAGCCCTTGATTGACCCGAGTGCTGCGCAAGAATGGAGCGTGAATCTTGGCAACGAAAGTTTAATAAACATGGCAGGCGGACACGGACAATGACGATGATTCAGTGTTAAATGAGCGACCTGCCCGCCCATCTACGCCATTGCACCATTCTGCCGCCGATCCAACTTCGTCATTCGTTTCCTCACACAAGGAAGCTCATCGATCACCATCACACTCATTTGCTAGCCAGAAACCATGCATATCCCCGTCGCTCTCCGCGCCCTGGCCTCCGGAGCCCTCTTCACGCCCTGGGACAAGAGCCAGTGGATCGCCTCCGACGACACGGTCCGCAACGGCGCGAGTCATTCCACCCTCGACATCATCGAAGCCGGCGTCGCCGGCAACCCTTTCACCGAGTCAATTGCAAACTTCCACGGCAACCTCGACTACGCTACGCTCGGCGGTGCGGGCTTCGCGTCCCAGCGGACCGTCGACGACTGGCCGAGCCTCGACATCTCGGCGTACGATACCATCACCCTCGAGATCCCGTTCACGGATGGGAAGAAGTACACGTTCAACCTGAAGGACACGGTGCCGCCGCCCGTAAATGGCGTGGAGCAGTCTGGGATTAGCTGGGAGTTTGATTTCCAGATTCCGGCGGTGAATCACACAGATGGCGCGGTTGAGAAGGTGGTGATGCCGTTGAGCAAATTTGTGCCTACTTTCCGTGGAAGGGTTCAGAATGATACTGCGCCGCTCAACTTGACGAGCATCAAGAGGGTCAATTTCATGATTCGAAGGTTAGTGAGGTCCGTCCCGCGAAAATTCGGGTAGATGCTAATGCTGTCTTAGCTTCTTTGCTGAGCAGGATGGAGATTTCGAGCTGCACTTCAAGTCCGCGATTGCTTCAAAAGAGGGAAGCAAATAGATGATCTACCACCAATATTCAATACCCACACAAGCGAATATCATTAAATTCTGCCTAAGGCTCTTCCATGGTCCCAATAGGGCCAGAGGTCAGATTCAAGGGCCCTGGTACTGAGTTTCTGAAGCCCATATGACCGGATACACCGCCTGGAAACCAGATGCATTTCGACCCGCCCTCTCACGTCGTCTGATGTTTCGGTATAAGCCGGATGAAGCACCCTGTGAATGGACGGAGTCGAAACCCATAACTCGGTGCTATTCGACATACAAGCAGTTAGGCAGCCATCTCTCTCAAATGCTTCGCATGAGCCCCATATTGCTTCGTATCGCGGCCGTACGGAGTAGAAAGTGTCAGCATCAATTCCTAAACTGGAAGAAAAATTGGCGAGGAGTGGAGGTGGTCGCCAGCCCAGCCATCCATTTCCCACTATGACCCCGTCTTACGGCCCGCAGGAGAGCACCGACCAACTCATAATTATCTGTTTGTTGCTTACAACCCAATTACTAGAGGTGACATCGTCTCGTAGCCTTGCTCTTCCATAGGGACTTTGGTTCATGATGTCTAGTTTCATTGCTAGGGTATCCTTCTGGTTCCATATATAGAGGCCCGCATTCCTGCATGCGATAGTTTGTCGACCGCATGTTGATCCGTCCCGGCTAGTATTCCCGAAAGCTAGGTGGACTCAAGCTTATACCTTACTGGGTTTCTGTACGCGACCTTCCTAATCTTGTCTACGGCACTTGACATGTAGTATCAATCACTCGGCTGAAGTCCTCAAGATAGGACAGAACACAACCCTTCGGGCTTATATGTGGTCAGAGCGATATCCTCGAGATGTTCACTGATGCAGCTTGCTGTCCTTCAACTGCCTTAATAGTCTCATGCAGTAGTAATCCCATGGTGGGCTGATAGAAACTTCAGGCGTGTTAATCTCATGTATCCCATGCGTTCCAATAAGCACCGTGGGCACTTGAATCTGTGCGCCCCTGTCCGCTAACGGTGGGGTTTACACAAAGCCGTTGGAGTCTAGAAGGCCTGGTGATCCTCGCCTAAATGATCGAGAAAAGTTGCCATAGATCATCGTGAGGCCCTGTTGTCTGGTTTACCTACAAGGCTGAGCCGACATGCCCGAGACCCTTGTGGTTAGTGAGCTTACATGTAACCCTACTTCAAGCTTTGTGGAGAAGGCATGCATCGGCTGAGGCTTTTGAAAAGAACTTTGGTAGAATTTCAGCTCTAGCCTTGAGACCCATGCCGAGCTGTGGTCCTGGACAAAGTTTCTATCGAACAAGCAGTCCATGTCTATTCTCACGACGAAGTATAAAATATCAACACAAACTTCAAAGTCTCGTCTCTAGTCTTCAGAACCAGGCACTCCTCTTATTCAATACTCAACCCCCAAGAGCTTGCTCAATTCCTCAAGATGGTCAACGTCGCCCTCTCTGCCCTGGCTATCCTGGTCGCGGCTCCCTACATCGGAGCCGTCCCCACCGCGGCCCAGTCCGACGCAGTCGAAGTCTTCTCCTTCGCTAAGTGGGTTGACGGCATCATCGCCAACCCTGAAGGAGACAACTTGACTCCTAGCGAGGCTGTTGAGGCATGGAGAGAGTCTGTCAACGCCACCGAGTCTGACGGCACCACGCCTACCAACAGCATGATCCAGAAGCGTGTCTCATGCAACACTATTGCCGGCACTGAAGCCTCCGTATGTCTCCATTCCCCTTCTCATCACTTTACCCCGATTGAATTGCGAACGCTGATACTGTGCCAAACAAGGTCCCTGACGCGGTGTCTTGCATCAATGACCTTGCCCGCAAGGGCAGTCAGGCCTGTGTCGTTGGGGGCGTCTCCGTCTTCTGCCTCATTGGCAATGCTCAGATCACTGGTGTCAAGGGAGGCACCAACGCAGCCACTACATCTTCAGCCTGGTCAGAGTTCTAGCCCTGATTTTGAGAAATGAAGTCCAAGATGCTAATACCTCTGAATCAGCAACGATGTCGCCCGTGCTGGCGGTCTTATTATGGATAGCTGCACTCGTGCGGATAACACAGTCCAGGGATCAGAGTTTGCGTGGGGCAACGGTAACCTGCTTGTGCACATCCGCAAGCCTGGTTTGTAAATGGTTTTGGGTGTGATATTGGCCTGAGATTGTGTGAACAAGAGAGTGAGAGCTTCTCTCGTAGCCGATGAAATCAGCTATGGCCTCGCCGGTGGTGCAGTGGCAAGGTGACCCAGCCATACTTATTTAATATTCTAAAAGTAATTGCTCACGTGTCAGGTCTCCCGACCTCCGCCGTCGAACTCCAGAGATATAGCCTGATGCAACGTTCAATCCAGCTAGGGTCGGTCTATCGGATATGTAGTTATCCTTTAGGCTGCACGTATGCTGATCTTACGGCCTTCAATAACCTTGCCCTCTCCCAGACATCTATTTTCCTGAATAGTGAATTCGAATCTTGCCCTCAAGCACTTCTAGGAAGAATTCTTGGAAAGGAGTCGACTGGAAATCAGGGTAGAGCTCAGTGGCTAGAAGGTATCCAAGCCGACTGACACCTTCCGGGCTGTTGTCTCCAATTATAAAAGACGAATACTAGTACTCCGAAAATGACTTTCCTATTGCCGCAAGAGTATCTTGAGGGTTGGTTTCCAGCTCGGCGTCGAAGTCGGCAATCATCGACTGTAGCTCCTAGGCCAAGTTCTAGTTGAGAACCGTCGAGTCAGTTGAAGGATCAAAGGGGCATGTGCTGCCAGCTTACCTCTTTCTTCACAACATTCTCGTCTGAAAGCTCTTCGTCGATGGCGATAATTTCGTTGCACGAAATGAGGGCTGAGGAGGCCATGACCTTGTGGTTGATGGCTCCTGGGTCCACAATGATTCAAGCGATGAGTTTCCCGATATCAGCATAATCAACGACGTGTGTTGGCATGTTTGCATCGCCGGGAACAAGATTTCGCATGAACTTGGGAAATACAACTGTGTATTCAGTGCGATCAGAAGCCAGTTGAGGGATGAATCCGTGGTACCACTAGTCAACGTCGATGATTATGTACGGTGGGTTGATGGCTCTAGGTTCGGCATACACCTCTTCCTTCTGCGAGTGAGAGTCAATGTCAGATATAGCACAGACTCAGGAGTTGGCTTTTGAGACTTTGAGAAACCACTTTCTGGACGGATGAGTTGGCGGAGGGTAATGCGCTAGGGATAAAGCGCCGAACGCTCGCAAGTTTGGCTGCTCGAACTAGCGCGACTTGAGAGCCTATGCCGGCGGGGTGCACCGAGGCGATTAGAATCTGAAAGCCTTTCAACACATAGGCGATCTCGGTTTCGGGCTTTCGAGATCAATGGTAATGACGTAAACACCTCTTTCTCTCAGCTTCTCGTACGCTGGCTATGAGATTGACGAGGGAAGCGAGACGACTGTAGCCTATCATGGTCCAGAGATCTAGATAGGCTTGCACGCCGTGTAGAAAGAAGAAGGTACGATCTATCCTCCATGCCAAGAGGCTTCGTATGAGGCTCTGCCAACTCTCCTTGACGACTAATATGACTGCTTTTCCAGATTAAGTGCGACGCTGGGGTGCCAAGGTGCCCGCAATGTGTAGCTAAGAGTCTCGAATGCAACTATACGTACACAAGACAACAAACACCAACAAGTAGGAGGTGATACCGATCCAGGAAGCATTCTTTAGCCAATGATTTCCATAGGCTGACTGCCCGCGAGTAGAACTCGCCATGATCTTACACGGGCACTGGAACGAGTCGAAGGCATGGTGGAAAGCGTTCTCTCTATTCCTTCTTTAGCCCGGATATTATCTTACCGGCATATAAATAGCTCTTCGGGAAGTTTATCATCGTACAGCAGTTTTGGCCTTGAAGCTTCTCGTCCAGATGGTCTCTATCAACTCGTGCGACGAAGCCCAGGTGATCATCACATGCTACCGAATCAACGGGAATCGATCATTGATTTCACGTACCAGGGTCAATATCCATCGGACACACATTCCGCGACTTTTTTATCAACTAACTCGTAAGAATTGAAGGTTCCTGTCAGAGTTTCTCGACTCTGAACATCAAATGCGTTGACCGCATTCTAGGTGATCACAGCTTTAGCATTGCATCCTGGGAATCTTTAGAGCAAATGCGCCAGTCTAGCTTCACGACATCACCGTCTCAGATGGTTGTGCCCCAAGATATGATGCATCCTTGCTTCGAAAGTGAGTGTCTCTACGATGTCACTGAAAGATCTCTCCCGCGCATGGAGCTAACACCGGAGCTCTTAGGTTTCATCTCAGCATCACGCGGCGTCTGGCGCATGCTCCGGTTGAGTGAAATTCTTGCAGTCTTTCGCGACGACGAATACGAAGTGATTCAACCTCCGCCAAGTGTGCGCGCCGCCGTCAACATCGAATGTGCCTATATGTTGCGAATCAATGGCAGCGATGAGATGGATAGTCGGAATACTGCTTGCATAATGCGCTGGATATGCTTCCAGTGATCATGACAGAGCTGCCAGACTTGATCGCAATCGGCGCCTTACTCCTAATGGTGCGTCATCACTAATCTGTGTTCTAATTCGAGACTACATGTGCATGAAGGATCACTGACACTCGCAGACCTTGATGTTCGCATCTACTTCGAGGTTTCCTACAGCGGCTATGGTTCTAGCCATTGTCTCTCAGATGATGTTTCTAGCCGGGTTTCACAAAATGACTGCTACTCCAGACGAAACAACAACGCACAAAAGGCCCCTACTTTCATACGCTTACATACTGAAACAAAACCTTTCCCTATGGATCGAGAAGCCACCACTCTTATCTTCAAACTTTGGTCTAGACCTTCCGGAGCAAGAACCATATGATGGGCATGGAACTATCCATCTTCAAGATGGCATGTCGGGTAATTGCCTCAGGGAACAGGCTATTTTGACCGAAATTCAGAGCGAGGCATACGAGAAACTCCGCTCACCTAACTCCTTGTCGATGTCACAGGAAGCATACACAGAAATCAGCCGCCAGCTCTTGGAAGAGCTCTTACAGCGGAGAAGTAATTTGCCGACACTCGCCGAACCACTTCTGATACCCAATAACCTCGACATGAAGCATGCGTCATGGTTTTCCACCATATTTTGTACCTTCTATCAGGGCGAGATTGCTATTCGCTCTTCAATCTTCTCGCATAATATATTCTTCGACAACGCAAACATTCGTAATCAAGCACCCTCGTTGACTCAAGTTGCGCTTCCGCTACTAGGAAACCGGTGGTAGTTGTGAGCTCTCTTGATAGAAGTGCTCTGTAGGGATCGCAAGTGGCCATTGTTCAACGCTCTTATGCTGGTGGTTGGAAGGCTGGCTGGTCCTTTCTCTGAGGTCCTCAGAGGCATGTTACCTAAGGTTGCGTGGAACCTTGATTCTCAATTCCTTCATATCGCCTATAACAGGCATGCACCAGAAGTGCAACATGAAGCTCAGCTCATCAGAGATGTTGTGAACTTGTTTGAGGACAACTTTCCAAACTATCAACAAGCCAAGTCTTGCGCTACGACTAGGCTTCTATTGGATGTGGCTTCAAGGGCAGTTCCATAACGCACAGATAGTCAAGAGGAGGTGAAGAGAATGTGAATATGTGTGAAAAAGGCCAAAACAGCACGCACGGAAAAGACTGAATGGCCACAAGCCGCGAGAATCCGATTTCTACTTTCCGCAGATGATCGAACGCGGCTCAGCTTATTGTTTGACGGGCCCGTCGCAGATGATCGGGAATAATTGCCACGAGTCAAAATGCCCCATTCTTTGCTGGAGACATCTTGCATGAGGTAGTGTCAGACTAAAGTGGCGGCAAGTTGATCGAAGTTCTTGCTGAGACTTGGAAGCTGGAGCTCAAGTTTCAGTGGAGTACAGACTTCGTGAGGGAATTAAATCAAGGACTGTCTGCAGCGCCGATATTCCGACCAATGTGTCACAGGTCCGGCTACAGTGCTGCCCTCTCGGCTTTTCACCCTACACACATGGTGGCATCAAATCGAAAACTCATCACTGACAATTCATCTGCAGAAATACAACGTGGCGGTACTATGAACCAAGAGTTGTGGACGATTGAAATCTTGCCGCGAATGAACATGCGATGCTAGTTTCTAAAAGTGGTTGCGATCAAGGACTTATTGTCTGTCAAAATTCATCCAACGGCGGCCTCTAGAATGGATAGACTGAAGTCTTTTAGCCCGGCAAGAAGAGGCTATTGTTAGCGCCGGAGTCCGGAACCGACAATGGATTACTTGCAGTCGGTAATTAACCTGGCTGAAGCGAGTGGCGTAGCGGCGGGAGGGAAGTAGTTGCCAACAACTCCACGGGCCCATGCAGGGAGCTCGAGGCTCAATTGAGCCGTAATAGAACCTTTTTGGGTCTCTGTATCAGTCTCCCGATCGAAGACTTCGCAAAGGCCAAGAATAGCACGACTCAAAGGATCCGCATCGAGCTAAGTCTGGAACCTCAAAGCTAGGGTCTTTATAAGGTAATCTTCAAGTCGGATTTTCCGCACTGGCAATGTTCCACAAGCCAACAAGATCCCATCAGCTTGGGAAGGAAGGGAAATGACGGTCCTGATGCTTTCCTCGTACAGCGAGCACCAGGAGGCTCGGCTCGCGAGGGAACCGATGAGAGTTTTCCCTCGTGAACTGGGATGCCCCTGACTCGACATCAACTAAAAGAGGAATTTCAGTGGACGCACTCTCCACCAAATACCTTGTCAGATCATCTGATAACTGTCCAGCAGCCGCAACGACACCGGTGGCCCGCTAAGAAAAACATGGGGGCCCCGAAGACACCGAGCCAGTGAGCGGACTCGACCTCCGTGGCCACCTGAGAACCGGGTACGACAGACGTCACTCTGCGGCCGGTCACTAGTGGCGGTGCCGGGTCGCCGGCTACAATAGCGATTTCCGCTTCGCCGGACATCGACGCTAAAAGCAACTGTTCTGTCTCGTCCCTCACTCCATCACGGACAATAGATCCTTTAGACGAATCAAATTTCGTTCATGTCTGGTTACTCTGGATCCCTGAATAGGTGTGTTGGTGATGATCTCTCTCCAACGTGGGTCCGGATATGGGATCAGCGATGGGTCAAACATTGCAGGTACGCGATAATATAAATCTTTTCAAATCCATCCGCTCGATGTGCGGACTTGTTTGGTTCTTGTTACCCACGTCTTCCTTTTCGATCACTATTCCCTTGGCTCAGGTGCTCTTTGTGTATCCAAAGTGCGTGCCCACCTTTGCAGTACACACCTGTCATTGATCTCGTCGAAACCAGCATGGCCGCCAACGCTTCGACAATGCCTCAGGTGTCTGAGCAGAACCATGTTTCCGCCGACAACGATATCGAGAAGAGCACCGCTCAGAACTCGGTTGATATTCACGCCGAGCCTTTGAAGCTTGATTACGAGGAGGGTCCTGAACACAAGCAAGATGGTGTCAAGAAGGTGGAGGCCATCACCTCAGTGTGGTCTTGGAAGATGCTCTGGGTGGTTTTTGCCCTGTAAGTCCTTCTGCTTTCGTCTCGTCCTCCGCCCAAAAGCTCTCAATGCCCGCAAGCATCTCAATGAGACCGAGACTAATCGGTTCTACGCAGCTTGTACCTCGTATCCTTCACGGACGGCCTATTGCAGTCTGTTCAGAGCAACTTGACACCTTATGTTACCTCCGCATTCGGCCAACACGGGCTTCTTGCTACGACTAGCATAGTCTCCACGATTCTCGGCGGTGTCTCCAAGCTTACTATCGCTAAAATCATCGATATCCGTGGTCGTGCGGAGGGCTTCGCTGGCATGGTTTTCCTTGTCACCATCGGCATGATCATGAAGGCCACCTGCCAGAACGTTGAGACGTATGCAGCAGCGCAAACGATCTTCTGGGTCGGCCATCTCGGACTCATCTACATTATCACGATTGTTCTCTCTGACATGACGTCCCTGAGGAATCGTATGACTATGATTGCCCTGAATGGCACGCCGACGATCGCCACAACCTTTGCCGGTCCTGAGATTGCGCAGCTGTTTTACGACAAGGTCAACTTCCGCTGGGCATTTGGTGCCTTCGCCATCATCTTGATCGGATTCAGTGCTCCCGTCGCCGTGATCTTCTTCTTTAGCGAGGTCAAAGCGAAGAAGACTGGCTTGATCCCACCCAAGCAGAAGACCCGGTCTACCTGGGAATCTACCAAGCACTACTTCATCGAATTTGACGGTATGCAATCTCCCTTTTCGAAGACCCAAGATACTTCATAAAACTTGACATACTAACGAACCTAGTTGTCGGCTTGATCTTGGTGATGGCCGGGTGGTCTATGCTTCTGCTGCCATTTTCCCTCGTTTCCAACGCCACCCATCAGTGGAAGAGCCCTACCATCATCTGCCTAATCGTCTTCGGCGTTATTGGCTTGGCTCTTTTCGCTCTGTGGGAGAGAAACTTCGCCAAGGTCTCTCTGTTCCCGTACCACTTTCTGAAGGATAGAACCATTCTAGGAGCTTGCTTGGTTTACGGTATCATGTTCGCCTCCATCTAGTAAGTTGATCTCCCCATGATGCGGTCTCGCCGTATTGATCCTATACTAACAACTGTGTTCAGCTGCTGGGACTCATACTACCAGTCTTACTTGCAAGTCGCGCACAATCAAGACATCACCAGCTCTGGCTACATCCTCAACGCCTTCAGTTTGACCTCCGCTATCATTTCTCCCTTCATCGGAGTGTAAGTTATTCTGTGTCGAGATACCAGAGCTTCTTCTAACCAAGCTTTAGTGCAATCCGATACACTGGCCGCTTCAAGTACATCGCCCTCTCCGGCGTGCCTATCTGCGTCCTCGGCACTGCCCTGCTCGTTCACTTCCGCACCCCGTCAACTACCGTTGGCTACCTTGTCATGTGCCAAATCTTCAATGGCGTTGCTAGTGGCATCTTCAGTATCTGCTCCCAAATCGCCATCATGTCGTCCGTCACCCACCAGCAGATCGCCATCGCGCTCGCATTGCACGGCCTCTTCGGCTCCATCGGTGCTGCCATCGGCTTGGCAATCGCTGGTGGTATCTGGAACAATGTTCTCAAGAAGAACATCTATGCAAACCTCCCCGAGGGTAGCAAGGACCTTACCGCCAGCATCTATGCCAGCATCGAAACGCAGCTCTCGTACCCTATGGGTAGCCCCATCCGCACGGCAATTATTGAGGCCTATGCTGATGTTCAGCGCAAGATGGTCATCGCTGGTTGCGCTTTCATTCCTCTGGTGCTTCTGTCCTTGCTTATCTGGCGCAACATCAACGTCAAGACTGTGGAGGAGGAGAAGGGAAAACAAACAAAAGGAACTGTTTTCTAATGCGGTCTCGTACCTTCCGCTTACTCCAGCCGCTGTCTTTTGCTGTGTATCTTCCAAGACCTAGCCCATCGAGTGAGAAACACTTCGAGGTTGGGAGGGTTCCTCTGACATAGACTGTAATATGACATTCAAACGAACTTTTCAACATTGCATTCAGATCAATATCTTACAACCATTCCAAATTTGTGGAGGAACTCGTGTTGTCTCTGATTACCTGCCGTTCCAAACATTAGCATGCTGCCGCCGTCACCACTGAAATGTGGCTTTGAGCTCTCCAAAAATACAAGATCCCGTTGAAAGAGCTGGCGTTAGCCAAATTTAAGGGTTCAAATTGGGAAGCTTGTCATGGTTAAAAATGATCATTATGGACTAATAGCAGTGATTTATCCTACTTCGGACAAAGCCGCCCGTTCTGAGTCGGGTAGTACTCAAGCTGATTCGTGATGTGCCAGTCCTCAGAGCCTACAGCCGTCGTCGCATAGAACAGCCCCCAAGGATCATACTTCTGCTTAAGCTGATACAAGTAGTCATAATTACTACCATAAAAGGCCTGCTGCCAGTTCGGCTCGTTGATATCTGCTTCATTTAGGTATGCTCCGGCGCCGGGACTGGCTTCTCGCCATGGCTGCAACATCTCCACCAAGTTCTTGTTTGCGGCAGCAATCTCCTCGGGGGTAGCCTCCTGACCCCATACGGCTCCCAGCATGGCGTGCATCAAAGTCTCGCGGAAGGCAGGGTTGACTGCGTTAGTTTGGTTGACGGAAGGGTTGACAGCGGTCTTGAAGTTATAACCAAGCATCATGCCAGCAGTCTCAACGCTTTTACGCAATGCATTGGTCTGTGCAGCCAGCTTGCTGTTGTCTTCCCAGTTGGTGCGCGGGAAAAGGCGGGAGGCAGTGTGAAAGTTCCACGCCCCGACAGCTTCGGATTCTGCAGGCCAAGTGTTTATGATAGTGTTGAGAACGCCGTCAAACTCCGTATACTTTGTATCGGCCACGGGGATTTGCAAAGCAGAGAGATTGGAGAACAGCGAGGCCGAGACGGCAGTCAACTCAGCTGTGTCCATGTCATTTCCCCATTGGGGTGCCATGGAGAAGCTGCAAGTTGTTGCTGGAGCGCACATGATAGACCAGTAGCTGTACATACCAGCGTCGGCATAGGCAGGGAATTGGGCAAACACGGCATCCACACCAGACCAGAAGGTCTCCGTGGAAACATTG